CAGTCGCCTTAGCAAAATAAGCTACAAAATAGCAACTAGTATCTAATACTACAAGCCTTGCCATGACAGGTATTAGGATTAAAGCTATTGCAAGACAAGAGTGGCAACATAAACTCTAGGCCTACTCTATAAAAGCAAAGCTTAGAAATCCTAGCACCTATGCAGCAAGATTCTTGCTAATACTAACAAGCAAGATAATACTGCTAAATAACACTAGAAGAGAAATTGCAAGCGCATACTACCAGCTAAAGCTTGGACATAGATACAACAAAGCATATCTATACTATACACAAAAAACAGAAAGATCTAAATACAGCTTTAGATATACACAAACACCCTAACACCTACTGCTTAGCTGTAGAAACTACAGAGAAGCAAGAAAGAAAATAAAGAGCAGCCTACAGGAGACAAGACTTACAATGTCTCTTCTCCTAGACACAAACAGGGGAATCTAAGCTACACTAGCTTTTATTCAAGAAACTAAAGTAGGCACACGCAAGTGGTACCTACAGCAAACAACAGACAGCTAATTTCCTTTGTTTATAACTGGAGCACAGGCTCTCACTAACGTAGATTATCACCGAGCCGGCCATATCACCAAACCAGCCATTTTCTCTTAGCACGACTAGCACAAGTTACTATAACTACAACTACTTGCTATTAAATAGTGACCTAGCATACTGCATGCTTACATCAGATTTAGAAGATGTTTCTGCACCCTCCTAGCACGTTCGTGCGTTGTGTCTAGTCTTGCTGCAGTTCCTACAGCGCCGAACAGTTGACTAAGCTCCTAGTTGACCACCTCCACCCCAAGTCTTCTTAGATGGCTAAGCTGCTACACACGCCTCAGCAGCTACCCGTGATGCTGCTGGGCCATACTTAAGTGTGCCACCATGCTGAATCTGCTTTCTCTTACGCGATTTTCTCTTAGTAATTACTACTAATTGCTCTTTAAGCTCTTGCACGTGGGCCTTAATAAGGACGTTTTTGTGCAGCATCTCTTCAGCCCCTTTTACAAGCTTTAAGAACCCCTCTTGCGCTGCACTTAGTAATTGTTAGAAGGAGTTGCTTACAAGCTTAGATGAAGACCTAAACTTGTGTGTATTGCTTAGTATCTTAGATTGCCACGGCGTTTTAGGTAGAGGTACTGCTAGTAGGGTATACAGCTGCACTTTAAGGCAATCTAACACTACCTATATGTTAGTATAAATAAGCCCTAATAACTTAAAGGCCTTTTAGCAGTTAACCTTTATAAACACATTAAGGAATGCGTCCCTAAAGGCTAGTAGGAAGCCTTCCTTATTAATATAGAAGACAAGTTAGCGTGCTAAGTCTTAAACACGTTAGGAGTACTTATGCTTTAATAGCAAGAAATAGACTATATTAAGTAGCTAGAGGATGTGCAACAAGTAAGGTAGCATGTAGAGAGTAAGGATTTAGTTCTCTAGGCAATAGTCCTTAAACTCCTAGTTAAGATAGCTCTTATAGCTATCTAAGATAAGCAACCTGTATACTCCTACCTAATGTGTCTTTGTATATGTGTTAAAGTGCTTTAACTACTTAAGGCTAAGTGTGTTGTTTGTCTAACTATTCTTAGAGACTAAGAGCTTCTAATTATAGGGTATATCTGTCTCCTTATACTAGGCAGAGATGTGGACGCGTCCTTTGTAGATAATGAAAGGCGGGGTTGCATACCCAGCGGCGCAGATGCTCTAGATAACGGTTACCCACTCGCGATCGCCTGGCTGAACAAGCTCTAGCTGAGCACGTCTCTCTAAGCCTGTTACAACCTTTAAAGACAAAGCAATGCCTATCTAGAACCTAGTTTTATTAAAGTTGTGCACGTTATTGTTGCAAACACTATACTTAACTTAAGTATCCTCTACTAGCTTAAACTACATGCTAATTATCTTAGGATCTTCCTGTAGTATCCTCTGTCTATCCTTAGCTTAATTAAAGGCTATTTTAAGCTTGTCTGAACGCGTTATAAGCCTGCTAGCCTATAGTTTACTAACAGGCTCTTCACTACGCACACTAAGTATCTTATTAGCTATATCTGCCACCTTATATAGCTAGGGCGCAAATCCTTGCGAATTAAGGTTAAGTATATACTAGACAATTGTCTGCTCCTCTAGTAGGCTGGCGGATGGGTAGGGTAGGGTAGGGTATAGGTATAGTCACGTGATTTATGGGTAGGAACTAGGTAGGGTACATGAGGTACCCTACCCAAACGGTTTGGGTAGGGTAGCACGTGACTGGGTATAGGTATAGGTAGGGTAGCACGTGACTAGGTATAGGTATAGGTAGGGTAGCTAGGTAGGGTCTAGGAATGGGTAGTTATTAGCAAAATCTAGGTTACTACTCTAGACTTTGTACTATTGTATACTTTAGAGCATAAGTATGTGATAATAGACTGTGATAATAAATTATAGATGCTTTTTCTTCTAAGTATTGTGTATGCGAAAGAATCTACTAGTACAACCTAGGGTTAGTTGTATACAAACTAGGTTAGTAATATACCCAAACCAAACCTATACCTAGCACGTGCTACCCTACCTATACCTATACCCAGTCACGTGCTACCCTACCCTACCTATGGTCCGTGTAACCCTCCCCTACCTATACCTATGGTCCGTGCGACCCTACCCTACCTATACCTACGTCCGTGCGACCTATACCCTACCTATACCCTACCCTAGGTACATGGTACCCATCCGCCAGTCTATCCTCTAGTATAGTAAGTTTCTAGCAATTAGCGCGTATGTCTAGTTAAAACGTGATATTGCAAAGGCAATTAGAGACCTGCTAATAAGGTATATTTAATGCTCTAGCAGCGCTGTAGATACTGCGAAATTAGCTAGCATAGAAGGCCTAGATAGCAAGGATAACTCTGCCTTCTCTAGTAGTATTCTAAAGTTGTTGTTGTTAAGACATGTTGTGTTAGGGTAAAAGGTGGTTGTGCCAAGAGAAAGTGGCTAGTTTGGTGATATGGCCGGCTCGGTGATAATCTATGTTATATGTCTACGAACCTATATATACTATCCCCTTACACAGAAAAAACTTGTAAATTACTAGAGCAGCCTCACTGCTCTCGTCCTATATAGTCTTAGACTCACACAGGACGTTAAACTAATCAATCAATCAATCAATCAATCTCCCGCTACAGGATTGAAGGGTGCGGGAATTGGCGCTGTTCGCGGCCGCCTGTGTGCGGGCCAATCAGGAGTGGCCAGGTCTCGCTTAATCGACCTGGCAACTGCTGATTGGCTGCGCGACAGGTCTCTGCTCGATTGCGCAGATCCGACCTCTCGCCGCTCGCTCTTATCTGACAACTCCACCACTAGCTAATTAACGTGGAGCAACCTTAGAGGTAGTATTTAAGACACCACAAAGCGCCTAGCACCTATTACGCACGTAGAAGAGGTTGCTAGAATTAGAGAACCTCTTGCGAGGTACCTAGTTAGTGCTCAGCAAAGCAGCCAAGGCAATTACTCTTACTAACGCTAGGTCAGCTGGGCTTCAGGCAGAGAATTAACAACTCAAACATCTACTAGATAGTACTAAGAGTACACAGCCAAGAAAGCGCGTTTAAATAGACCTAAATAAGCGCTTCAGCAACATAGAGGACATCAAGGCTGCTCATGATCGCGTGGCGGCTCAAGCAAGAGAAAACGCTGCCTCAACACCAGAAAAAGCAGCTGAGATTGCAGCCAAGGTAGCAGAAGCCTGTAGCCTTAAGACTATGTGTACAGTAATTCAATTCTAAGCGTGGTGGTTGAGAAATTGCGACTCCAAATTGAGTTGGTTGCATTGGTGAGGTGGCCGAACACTATGGGTGGCCGAACACTAGGTACAGTGTCCGTGCACCTCGTGCACGTTTTCATCTCGTGCACGCCAACACCAAAAACGCGTGCATACCCTCAACGCGATAACTCAACAACGGCATGGATATAGAAGCTGCGCTTGAAGCCTGTGACGCAGCAGATGCAGTTGGTGAACTATCCTACACAAAAATTGCTAAAGAAAGTTCAGTGTCAAGATCCACGCTGTCGCGGCGACATCGACGCGTTTGCGCGTCGCGTGAACAGGGCTACCTCTAATAGCAAAAGATTACTCCACAACAAGAAGCCAAGCTCTGCAAATATATAGTAGACCTTCCAGACTAAGGCCTAGCTCCTACAAGGCAAATGGTACAAAATTTCGCCTCAGAAGTAGCCCAACAGTACGTTGGCGATGCCTGGGTTACTCAGTTCCTGCACCGTCACCACAAGACGCTCACATACAAATGGACCTCCGCCATGGACGCCACGCGTCACAACGCCGACGATAGCGAAAAGTACTTATACTATTTCAACCTACTACGTTCCAAGATCAACAAATACTCCATCGAGCCGCGGCACACGTACAATATGGATAAGAAGGGTCTGGCAATTGGATTGGTGAATAGAAGTAAAAGGGTGTTTAGTAAGGCAAGCTGGCAGCTAAAAGGCAAGCGCCAGAGCCTGCAGGATGGCAATAGAGAGTAGGTAACGATTATTGCAGCTATCTGCGCTGATGGTTCGGCGTTGCCACCAACTGTCATATATGCTGGCCAGCCAAACGCTCTACAATCGTCCTGGATGGAGGACCTGGACGCAGGCAAAGACACTATATACTCTACTGTAACGCTCTCTGGCTGGTCTAACAACAAGGTTGGTCTTGCCTGGCTTGAACAGGTGTTTGAGCGGGAAACTGTGAGTAAAACTCGCGGCAGCTGGCGCCTACTTACACTTGACAGCCACAGCTCCCACATAACAATAGCTTTTATTAACTATTGTAGTCGCCATAAGATTTTGCTACTTGTTTACCCACCTCACAGTACCCAGACGTTGCAGCCGCTCGATGTTGATTGCTTCTCACCTTTTAGTAACAACTACTCTAAAGAAGTAACTGAACAACTCCACCAAAGCTAGGCCTTAAGTAGCATTAAAAAGCGTCACTTCTACAAGCTTTTCTGAGCCGCCTGGTACAAAACGTTTACCTGTGAGCTTGTGCTGGCCGCGTTCAAAGCCACAGGCATCTCACCACTAGACCCACCTATTATACTTAATAGGTTCAAGAACAAGCAAAGCGAGCTTCCGCGAACTCCATCTCTGTTACTCAACGTCAACAGGATTGCAATAGAACAGTTTTGCAACGCAACAGTGAAGGACCCTACAAGTTATGAGGCAAGGAAGCTAGTTCGCACGTTGAACTACTTAGCAGCTCGCAACTCACTTCTAGAGGTAGAAAACGAAGGCCTCTGCAACCAAATTGACACCCGAAAGACCTCTCAGAGGTACCGCCAAGCCCTGCCACTGCAGGCCTCCAAGTCCTATACTTCTAACGCGATGTTGTGGTCTCCAACGAAGGTGGATGAAGCCCAGGCTCAACTACGTCAAAATACCCACCAACAGGCTGAGGAAACTGCTGCAAAGGCTCGCAGGAAGGCAGACGCAGCCGAGAAGAAGGTTCGAGATGAGCGAGAGAAGGAGCGGCAGAAGGTGGAACGAGCGAGGGCAAAGGAAGAGAAAGCCCTTAGGACGGCCGCTGAGAAGGCCGAGAAACAACGAAAAAAACAAGAGAGCAACGCTGCCAAATCTATCCAATTATCTCAAACAGGCAAGCGCAAGGCCTCAAACAAGCCTCCTCCAGAGCCAGCAGCCAAAAAACAGCGTGTGCGTGGAGGTACTCGCGTCGTAGTTGACGCGTCGCCGTCTCCGGCACCTCCACCAGTTACTACACGCAGCGGCCGCACAACACGTCCAAATAAGAAGTGGCAACAGGGCAAGCACCGTAGTACTCAATAGATTATTACTACAAAAAATCTCAATATAATAGCTTTTGCGTGTGGCTGTATAACCTCATTTTTGTGGTTGCCAAAAGTCGTTTTCGCGTGCACAAGATGAAAACGTGCACGAGGTGCACGGACACTGTAGCCGAGCTTAGCACATATCTGTAACGTGTGAGCCACAGGATTTAGGTGTAGGACACCGGAACGGGTGGCCTCTGTATGCACCGGCCTCGGCGCAGAATGCGTCCGAGATGAGCCTGAAGGGGCTGCAGGGAAAAACTTGTAACAGTCTAATCCTGGCTAGCACTCTCCCCATGACTACATCCTGCGATATACAGCGTACTGTTATAACAGGGCTCTACGTTGCCTTATCATTAGTAACAACGTCAGATTGCCAGCCACAAGGTTGAGAACACAATGAATATGCGGAATTGTATCTGATGAAATCTACGCACCTGCATCGCGTAATTGTTGGAGCTGATGAAGCGATAGCGACGTAGATGATGCATGGGCAGGGACACACTAGGTAGCTACTGGACACACAGCTCTTTAGACTTGCATCTGTACAGGAGACGATATTGCCCTTTACTGTAAGCAGAATAATCAATAGTAGTGCACGTGCTCGCGGTGATCATCGCACGTTCGAAACCGTTTGTCGCGTGGGTTCGGGTGCTCTTGCAAACCCTTGTTGCGCAGATTGTATGCCTCATTGCAGGCTTAGCCTACTTATACCTTTGATAAACAGCCTAGTCGTTCATGTCCTTTCGAAATAAGACTGGCCAACTATCACGTGAGATGACGCACGCACCATTGCTAAATATTGCGTGTTCAAGACGGTTCGTTGCGTGCGTGTCGGTACCGGTAGACTTGCCTGGAGCGTAGCGAACGCACGACTCAAGCCGGGCCGCGGGATGGTTCGGATGAAACAGCATCGCGCAAACGTGCAAAGAAAAGCAGGTAGGCCGGAGCTCATTCGACGCGATCCTGCTGTGCGCAGCTACTTTTGACGCCTCAGCTCATGGGTCTTCCAGCACAGCTACATCAGGGTCGCGCTAAAATTTCCGTGCTCCTCGAGCGCCGCCACTGGTTCACTGGGTTCAAGACCCGTTTTGAGATTCTGTGTCAGGACTACAGTCTCAGGTTGATGAGAGACTACAATCAGCCCATCTGGTTAGCAAAACTTTTGAGGGACTGCCCTTCACTATGTGACGCCCGTAAAGCGAAGCCTTCGTACCCACAATGCCAATGGCATCTTGAATTATTTGGCCGCGCCTTCATCTACTCAATGCAACTTGGTGTGGATCCGTACCCGCAAGCATGCAGGCATGAGCGTCTGGGGGATCTGTACCTAGCTGCTCCACTTCGGCACGAAAACATCACTTTATGATCATGAATCAAACCCCGGCACACTGCAAAGGGGTATGGCACCTCCGCACGTACCTCGACCGAACTTCTTTATGACCTGACATGTAACGCGCCGTTTGTGATGTGAACTCTTGCTCCACGGAACCTTTGGTCCTCGGAGTAAACTCCTAAAGCCCCATCATATTGGTATCAGACCACGAGATGCGGTTCAATCGCTCCCCTTGGCTGGCCATGTCCATCTTTCTTCTGATTTCCCTCTGTCGATCCCAAACGCACAATTTCAGTTCATTACCTAGTTGCGCTGTACGTAGTCCAGCACCAACACCTGAATCTTGGACTAAAGGCCTCTCCAGCAAAACTGTGTGAAGGACACCTTCGCAAGCACAACATGTCATCCATTATCGAGCTCCGGCGCATCCTGCGCCTGCCGCGATACTGCCACCTTAGACAAAGCTAGCGACTGTATCGCAACATCATGCGGTCGCAAGGACCAACTGAGCGCACTCAACCTGACCTTCAGGGCTTGCACCAACAAGACAGCGCGCGACAGATCAACCAGCTATCGCCACATCAATGTCGCCTTCTACATCTTAGCCATTCTAGCAATGGGCACTCAATGGTTGGTGCGCTTCAGTGTCGGGCGACTCCACTGGCTAGACGATGGCAGTTTGGTCATGGTTCTAGCTGTGGACACTCTTTTATTTGTAGTCTGCTACAAGATGTCTTGGACAGGTCTGGGTCGCGATATATGGAATGTGCCTTTCGAGCAGATCACTATCACGCTGTTGGTGAGACAACCTCTATCTAAGTAGGGTATCGACTGACTTGAGCTTTCAGCATTTCTGGGTCAGCGAAATCGCGTATTTCTCCACCCTCGGCTTTGTCAAGATCTCTTTCTTGCTCTTCTTTCTGCAGATTTTCCCTGAGAAGCGCTTCAGGCGAACCGTATGGACCGTGATCTGGCTCCAGATTGCATCGATAATCGCGTTTGACTTAGCCGCTACCTTCGTCTGCACGCCCATCAGCTTCGCGTGGGAGCGATGGGACGGAGAGCATACCGGAAAGTGCATCAACAACAATGCGCTTGCCTTTACGCATGCCGCACATTCCATACTTACTGACTTCGTCACCTTATCGCTGCCGATCACGCAAATTTGGAACTTGCATCTAGGACTGAAGAAGAAGATTGGCGTGCTTCTCATGTTCAGTGTTGGAGCTTTGTCAGTCACCCTCCTCAGAACGCAACATTTCGAACTACTGCTAACACAACTATTAAGCGTCACTGTCGTCTCGATGCTTCGTCTTCGATCCCTCGTTCACTTTGCCAACACCACTAATATGACATGGGACTACCTCGAAGCCAGCCTGTGGTCGGTCATTGAATGCCAAGTTGCCATTATCTGCACCTGTATGCCTTCAATCCGGCTCGGTCTTAGTCGCCTCTTTCCAAATATCATGGGTAGCACAAACCATTCTACAGCAAAGGATACCGGAGCTCCATCCAGACGCAGCCACGCGCTCACCGCTTTCAGTGGGCTTACTGGCAATGAAATCAATGTACAGACTACGTTCAAGACCAGCCACATGAAGAAGGGCCAGACGAACGACGATGAGAGAAGCTTTGTACAGTTGGTTGAGATTGAAGGAGACTCGAAGAGCGTGAAAACCTCTGCCAGCTAGGTTAGCTGAGTATTACATTTTATCTGGGTGAGGAGGGAGGGAAACATTTAGTTACACGCTATCGTGCATCACAAAAGCGACGAAGTTCGCAGAGAAAACGTTGGACTTATTTTATAAAAGACCCTCCTGTAATGACTCACAACTCTGCAGACTGCGCGGAATCTTCTTTTCCAGTACATTCCGCACATTTCACTAGATATCCTTATGCTCGGTGAACTTCCTCACTCCCAGAACATCTCTAAGAATCATCTCAAGTTCTCAATCTGCAGCCAGATCAACAGGTATTGTTCCTGTCTAATCTTTTTATCCAGCATATAAGCCAAGCTTTAGAAGCTTCCTGAAGCCTTAATATGGAGGCTCGTCAGATACTCCATTGTAGAACAGAAAGCTATTCGCACGAGCTGCATTGCCGTCAACATAACGCACGCTCTGGCTCTTTCCGTTACGAACTTGTCACCCAACCTCAGCCTTGGTGAGATGCTCAGACACTAGATGCTTAACAAATCCGAAAAAGTTAATTATATCCCCCTCCAGCCATGCAATTCCATAATGGGCGAAGCTGTCAATAGGTGTCTCAACCCTTTTGCTCTGCAGACCGATGCACAATCCTTAAACCGGGAGGTAGGTAACGTAACAAATTAGTTCGCTTCGAAGCACATCGCCATGCTCACGAACTGCAAGATCTCCACACAAAAGGAACCGGTGCAGCAAGTCGTTACTCTCGTTCCTTGTGACCACCATGGCTCAACTATGCAACAAAGAGATGTAGTACCTTCTACATTTGGCTTGTTGCTGAGCTCCAAGGACTCTTTGGAGCCTGGCGAAGTATGCACTCGCCAACACTACAAGTCTCTGCCAGTAAGATATAGCATGTGCTTCCTTTGCAAGTCGACAACAAAATTGTGCGCCCCATGTTAGATGAGCAAGCCTGAAGCGCTTCGCCCTTTCGGGTTATAATTTTTCGTCTTATCAGGCGAGCTAGACGCGCTCAAGCTTCTAGCTCGTAGTCGGTTTCAGCTTTCGTGAGCTGTTTTGATTGTTTTACTTGACGGCCTTACGGACAGTGGTGGCGCCATTCAGCTGGCGTGCGGACAGTTGCCGTGATCAAGTTGCAACTGAGTTGTTCCTTCATCATCTTCGCAGTCGAATATTCTTCCATGTCGCTACCTAGTTCTTTATGTCCAACGGCGTTGGCATCCGCGTCACGTTGAAGCAAGGACTTAGCCGCGATGTCAAACATCAAACGATCGCATATATCAAGGGCAACACTAATTGATGTTCCCTTACAAGAATTCTCACAAAACAGTATTTAGATCCTGATCTGGAAGTGTCGCAGCCATAAAGGAGGCAAAATGTACATACATCAGCACCCCCCAATTGGCTTGTAAATAGGCATGATATCTGCTGCGACAGGAAGATAGCAAAGTTCCTTGTGCACTACCACCAGTGCTCACAGCGAATTAGTGTGAGAGGGGTGCTTTTACCCTTCACGCTGCCAAGTTACTGCAGGAGCTTTGGCATCGCTCCTAAGATGGCTCTTCAAAATGTTGCTGCGCGCCAACATCATACCGGATGGTTGAGTGACTCAGAAACTCCAGCATCAAGGATTGAGGTGAGGGTGCATATCACGTGATCCGCATCCGGATATTTGCCCGACCAGACACTGGCGATCTACCACGCCCTGGTGAGCGGAATCGGGTACAGCTTGGAGCCGTGATTAGGGCTCTAATTATGGTATAGCCGGGTCAGTATTTCTGTATATTTCCTGCTCATTCAGCACCGTAGATAGGACAAGGAACTTGATCACTTTCTTCACACTTGATCAACGATCAGAGACTGCTCAGCTTCCACAATGATCGAATGGGATATTGTGTCGCGAAGAATCATTTCACTCTCGTCGATGCTTGGATGCGAATGCGTCCTGACACGCGCTAGAAATATGTCTGGCAGCAATTAATCATCTTGCATGATACAGGCACGTTCGACAGTTGATCTGTTGTGTAAGTCCCTGCAGTTTACAATACACATGGTTTTTGGGAATCAGCCCGCTCTAATAGCCTCCTACCTAGACTTTTAGTAACCTGAGTAACTCTAGTGCCAAAGCACTCGCATACTGGCTTAAGCTACTCGCGCTCGATCAGAACCTGCATGCATGATCTACACTCAAACATGCTGCATTCAAAGCCTCAGTCGTAGCTATTCCATTTGAAGCGCAGGCCGTCTTGGCCAGTCGAACGGTTCTTATCAAAAAAGAGCACTGCCTTTTCTAAGAACAGTTAGACCGATTTCTACTCTCCGGTATGTTATAAGCTACATCTCTAAAAGACAGGCACTTGATAGCAGCAGAGTTTGCCACGTCATCTCTACCAACAAACAATTTCGTGGCCTCGTACGATCCGGCAGTAAAACTAGTACACCCAGCTTGACCTACGGAATCAGAAGTAGACTTTGGGCCGTTCGCAAGCGGTGATCGAATTCTCAAGCAGTAAGCCTACGACGTTGAGCGTCCAGCGTCTGGCCGCGAGATAAAGCGCGTTGCAGCCCGCAAAGGCCGCGCAACATGGATCCGCTCGTCTGCTGCGAAACTTTCCGACAAGGTACCTAGAAACATAGACGCCAGATGGAGTAGGGTAGGGCACGCTATCGTCGCTGTTCTTGTCGGAGATACCAAAGTTCGGCATATAGAGCCAGAGCAATGCCAAATAAATTCATGCAACTGAGCTGTCTCAACCTAACACCAGACATAGTCGACTACTGGGAGTGGTGACATTGAATGAAGAGTACAAGAAGTGAACAGCGACCGTAATGGTGCGGCTGCCAGGAACTAAGCACCATCTGTGCTAGCTGTGAAAACGTGAACAGCTCACGCACACACAAAGGACGCTCAGATGTTTCTTAGAGTCAGAAGCCAGCAAGCGACGAACATAAACGTTTCAACTTGGAAGTGCACATGTTGTTACATTACAAATCTTTTGCAACCGCTTCGAGTGATTCCTTGAAGATGTTGCATGCCTGGGTCATTTCCTCCTCGCTGATGGTAAGTGGCGGGATGAACCGCAAGACGTCAAATACGGAGGTGCTGAGAAGAAGCATGTCGCGCTTTATGCACTCCTGGACAATCTTCGGTGCGATCTGTGGTTGTGTTTGTGCCTCCCTCGCAGCTGTGTTTGAAGAGTCGTTCTGCAGCTCTGGGTTCGCAAATTGTACGCCGACCATCAAGCCCTTGCCACGGACGTCTTCAATCAAGTTGCCAGCCTTTGTACCTGATGCCTGAAGGTCCTTGAGGAAAGAGAAGATCTGTTCAGAACGGGCAGCGACGTTGTCGAGGATGTCCTCTTCACGGAAGACTTCGATGACAGCCTTTGCAGCAGCACAAGCGACTGCATTGCCTGCATAGGTACCACCCATCGATCCAGGCTTCTGAAGGTCCATGAGGTCCTTGCGACTCGCAATTCCTGACAAAGGGAAGCCGTTCGCAATACCTTTGGCAAATATGAGAATGTCAGGTCGGACTCCAGACTCCTCTACAAAGAACATGTGACCTGTGCGGCCCATGCCAGACTGGACCTCATCAGCAATAAGAAGAATTTTGTTCTCGTCGCAGATCTTCCTCAAGCCATGCAAGAAAGCTGGAGGGGCAGGGACATAACCGCCCTCACCGAGGACGGGCTCCAGGATGATGGCAGCAGTATCAGAGGGCGAGGTCTGCTGTTGCAGAGTAAGCTTGACCTGGAGAAGAGCCTGGTTGACGAGCTCCTCTGTGGGTGTGTCTGGAGTTGCGCCGCCAAACTGGCTGTAGTAGGGGAATGCAGTTGCGAACACACCACCCATCAAGGGGCCGTGGCCTTCGCCGTAGATGGTTTTAGATCGCGTCATCGATGCTGTCGCGTTCGTGCGACCGTGGTACGAACCCTGCATGACAATGATGTTGGGCTTCTTCGTAGCGCCACGAGCTAGCTTGACCGCTGCCTCGACTGCTTCTGCTCCCGAATTCCACAGAAAGACAGTGTCTAGAGACTTGTGTGGGAGGATGGGAATCAGCTCCTTGAGAAGAGCAATCTGGGCAGAGCTGAAGCCAATGTTGACTTGAGCATGTGTGATTTTGCCGCACTGTGCAGCGGCAGCAGCACTGACTTTGGGATGGCAATGGCCGAGGTTTACAACGCCAATGCCGGATGTCATGTCGAGTAGCTTGACACCCTTGTCTGTGGTGATGAAGGTGCCCTTGCCATCTTCGAAGACATGTTTGGTGAGCCGGCCAATTCCCTTTGCAATGTGTTGTTCACCAAAAGCAGCACCTTCCAGGTCGGAGGCTGCCGGTTGTGTTGAGGAGAAGGTTCGTGAGGGGACTTGTGTGCCGGAACGAGCGACAGCAGGCGCAACGGCGCGCAGAGCGGAGGAGGAGCTTCTCTGCAGCATAGTCGCAAGCGGGTCGTGATATTGATCGTGAAGGTAAATCGTAACGGCGTAAAGTAGGAGTGAAACACTGTCAACGAGACGCGGTGAAAGTTGACACAACTTGACGTAGCGACGAGGGCGGGTTGAACGTTCATATTCGAGGTCACTATCGATATCGGCCGATCTCGGGGGTTTTGGGCGCCCTTAACGCGTGTGACGCCACAAACGCTACCAGGACAGAAAATCGCATACTCTTGCGACCCTCGTTGTTCTGTACATGACATGTCGTTGGAAGTGAGACATAAGGGTCGACTGCCTTACATGCACGATTATGTGCGATCACAGACACTATTGCGAGGCTATGTGACGTCATGGCGTATGGTGCAGGGAGCAAAGAACATCGACCGAGCTTCACAAACCGCATCGTACTTCGTATTTGAAGACTGGCCATTCAACAAGACAAAAATTGAAGCCTAACCATTATATTGTATGGGCTTAAATTTCCCCCAAAGGTCATGATTTGTGAAGTATGCGTTCCACCAAGAGATTGATGATCGGTGTTTCGACGCGTGAGGGCCATATTATATCAGGCCCGGGGCTCTGAGATGAATACGACCAGGACCGCGGAGAACCTTTCAGTTGTCAGTGCCTGTAATTATCTGACTTCAAAGACATCTGGAGACTTACGCGGCGGTTGCTGCAAAAATCTCTGTTCTCGAACTCGTTCCTTGAGTGAGGGCAATCAGGCCGACAGCAAAGATGATGGCGAACCCCGTAATGCATAACAGTAGATTACGTTCGCCTTCGACTTGAGTCAACACCGCAATTGCGACCACTGGGAGTAGGCACGCAATGACGGTAGAGAGACTTGATGTAAAACGCAGGGCCGTAGACTCAGACATCGACCTCACAGTATCCTGGACTCTCACCTCGGTCTTAGGCACATACTGTTGCCCCTGCTTCTCGGCATCAAAGACCGATGGGTTCAGGATATTTTCAGATGTGCTAGCTCCGAGCTGCATGGCCGAGTTTTGTGCTCGTATCTTACTATGCTCTTTTTTCTCTCGCCATACCCAATAGAGAGGCGCAACTCTGTACACAATCCACCTGGACAGCCCATCAATCTTAATCCCAGGATGTGAGACGGCTAGGTCAGGATATTCTTGTGGTGAAGGGTCCGACCATATCAGTGATTTAAGAACAACGCGCAGATGATTCCATAGGGTGTCCGATGCGCCAGTGTCAGTCAGAGGTCCCCATGTCTCGTCCGCACGCTTTCCGTCACGGACACGGCAGTTACCGCCGTCTTCTCTACAAAGCCACTTGCGGAGAGAGCTCATGTTGTAGGTCTCGGGCTGTGGTAGTGCCGATACTTGCGAGTACTGTAAAAGCGCATCGTCTTTGAGAAGCATTAACCGAGACCCAGTCAAGAAAAGGGGGAGGGGCGGCGTTACATACTATATTCATGCAGCAAGCACCTTAGCTTTGTCAATAGCTCATGATATTCCGAGTCAGCATCTTCCAACACGTGTGCGTAACAGGTCAAGTTGAGGTTCTCTTCGACCTGCATGATATGGGTGCGCAGGGACTGCAACTGAGCCTGGTAGTACAGCAGATTTCTGGTATTAAGATCTCGGAACCGTGGAAATGCGGCAAACTCAGGAATGTCGGCCATTTTGTGCGCCAACTTTGGCCAGCCATCCCGCTCTTGTGGCTTGTAATCTTTGGGTGTGTTCCCACCCGAGCTACGGACTGACTGGGTCCTCGTTGTGCCATGATCTGAGGATTCTTCATCAAGACAGGCTCGCTGTTCACCATGGCCCATAATCTTCTTTGGGCTCTGTGGGGGAGAATCTGGGTCGACAACGGTAGCGTCAGCCGACTGTGCACTTGACATTGAATGGCGCAGAGAAGGCATCGTGTTCTGGGCGGACGCGCAAAGCTACGGTGGGGGGAGAATTTATCCTGCGAAGTCGCTGTAGATTCTCAGTATGGACAAGGTTCAAGTATTGTATTTGAAAACATAGCCGCACCACATTGTCCTCTCTTATGCGTGGTCTAAGCTACCACAGTCTGCAAAAAGAGGGGTATCCAGCTGCAGCTACATGACTGCAGAAGGCTGAACCGACCACACGTGTAATGAAGCGCGCCGGTTCATGCTTCTAGTGTCAGCGATGAGTATTACATGCAGATGTTGGTCGCATTGAGCATGGGTTAGGAATGGGTGGAAGCCGGTAAGATGGCCTACGTTCGCGAATCTGCAAGGCAAAGTGGTCCGACTGTAGGATGTTGATGTCGCTCACCGTGCGGGATAGATTTAAACAGTCGCTGGCCTCTATACACAACATGCAGTGTTAACTCTCTCAGCAATTACTATCCTCGTGGCTCTTTGCCGCACTGTCGATGAACGCCAGTTCTACATCCGATCTAATCTTTGCACGGCACTCGAGCCCTACAAGACAACTTTGGAAATGCTCACCTCCGCCAGACACCATGGACAACGGAGCGTGAAGAGGATCACTTCGATGAATAGGTGGGTTATGATGAAAGAGACAGGTAACATGTGCTGATCGTGATGTAAGATCGAAGACGCGAATGTAGTCGCGAAAGTGGGCGTCTGAAGTTGCGCTAGGAGACCTCCTCGTTCAACCGACCGATCCTCGAATCAGACGGGATATCTGCCTAGGCAGAGCGTCCAATCCGAACATTTCGAAAACTGGACACCGCCTCTTCGTGCCTCTGGATGCAAGCTCACCGGTCAGGCAAAGATAGCCTTGTCGCTGCGCCCTGCTGACATGTTCGCCCCCGCCCTCCACAACGCCGATGGTCAGCCCAGCGGTCAGACTCGCCTGTTGCCTTTTCGCCTTCTTTCTCGCGCCATTCGAGTGGTCGTTCGATTCATTTTTGCAGTGGACACTTATGTGGGGGCATCACTGTGAATTCTGCTGACGGATGGCACTAAGCACTCTGCCCCTAACCGGAAAGCAAGACCGCTCGGGCCCTGTACAAATTTACATACTGTTGCAGCCAAAATAGAGGCAAAATGTACATACATTTGCACCCCTGAATTGGCTGGTAAATAGGCATGATATCTGCTGCGACACATACTGAATCACGCCCAACTCAAGCTCGTCAAGCTCTCATAGATGCATTCCCAGGAACTAAATACATTTTTCATGTCGGAGCTCCACTTCAAAGAGCAAAACCGCGTATTCGCCTTCAGTGTTCAAGTCACGAGTCCGCCTGTTGTCGAAGATTATGATATTCATCATTTAACTTACATCTTTCAGGTGCTGGAAAAAGACCCTCATCATGACTCGCATCGAAATGGCGGGTACCTAGATGGCCATAGGTTCGTATATCGATCGCCCCAATGGCTGTGCAACCCCCAGTTGAGCCTTCCACGTCAGGTGCATTACCTCAGGCTCCCGACAAAAAGACTGATAGATATCGCTTCTATCATTGAGCTTCAGCCCCTGGCCGAGCCTCAGGCCGAAGCATGCGAAGTATTCTACGTAACCGGTGAACTACTCTTCCGGCAGCAATATCAGCGCCATCGAAGAATCACAGCACCTCGTGGCCACACCTTTGAATAGAGGCGTCTACTGCGCAAATTTACAGAGTTCCCTGCTCTTAGCACCCTGTATCTCTCTAACAGCACCTGTCCTATCCGTCTTGTGGTGGCTTAGGGGGCCAGCTTGTTTAGATAAAAGCTGTAATACCCTATCCTTGAGAGAGCGCAGTAAACCCCACAACACTTTCACTCTTAGTAGCACAAGGTCGCATCTTTTGTTTCGGGACATCATTGTCTTTGTTGCTGTCACGCGATGGCTGAGCGTACGACACGTGGTAGGTGACGCCCAACGTCAGCGCGACCAATCACTAATCAGCGAGCCACTGCTTAGAAAATGGAGCTGTCTCGATGACCTCGCCTGATGGACATCTTGCTCCCAACGATGGTTTTCCAAATGACACGCGCCGTCGATCTGCTTCTATTGCACCGTCTCTACAGTCTCATATCACGGTCGTTGAGGGCAAGGACAATTCTCCTGATCTCTACAGTTTTGGCCGTCAGCAGACATTCAGAAGTCCGTTAAAACTTAGTTTTTGGGACTGGGTGAAAGGGATCTTCAATCGTGAGGCATTGATGAGGAGAATCGAAAGATCCATGGAAATCACGCGTCCACAAGGGTCATCCCAAAAGGTTTGTCCATGTCCCTGATCGTCGTACCTAGGTTAGGCTGACCTTACAGGTGTTCCGCAGGTCTGACTTCTTAGTCACCGTTCTGGTGTCGCCCAAGGCCAACAGCACTCAACATCATTCAACACAATGTCTCCTCGACACGGGCTGCCTAAGAGGCAACCTCGTCACACGCGAGCTTGTAAATCGCCTGGGCTATGTGACATCTGACTTTCAAACACCTACGCCCTATGAGAGTGAAGGTGCCCGCACGTTGACTGGGGAGCCTTTCGCCGTTGAGGCTGCGATCTATTTATCATGGCACCACAGCTCTAGCCCAATAACCTTTCGGCAGATGCGCTTCCTCATCATATCAAACTCCGAGTTTGAGATGATCATTGGGTCTGATACCATCAGCAAACACAGCCTATTGGTACCCCCTGTCTTTGCCACAGGCAGTCGCTCTGTGTACGAACCGTCTGAAGGTAAGTTGTACGAGCTCTTTCGCAGATTCCATGACGTGGAGATACTCATTGCATCCAGATCCCACAGTTCGAGAAATGCGTCTGGATCACGCGGAAGCCGAAAGCGAAATCGAGAATCTTGAGCGTGACCTCCAGAAAGAGTTGAAAAAGCCCGAATCTGAGCGCAATCAAAAGCTCATCACCAGCATCAAAGACGGCTGCCAGAAGAAAAAGGCGCAACTCGAGATCATGGTATTCGGACTGGACGCACAGAAAGCGGAGAGCAAAGGCAAAAATGAAGATGCTAAAAGGCTTCGAGAACAAGCGGAGAGTGCGCAGGATGCTTTAGACAGAAAGCAGACTTCTCCAAATCGCCCCTAGCAAGGCTCAGCCGAACGCTGGGAACGGAAAGTCAAGGTAAATCCTACCGGACCCCAGGTCGTCAGACGCAGCTCAGCTGGCTCTCGCTATCCAGAAGCCTGAGCCCAGACTTCTGCGGGAGCTTCTGCCTTTCCATCCTTGTAGTTTTGATTTTGGAGTTATTCAAGAAGGGTTGCGCCGCGAGAAACTGCTGTATACCAGGTGGTCTGTATTTAATTTTGGCTTGTCTTATTGAAATGCACTGCAGGCCGGTCGTTAGCGGTTAGAGTCTGTAAATCCATGTGTTGGTAGGGCTATTATTAGATACTACCTGAAACAACGCCATGCCGAACACAACGATGCAGAGGTATCTTAAGCAAGGAAAGGTCTACTCAAACACGCCCCAGGACGTCCTATCGCCCGCGGCCCATGCCCAGGCCAGTCATACGGCCACCGCCGGCGTTCAGGCTCTGTCGTACAATCATCTCTGCGGCCTGCGCAGCCGCGAGTCGTTCCTGTGATGTAAGTTAGAAACTTCATGCGTACGAAGGACTGTTACAACGCACCTTCTGCCTGCTTCGATCCTTCAGGTATCTCTCCGCCTCGGGCCTCATACGCAGTATCCTCAAGATCATGTCATCGTTGGGCTCGGCCTGTGCCTCCTTCCGCTTCTCCTCCTTCGCCTTCTTCATCGTGCCCAAGTTCCTGCTCAGCATGATGGTCTTGTGCTTGCGTGTCGGCATACCCACAAGGCCCGCCGCACCACCAAAATGGTGGCCCATGGTGGGCGGCGCGGACTGCCTGTTCAGCCTAGCTGCTGTCTCCTGCTGTCTGCGAGCGCTGGCACCGGCCATGGCTTCGCTGGTGCGGATGAGGTCTTCTGTCGACTCGAAGTAGAAGAAGTTCAGGTTCTGGAGCTCGTGGTACTTGGGCGACTTGAGGACGTCCATGGGTACACCTTCGACGTTGCCGTCTTCGTCGGCGGCGTGGAAGAAGTCAAACAAAAGTTTGAGCCACTTGAAGACGATGTCGAGCTCTTGCTGCGTCAGTGGGCGCTGCTGGGACAGCTTGTCGGAGAGTGGCGGGACAAGCAATGACTCTATCGTCGCCAATGCCTCCTTCCACAGGCGAGTCATGACCATGATCATCGCAGCATCTGTGAGGGTCTGCTTCATGACGGCAAAATTCTCGTCGAAGTATCTGAAGAGCGGATCCAGCGCTTGCGTGATATCCTGCGATGTTGGACCTTGAATGACGGATTGCGGGCGGGCTGCTCGGAAGTAGTTGGTGACCGACGTTACCGAGATTCCTCGATTGAGTAGCGCTCTCAGCGTTCGACGAGAGAGCGTGTGGCTGATGAAAGACGATAGCTAGTATAGTCAGTAGACGTCCAGGATATGCAGCGAGTACCTACCTTGTCTGTGATCTTCCGTGTCATGTCTCGCTCAGTCCTCTTAAGCGTTCTGAACGACTTGCCAAAGTAGAATTGAATGTCGTCTCGTTCGCCTTCCATGCTCACCCGCAGCAATAGGCGGCCCTGAGTGTCGAGGTCCAGCCAGTACTCGCGCGGCATGTAATCTCTGAAGTGCGAGGGATCCAGCTTGAGCGAGGTTCGACCGACACAGTCGTGATCGCCAAGAGTGTCCCAATCCCAGATGGTCGCCACAATGTTGAGCGGTCCGTTGGTGGTAATATCGATTGTCTCGTCCCAGCGTGGGTTGAGGTTGCCGTAGATTACTCGTGTTTTCGCGAGGCGCTTCTGGTATTCGTCGCCGAGAACAACATACGGATCGCTCAGACCGTTCATGTCGCATGCCTTGAGGTCCTCCGCTTCAATAATCTTAATCGTGAAGACGAAGTTGTTGTTGCGCATGCGCTGTGTTTGAGGCGGCGCGTGCTTCTGAATCACTTCTGCACATGCGTCGACACCGATTTCGCGTTCCAGCTTGTCGAGCTGCTGCATGGCGTACTCGATATTGTTGAGCTTGACGAGTGACTGACTGAGTTAGTATCAAAATCCACCTTCCGATTTGGAACTTACCTCGGGGTAGAAATTGAAAGGTGCGCCCGCCTCTTTCTGCGCATACAGATCCTTGGCCATCGACGCCCACTGCTGTGTCCGCGTTTGTCGTGCCGCAGCCTCTTGCTCCGGGGTCAAGCGATCCATCTCCCTCGCGAACTTTTGCTCGACAAGGTCACAGTACCTGGCAAGGGCAAGACCAATCGACTTTGACACCGCAGTCATGAATTTGGCATACTGCAGGTCGTCGTCCCAGTTCAAGGCCACGATCTGTTCGATACTTTGGTTGAAAGACCGGAATATGTCCACGACCGAGACACTGTGTCGCTCGTCGTCGGCAGGAACAGGGTTCTGTGACTGGATTTGGAACTGATCCGCCTTGAATGCATTGTCGACCCAGCCTATAAGGTTTGCATCGGTCATCTGAATCCATCGCCAAACGAAATCCTGCAACAGGCCCTCAATCTGAAAGGCAAATGGCTGGTTTGGTAAGGCGTCGCTGTGTATCCGTCGAATCTCGACCATTTCCTTGTAGAGATCGAAGCCATCTTGGACTGGGATCTCCTCCCCCTTCGCACGAAATACGTCCATGATGCGCGCTACAATGTCCCTCGCGTCTGTCGCGTACGCAGGGAACATCTCCTCCACTAGACACATCATCGGGCTGACACCCATGACCTCGGGGTTCTTGCGGTATCGCTTCTGGATCTTCTCACACAACTTCACCACGGCGCGCCCAAGCTCAATCACGTGGTAGAACTCCCAATCCTCCTTGGTGTCCGGGATATTCTTCGCCAGCATCTCCCCATACACATCACCTGCTTTCCGTCGGAGGGCCAGGCGCAGCTGCTCTGTGAACTGGTTCAGGTCCTCGTCGGGCACGTCAAACGTAGGGTCCTCGTAGATGTGGCTGGTCATGATGTACATGATGGGGCCGAGCGGTGGCGCTTTCGTGTCGTATACGAACATCATCAACTCGAACAACTCTCGCAACAAGGTATCGTGGAGTGACGATAAGATTTGCTGATTGAGCAGGGCGTCGTGCACTGTCCATCTCGAGCGGTCTGACAATATGTCCGGTGGCGGCATCTGCATCACGCTCATCCTGTTCGCCTTCTTGTCTGTCGCTGGTGGTGGCTCCTTGACGTAGTTGAATGCGGCGTCCAACGTATCAAGATCCAGCTCTTGGTCCAGGTATTTCTCTCGGACGACGTCCAGATACAGGATGAATCGCGAAGGCAGCGTCAGTCTCCACCGATGCGCAACTTCGCTCAAAAGATCGTGCGACTGTTTGGAGAGCATGCCAATGTACTCGTTGACTCCTTCATTTTGCTGCGCATCGGCGAGATCATACGTAAGCGCCTCCTTGAGGATAGCGCGATAGTAGCTGCGGGGGTCTGGTGGGATGAAGGTGTATGATTCGTCGCCATTGGCCAGGTCGTCGCGCATGCTGAGTCCATCCAAGGCCTGATCAAGTCCGTATGCTCCACTTTCAGACGACTGCGAGCCTTGCCGCGAGCCCAGGTCGACTGATGCGTTGTGTGATCTGATCTGAGCTGCTGCTGTCGAGCCTTTTGCTAGGTCTGGATTTGCTTGCATGAGCTCCAAGATCAAGCGTGATAGCTCGGAAGTTTCTTGGCTCTTCCATAGCTCATATGCCTCTTCCGATTCAAAGTCTTCCGAGCTCAGTGTCTTTCTTGTCATCAGACTCAGATTCGTCTGGTATGTCTTGAGGTCCAGCAAGGCTGCTTTTTCGGTGCAGGTCTCCTTGTATCTGTTGATATCTGCCTGGACATCCGAGTAGGACACGGAGAAGATGCGTGAGACAATCAAAACAAGCGGCATGTCTTTAATCTCGTAAGAGCGTTCCACCAGTACCTCGATCGTGGTGCCGCCCTGCCCTCCATTGCGCGTGCTGTCGGCTGTCAGATCCTGGTCGTGCACCAAGAGCTTCTTCTCCATGTTCTGCAGTCGCTGGAGCAGTTCTGGCCTGTCTCGCTGCCAGTCGTGGTCCCTTAGCGTCGAGCTGATCAGGCGGATAAACAGGGCCAGGTGTCGGTCAACCATTAGCTTCCAGCTGTCGTCGCCGGGCTGCTTGCCTCTGCCCATCTCCTTTGTGGCGTTGGAGAAGAACATCAGAACCAGCCCCTCGACCTTCCTGTCCTGCTCCATGTTCCTCCTGGCTTGCGGCTCCTTGAAGGCGTTCAAGAAGACGGCGAAGGTGCGCTTGACGTTGGGGTCCCTGAACTCAGGCATCTTCTCGGTGCCCATGAGCACCTTTGTCATGCGCTTCTCGAGCTCGCCCATGAAGCCGTTCGGGAACTTGGTGCTCTTTGACTCTCTGATCGAAGAGACCTCGGACATGATGGTCGCAGCGGTGTTGGTGGCGATGCGCTGGACGGGCTTTGGGGCCGCCACATGCTGTATGCGCTTCTGGCGGGGCTGGAGCAGGTAGTGGAGGTAGCCCACGCGGAGGGCAAAGAGGTACGCGTCTTGGGCGGAGACAGGGCGCCTGCTCACCCCCGACGAGGCCGCTGAGCTGTGTCGCTGCAGCCGTTCGCGGGTCTGCACGCTGTTTATGCGGCGATTGCTGTACCGCGTCGAGTCCATGGTGGGGATGTGGCTTATGTCCATGCTGGCCGGACGTGCTGGTCGTGTCGAGGGGGGGACGAGGGTGCCGTTGGGCGCATAGCACGCTGGCGGTCTGCGTATTCGGGTGTACTGTATGGCAGGCGCGATACGGCTGGTGGGGGTCCGACTCTTTGCAGTTCTCTTTGCAGCTCTCTTTGCAGCTCTATGCAGCTGCTCTCACTGCGGTCGCTGGTCCGAGAGCTTGTAAGCGGCGTGGCCACGCTTCACCTCGCCGTCGTTGCACGGGACACGGGCGCGAGGGTGTGGCGGGAGCTTCGCCGAACCATGGCAGGCAGCGTCACGTCAGGCGTGGAGCTGACAACAAGCAGATCATGAAACGGCGGTTAATTAGCCATCGTCATGGCAATTACACTACTGGGCGTGACGATGCCCGCGACACGAGAGCAGATCCTTGCAGCCATCGTTGGGCGCCCTCGTTGCGCGCGCCCTTGAGTCTCGACACGACCAGCACGGCCAGCACGACCAGCACGGCCAGCACGACCAGCCAGCATGACATAAGCCACGTGCAAGAGCCCGCACCTTCAAGACCAGCCATGCCCCTCTGAACAACGCTGCCATGGAAGGGTGCATTCGCCGGCAGGGCTGAAATGCGGACGTCGCTGACGCCGCCGCGCCCGCCGAGCGAACCGCTCTTCACATGCTCACGAGGTCAATTCCTCCCGTGGCATCCACAACAACACACGGTGCAGCCGCGCACCGAGCCCGCGCACTGAGCCCGCGCACAGCTGTGATCTGCATCTTCCGAGGTTGTGTCTCGCAATAGAGTCTGCACAGAGCACCTGGACGTCTGCAGCCTCGGCGCTGCGTCCACTGCGTCCACGGCTCGGTCTTCGCAAGCACAATGGGCTCACAGAGTCCCACCAACACGAACGACCGCCCACGCCTGAGCGAGGCCCAGAAGAAGGAGAACCACATCCGCTCCGAGCAGAAGCGCCGCGAAGCCATCCGCGAAGGGTTCGACCGTCTGGCCGCCATGGTGCCCGGCATGGAGGGACAGGGCCGCAGTGAAGCAGTGGTGCTGGAGGCCACCATCAAGTACATGCGCGAGAAGATTGTAGAGCGCCAGAAGATCATGGCAGATGCCCAGGCCCAAGGCATCGACGCATCAGCATGGGAGCTGCCGAAGGAGACACTGGACGCTTGCGACGCGCAGCTGCAAAGGACGAGGGATGAAGAGGCACAACTGAATGGCATGAACGGCAAGAGCTAGGACTTTGATACTCAAGAGTAGGAGGACGGAGGGACACGAACAAACTTGGATGTGCAAGCACTGGTCTCCACTCTTCTCGTGGGCATGTGCAGATGGGTGTCATGAGGAACTCTCCAAACTACGAAGGCCATTATCCCAACTACGAAGGCCATGGTTCCGCGCGGGATTCTTCGAGCGCATCCTAACGTCAGTTCATGTCAAGTATCTGCATGCTGCTCCGTCACTCGGCAACATGGTCGTTACATGGTCATCGCCTCTGCAGTCATCGCCTCTGCAGTCATTCACCAGGCGCGGTGGCCCGTGCTATCGATAAGCTTTGCACAAAAACGATCCCCACGTTCACATGCACGCGCGCCTTGCACAGATCTCACACACACAAAATGGCTTTCAGCTTTGGATTTTCAGGCGACGACATAGAAGAGGATCCAAACGATGATGTGCCTCAGACGCATGAGATGAGTGTGCCGGGGCCACATGTGCCGCCTCCAATCGTGGCCAGAGCACATGACCTAGATGAGATGGTATGTGGACAATATATAATTCAAGATTCAATCAACAAACCTTATGATCGCATATGAACCAGTCTATCCAAGGCGTTGTTTAGAAAGACTAACACCCCCAGCTCGCCAGCCTCCCCGACAAACTCTCCTTCTCCACCATCACCCTCACCTCCCCCAAAGGCCACACCACGCGCCTCCCGCGCCGCGAGATTTTCGACGTGCGTGTGCAGCTCATGGCCGAAGACGACGGGTCGCAAGCCAACGTCCTCGCGGGCCTCGAGAACACGGACCTGCAAACCAACGTCTACGAAGGCGGCTATAAAACCTGGGAATGCAGTCTGGATCTCGTCAAGTTCCTGCTGGACCGCGGGCCGCGCAAGGACCTCGATGACATGGTGCGGGTGAACCACGTTGTGGAGCTGGGCTGCGGCAGCGCGGTGCCGAGTCTGCTTCTCTTCCAGTACGCCTTGACGAATCAGCTGGGCATGATGTTCACGCTGGCAGACTACAACGAGCACGTCGTGCGCCTCGTGACCCTGCCCAACCTCGTTCTCGCGTGGGCCGCTGCTCTGCCGCCCTCGGACTCGACGGCGTTGTTCCCAGACGGCAATCCGCTCCTCGACGCCGACGAGGAGCACGGCGATTTGTATCTCACGCCCGACATCCTCGCGGCGTTCACGCGGCAACTCCAGTCCACTGGCATTTCGTTGAATTTCCTCTCCGGCTCCTGGACCCCGACGACGACGTTCCTCGACTTGGTTCCTAGCGCACCGGAACTGAACACGTTTATCCTCGGGTCCGAGACGATCTACTCCCCGGCGTCGTTGGGTGCATTCGCGGAGACGATTATTGCGCTGATGAAGCGGGTGAAGACGGGCAAGGCGGTGGTGGCGGCAAAGAGGGTGTATTTCGGGGTTGGGGGGAGTGTGGATGCGTTCAGGCAGGAGTGTGCGGAGAGAGGGGCTGTGGCGTACGAGATGGATTTTGAGGGGTTGGAGAGCGGGGGCGTAAGGAGGTGTTTGCTGGAGGTGCAGATGTGCTGAACTCAAGACAACCAATCTATGAGCGTCAGAAATGGGGATGCTGACAATGAGATAAGACTAGGGTATCTACACATTCTACGGCACGGGACATGGCTAATAATGCATGAAAGCAAGCTCCTCATCCAACTGCAGCGCTGACTCACACTCCGACACTCACTTAACCTTCGCAGTCACAATCGGCGCGGGCAACTCCCGCCGCTCCTCCTTGCCACGTCCAACCAGATTCCTGTACGTTTCACCCTCGACCCTCATACTCTCTCCCCTCGCCGTCCTCAGTCGGTCAACGCCCTTGTCAATCAGCTCCAAGTGATATGAGATTGGCAGATCGTCCCTGTAGCCCAGGACCGTGGGTGCCTCAACGCCCTCCCTCAGATTCTCCAATTCAGCCTGAATCTCTCTAAGCTTCAGCAGCGTCTCAGAGACGTGGGTGAGCGCCTTCTTGCGGTACGCCGACACATTCCTTAGGAGCATGAGCTTCTTGTTGTTGGTATTGAGCTTGGACCTGTTGCCGCCGACGATGGTCCAGAGCTGGGCCAGCAGCTCTTCTTGGTTCTTGGTGATTGTCGCGTCGTCGTTGATGGCGATTTGGTAGATGGTGTCGAGTTGCTCGTCTAGGTGTTGCAGCACGGCGTGTAGCGCGACGCCCGTGTCGATGAGCTTGGTGATTTCTTCAGCGTTCTTGCTGACGTGGACAGAGTACTGGTCGAAGATGCGTTCGTGGAGTGTGGGTGGGGGAGCAACGAAGGCCCGTGTGAGGGCGCCGTAGACGCGGTCAAGCGTGCCGTAGGAAGCTTCCTGCTCGGAAATACCCGAGAGTACAGCCCTTGTCCAGGTGTTCGTTGCAATCACTCTGTCTACGGTTGCGCCAATGCGGGAATTGAAGCGGGAGAGGTCCATGGAGGCGTCGTTGGCGGTCCTGATGAAGTTGTCAAACTCCAGACTCAGCGAGTGGCGCGAAGGCAGGCGAGAATGGCGCACCAGGCCGCGCAGATCGCGGATGGCAAGCTCAGAATCCTTGATGGTAGAGGGAAGTGTCGATGTGTCCTTCGCTGCGTCCAGGATATCCTCCAAGCCGGTTTGCGCGTGGAGCAGTCCCTCAAAGTCGACACGTTGGTCATCGTGAATCGCTGATGTTGAGCAGAACGGTGCAACGTAGGAAGAACCAGGAATAAGACACAATGGCGTCAGAGCCATGGTCAGACTGGAGCGAGCAGACCCAATGGCGAGCTGGACGCCGAAGACGAGTACGCCGATGGCCAGCGCAAGACCAAAAAGGGGCTGCAGATTGCCCATGGTGTGACCAAACACACCCACGAGGTAACGGGCAACGGGAGACAGAAAGTTCTCGTAGATGAAGCCAAGAGGGCTTTGTTGGTGTTCCGTGGGCGCTGGAGTTGGCTGAGCCCTCGAAGTGGGGTTGTAGGAGGTAGTAGAACGATCTAAAGTCCGCAGATGTGGAGTTCTATTCCGTACATTTTGGCTGCGAATCTGCGGTCTACGCGACGGCGATCCGTTGGAAGATTGTAGCGAGTCTTCTAGCTTAGGCATAATGAATGATGGTCCTGGTTGTTCTGACTGAGTCAAAGGCTCGACCGGCTTTGACGTTCGTGGGGTGCGGTCATTGTCAATTCTTGAGCTTCGAGCCAGGCGGTCCTTGGGCAGGGGTTGAGAGAATGGATCTTCTTTGATGCCGGAAGTTCCTGCGCCAACATCCAACTCGTGTGCCAGCTCATTATCTGAGGGCTCTAGCTCAATCTCGCTGTGGTTAGCGGTGGAGGCGCCGTCGGTGGAATAGTTGGCATCGTCCCAGCTATCGCCCAGACTTGCTCTGAGCTTCTGCTGCGAGTTCTTGCTTCGTCTGCCCATGCTGGGAAGTCCTCGAGTCGGGGGCTCTATGGGTTTATTGTCGCCGTTGATGGAGTGTGAGGTAGTCGCCAGGGATCAAGTCACATCAGTGGTAGAAATGTTTGCAAACACCAAGAGTGAGACAACAGACAACAAGGTCAGGGTAGCAGTGCGACAGTGTTTTGGTGTAGGAGGCTGGAGTGAAGACCGCCACTCTCCATACATCGTGTGACGTAGGCACCTGCCAATCAGGCTTGGCTTCAGCAGCCAGACGATGTCCTGTCCTCGAGCTCCGTCGATGAGAAACTTCTACTGCGGAAACTCGTTTCGCACCTGTGAATGCCTCCATGGCCCTCTTGCAGGATGTTTCTGCGAGGCATGTTTGTGCAAGAGGTCGGGCCGCAGGGTGCCGGGGCTCAAAGGAAGGCCGGCAGCCGCAAGGAAATGGCCAAGGCGCCGGCTCGGGAAAGTGCATCTCGACCTCCGCAACACGTGAAAGCTGCCAGTCTTCTCGATGCCACGCGCGCTGGGATCAGCACTGCGAGTCCCGTTGCGCCAGCTCTGGAGCCGCCAATATGTCAGGACGTCCCTTCGGAGCTGCTCGTGTTCTGCGCCGCACCAATTTCACGCCTCGGTGAAGCTGTCCTCTGCACCGCAGCGTGACCCGACCAATGCGGCTGCTGCACCGCCCACGCCCGCCCTCGACCACCGCACGCTCGCGGCGACGCACAACCTCTTCGTCACGTCACCTTACAGCCCCGGCTCGCCGCTCATCCTGCCCAATGGCGCATATGTCTTCGGCAGACTGCAGGCCTTCCTGCGCGCGCAGTACCCGCAGTTCGGCTTCCAAGAGGTCATCACGCCCATCATATACAAGAAGTCGCTGTGGGAGAAGTCGGGGCACTGGCAGAACTACGCGGAAGACATGTTCAGCGTGGAGGGGAGAGACAAGAAGGGCGAGGAGGAAGAGGAGATGGGCCTAAAGCCGATGAACTGCCCGGGCCACTGCCTGCTGTTCAGCACTGACATCAAGAGCTACCGCGACCTCCCCGTCCGGCTTGCAGACTTCAGCGCCTTGCACAGGAACGAGATCTCAGGGTCGTTGACTGGCTTGACGAGGGTACGCCGGTTCCACCAGGATGATGCGCACATCTTCTGCCGCCCCGACCAGATCCTGTCCGAGATCGAGCAGACGTTGAAGTTCGTCGGCATGGTGTACGAGACGTTTGGGCTGGGGCCATACAAGCTACTCCTTTCGACCCGCCCGAAGGACAGCTTCATTGGCAACATTGAAGAGTGGGACAGAGCCGAGGCCCAGCTGACCACTGCGTTGAACAATGTTGGTCGTGAATGGGCTATCAACGAGGGCGACGGCGCCTTCTACGGCCCCAAGATCGACATCATCCTCAAAGACTCGAACGGCAAGGAGCACCAGACGGCGACCATCCAGCTCGACTTCCAGCTGCCGCAGCGCTTCGACCTCCAGTACCAGGCATCACCTGGGGAGATGGAGGCGGGGTCACACTCGTCCATGGATGCTGGTCTCGACCCCGCGTACCGTCGTCCGGTCATCGTTCATCGCGCCATTTACGGCTCCATTGAGCGTTTCATGGCGCTACTCATCGAGCACTATGCAGGCAAATATCCCTTCTGGCTTTCTCCACGCCCCGCCATTGTGCTCTCGCTCAACTCCGATCCCGCCGTGCTAGAACACGTCTCGCGCATACAGTCTGTGCTCTCGGGAGTGCAGTCTCACGAAGCACCGACGCCCGCCCCTTCATCATCGCCCAAGCCCCTGCCGCTATCCAACATCCACTTGCCGATCGACATCGACACCAGCAGCCGGCCACTCGGCAAGAAGATTGCCGACGCTCGTGCGAAGAAGTACAACCATATTATTGTCGTAGGCAAGCGCGACGTCGAGAGCGGTGGTATGAACATGCAGATAGCAAATTCGCCGGCGGAAGAAGCGGCGATGAGGGTGCTCGAGGAAGCTTGCGGTCAGCCTCTTTCAGAAGGCGACAGATCGAAGAAGCAGGCCAACATCGACCTGAGTGGCGCGCGGAAATATTTTGAGAGCCTGGTCACGTCCTACTTGTGAGATGACGAAGAACGTTCTACTAGTAAGATGAGGAAATGTCCCGGCTGTATAACATGTATGATTCGTGTATTAAGAGCCATTGTACATCTAGGTGGCGAGGGCCAGGGTTTTGGCACCGGATGTCTTCTGCCGAGCCTCAGCATGACACGTTCGGTTCGTGGAACAATCAAACGTCTGCCATGACCATATCCATCGTTGTATCTCTTGTTGATCCCAAGGCTGCTCAACGAAGTCCTCCAACTTACGTAGCAATTACACGTCGCGTGAGATTCTCAGGAAGACTCCACTTTCTGTTGGCCGTCAGGCGTCCTTAGCTTCGACGGATCGTAAGCCCGTGCCACAGGCCCACAGTGCCCCTGCCAAGCTCCAGCCCCGGCAAGCATTTTTCACTTGCCGTTCTGATCCGGGTCGGACGATGCGTCTAATCTGATAAACGAGATGGCAAATTGCGGATCGCCTTGAATCAAACATCTTTGCCGCTGTCGCCGCCTCGAGTGCTTGTACACCGACACCGACCTGCACAGGAGTCTCATAAGCCATGGACGTCGCATTGGAACTCCTCGACCCCCTTGTGTTCGACAAGGCGTACGCCTGGGCCCTGCCGCACCCTGGAGCCGGCCTCAGCAACGCGACAGATGTCAACGGCCTTCTGGCTGCCAATGGCGCGCCAACGTCTCTGTGGGATCGCGACAACATTTACCGCCAGAGCATCTCAATCCTCCTGATCACGCAATTCGGCGCATCTGCGCTCTACTTCATTTTCAGCGCACTCTCATATTACCTGATCTTTGATCGCCGTCTGGAGTACCACCCTAGATTCCTCCAGAACCAAGTGCGCCAAGAGATCAAGTCGTCCATGACCGCTGTCCCGTTCATCAACATCCTGACTCTGCCCTGGTTCTTGGGCGAGGTTCGCGGCCACAGCTTGTTGTACGGTGATGTGAAGAGCTACGGCTGGGGGTGGCTCGTTGTTTCGTCGCTTCTGTACATGGCTTTCAACGACGTGGCCATCTATTGGATCCACCGCCTCGAGCACCACCCGAGCGTTTACAAGTACATCCACAAGCCACACCACAAGTGGATTGGTCAGTGCTCGACTACCTTTCCGTCAACATAACAATAATGCTAACCTTGTCTAGTTCCCACGCCATGGGCTGCGCTGGCGTTCCACCCTCTCGACGGCTACGTGCAGTCGCTACCGTACCAGTATGTGCACTCGTCAGTCCATCCCTCCGCCTGCTAACACGTGACCAGCGCCTTCGTCTTCCTCTGTCCTATGAACAGGTACCTCTACATGGTCCTCTTCGTCGCCGTGCAGATCTGGACCATCTTCATCCACGACGGCGACATGATCTCCGGCCACTGGACCGAGAAATTCATCAACAGCCCGGCCCACCACACGCTGCACCACATGTACTTCACCGTCAACTACGGCCAGTACTTTACCTGGTGCGACAACTACTTCGACTCGCACCGGGCACCCAGGCCCGAGCTCGACCCTATACACGACGCCCTCAAGGTCATGCGCGCGAAGGGCCTTGTCGATGAAGCAGGCAACCCAATCGCGAAGCCGAAGAAGGAGTAAAGCTGCGTTGTTGTTTTGAAGCGTTATTGTGTCGATGTTGATTGCAGAGCGGGCCTCGTTTGCATTGGGGGCGTTTGATAGACTTTATGATCGTCACGATCATTATGCATACTAGGTAGTTAATGTTAATAGTCATAACCTAACATGGAGGTAGTTCAGGCTCGCAAGCCTCAAGCTAAACACACTAGTCTTCATCCGACCACAGTCACCATCAGTCAGCGCCATCACAGCTGTGACTCAAGCCGCATCGCCATCACTTACGACCTCAGTGGTTATTTTCTCTAATTTCTCAGCTGGCTTCCTCACACTTGAAAAGATCGCAATGTCAAGAACTACACCGCGCACACGAGTCGCATATGTTCGCACCTCTTCGACGCTGCCGTCTATCTATGGAAATCACCAGAAGACACGAGACGATCACGAGAGGTTCCTTCACAGATACGTCCGACAGTCGCAATCACTTGGCATAAATGTCGATACGCCTCGCCATTGCTTCCATTTCACTATATTCACCAAAGACGACCGGCACATCCTCGACATGCTCCTCGACAACTTTCCTACACCAGCTCAGCCACCATCCGATCAACGTCGTTCTTTCATGTGGGGCGTTACCGCATCCGATATCCATCTTCACACATCATCAGCCTACGCCGAATCCGCGGACGGTCGCAAAGCCCTCCAACAGTGTCGTGACTCGGGCTTCTCGCCAACAATCCACGGCTCCTCAGACACTGACTGTGACGACCGACTACTCGACCTCTGCGACTACGTCATTGACATAAACTACCTCAACGACCTGAGCGGCCTTGACTGGTTCTGGAACTACGCCCGCCCTGGAAAACCTGAAGACAACATGCTCTCGAACCCCAAGTACCAGCTCAGCAAACACGATATCAGCCGGCGAGGGCTCGCAGGCCGCACGAAATTTTCGATCTGGGGTCAAAATTCGGGTTGCTTCCATGGCAACTATGAGTGGAGCTGCTATGGGTGTGGCGGGAAGTGCAAGAGGGGGCGGTGTAAGGTGAATCCCGGGCCGGAAAGGGAGGTGCCGGAAAGTTATAAGCTGCCGGCGAAGGGGAGCGCTGAGTGGGGGGGGTTGACTGCCAACGCAGTCATTCGATTATGGACACTGCAGCATTGGCCTGAGGCGCCCGGGAAGTGGCATAAGGGGAGGGATGCGTGGAAGAGTATCGATACGTTTAGTGGCGAATGAGAAGATGGGATTTGTTGTGTGTGAACGTTGGCCGGTTGTTGTTCTTGGTTACTGAGCTGACTTAGGGTGGGACGAGAAGAGTCCACACGAAGGTTGACCGCAAGTTGTACGGAAACAGTGGGCTGCAAGGGATGCCATGTGGGCGAGTATACTGTTTCGGTATTTGGGCGGATGAAACCGTGATGCCATTTTCTGCCTGTACTATCACTATGTTCAGTGGGGATTGAGATGTAGATCATCGTGTATGACTGCTAGCTATGTTGTAGAAGGAAGCCACTGTTTTAAGTACAAGCTGTGCACCCATCGTTATTTGCGTTTCAGGATCTTACCTATTGTTTTTCATCTTTCTCCGCTTGCTGTACCCGTCTACTCTGTCCGCAGAATCGGGCCGCTCGGAGAGCGTCATCGAAGTCGAGAGGCTCAGTGACTGGCAGCTGATGGCCCATTAGCATTCTAACAACACACGATGGGGGTTGACGAAGGCACTGTCGCGCACGAATACCAACGAGACATCTCGCTCTTCAAAGATAGGCAAGTCTTTAGATGCTGCCATGTCGACATTGCTAGTATGCCCTTCCCGAATCGAAAACCAGTGATCGTCAAGGTCAACTATCACTGACTAGCTGCTTACTTGAGCTTTTCATGAATACTGCCCGTTTTGTGAAACATTCGCGGGACATAGATGTTAGGAACACGAGGAGGGGCTACACAAAGTCGTTAGTATTAAGCCTCTTGACAAACAGCATCTTGAAGGTGTTAAAGACGTTCTGGCTATTGCAACAGATCCGCCTAACGCTTTGAAAAAAGAATCTTTTGTGGAAGCTGAGCAGTCTCTGATCATTGATCAAGTGTGAAGAAAGTGATCAAGTTCCTTGTTCTATCTACGGTGCTGAATGAGCAGAATATATACATCAATACTCATCCAGCTATACCCTAATTAGAGCCCTAATCACGGTTCCGAGCTGTACTCAATTCCGCTCACCATGGCGTGGTAGATCGCCAGTGTCTGATCGGCCAAATATCCAGGTGCGGATCACGTGATGTGCACCCTCACCTCGATCCTTGCTGCGACATCTCTGCATTGCAAGAGATCGAAGCACTGCGCTACCTCTGCGATACGCATTGTACGCATAGGACTCGCATCCTATCTTTGACTGGACTACCTCCCGGTTTCTAGGCGTTGATAAGTGGGCTGTATTAGCGGCTCTACGCCTTTTGATTAATGAACTATTTGCTATGAAGCACGTCTCGAAGTTATGCATTGGTAGATTAAGAGCCCAAGGGAGCGGCAGAAGGTTAGGCTGGCCAGGGTGGAACATCGACGAGGACAGGTTGGCATATTGTCGTGATTGATTTGACAGAGACAAAGAACATAGAGCTTAGTAAGTACTGGTCATGTGCGCAACAAGAGAGAGAATGCTGTGTCCAGGACAAGATGACAAGTTGTTAATCCTAGCTAGTTGGCCTAGAGAAGCTCAGGGGTTGTAGCAGTTTGCAAAGCAGGTGAAGGACATCAGAGACGTTGAACGTAAGCGATACCAAATACTGGACGTGGCAAGATACGTCAGCGATCCCCATGAAACATATGCTGTTGGAGAAAAGGCGACCGTTAAAGCGAAATAACAGTAAGTTCTATACCTTCAATCTGGTATAACAGTACTCTGGTGCATGCGCAAGTTCAAAAGCACGGTCGAGAGCATCATTCTCCGAGACGAGAGGCTTCGCGACCGCCGAGAAAGATTGGAGAAAGCGCCAAACGCGAAGAGGTCTTGAAAAAGCTCGAGAGGCGGTGTCAAATGCTGAGGAGCTGATCACCATGGCGATGCATGCGGTTGACATACCTCATCGCTGCACCCTAAAAAGCGCTCCGCGGACTGCGCGCACATACCTCAGCCCATCGATTTTGTGCCTAAAGTATTTGCGGTGTTCATCCTCATGAGCAAAATGCAAGGGAAGCGGACTGCATACGACGAGTTCTGGAGCATGATGGATACTGACTGACCTTGTGGCCAGGGGCGTCTGGAGGCAGGAAATCTCCCGAAAGACTGCGCTATGCGAATTTTTATGGGACAGAGACGAGTCAAATAGTACATACGATTGATTATGCTGCTGCTATGCTTACTCACAGTTACATCGTGGACTTCGAAGACTACACTCGTGAGTGTATTGAGGATCGGACAGCTTTAGAGGTGCGATTAACCGATACGAAGCGTGGACCTGGATGGGAAATGCCGCCCAACCTGACGTGATGAGCTCGGCAATCGTCATGACATAGATGACCAGCATGAAGCTTGTAACAGTTCGGAGGCTTGAGAGTCTCAATGGCGGGTTTATCGTGTGATGGGTGAGGTTGACGGAGAACATTGGCATGGATGTTGCATCAGAATTGAGGATCCCTGCAAGCGCAGGTCTCCGCAGTCGCGCAACCGATGACAGCATCGTGCCGAATTCAAGCCAGCTTCAACAACAGCTTTCTTGCAGGTTCCGTCAACCCACCATGTTACCAATGCGTGAAGTGTCATCAGTAGCTTTCGCTCTCCTGCAACTTTCTGACCGAACGTAAACCATGGTTTTACTGGATCTACTCACGATCGCTGGCATCCCCACAGCCGTTGGCGCAAGCGAAGCAGTGCACCAGCAGCAGCTGCTCGACGAAGAAGCAGAAGCACCCGAACGTCAGGAGCCCTTCTACGTAGATGTGTACTGCGATGCACAGTCACGGAAGAAGGATGAGGTCGATGGTGCAATTATCGTGTTGAAAGACGGCAAGGTAGATGCGCAGCATCGAGAAGACAAGACAAAGTATATTGACAGACTATGCAGCTCCAACTGTGGCCTAAAGACTCCAAAACTGGCCTGCCAAAGGAAGATCCTGACAGCGGCGAAGCACCGCATCCTTTCACCGGCTTTTTCTACCCATTTCCCACCGAAGACCTTGATCTCCCGCATCGACCAATGCCCGCGCCCCCCATGCTCGGCCTTGTCAGCACAGTGCCGAGCTCGTCGAAGGGAAAGTCTAATGCGATGCGCCCAAAGCTCAATTGGGTCTACGCAAATAAGGAGACACGCGAGCTGAAGTACGGGCCGAGGGCAGAAGCAAAGCACCATATTGTAGGGCCGTGGGACTGGACAGAGGATGAGCAAGGTCTCACGCTCGAGGACGACGAGAGCTTGGTCGCTGTGGAGGAAGAGAGTGGTGGTTTCGGGTGGGCGGTGTATTGGGACAGTGAGGACGATCGGCTGAAGCAATGGGGTGTGCTGGAGAAACACAGGGTGTTGCGATGTAGTCTCGAGCGAAGACTGGTAGAGCAGAAAGAAATGGGTGGGCTAGACGACTTGTAATTCTTGTTGTTGTCCTTGGCTCGCACTCTCGCAGGCTCTTACGAACGATTCACGGCAATGCGATGGCTACAGTGTCTTCGACGCGAAGTAGCAACAAGGCCATTGTACAGATAGAGTGTTCGCAGTCTTCGTCTCCTCTCGACCCCTGCCACAAAGACGCGTGCCTGATGCGCAACGATTCGACAAGCACGATCAGCAGCGGAACGGGCTAGACTTGCCGCGAACGCGTGCAGGGATCCTACGCGAAGCGTTACCCTGGCAGACCCTGCGCAAGGACCCAAAACACAACACAGGAGCTGTCAACTCCGGAACCGCGCATCAGCACACGCATCCACGCCAGAACTCTAGTCACCATTCAGTTTGTGGTGCTGTCTCAATAGCTTACTAGAACGATCCGGAACTTTTTCCTCACTTTCACACCCGCAAGCCGCTTCCGGAACTTGAGTGGACATCAACACCTAGATCCGGCGCACACGACCAGAAGCTTCGCAACAGCAGCACGACACACAACCGTAGTCATGGCAGGCAGCAACGCAACAGTCGCTCAGCGGTACGCATGTGCTTTCCCGACTTTCCCATCTGATGTGTTTTGGTCTCGACTCTACACGAACATCAACTGACAGGCGCCAGACTCCAGAAGGAGCTCATGGATATCATGATGAAGCCCACACCTGGCATCACCGCCTTCCCCTCCGACTCCGACATCACACTGTGGACCGCGACCATTGACGGCCCCGCCGACACACCGTACGCCGGGCTTATCTTCAAGCTGTCCATGGAGTTCGCCAACAACTACCCGTACTCTCCTCCCACAGTGTTGTTCAAGACACCGATCTACCATCCCAACGTCGACTTCTCAGGTAGAATCTGCCTGGATATTCTGAAGGACAAGTGGAGTGCGATCTACAACATTGGCACAGTGTTGCTAAGTCTGCAGAGCTTGCTAGGCGAGCCGAATAAGTGAGTGTATCCCGATGTTGAAGGACACGAAAAAGCAGAGCTCACACTGTTTAGTTCAAGTCCCCTCAACGGCCAGGCTGCTGAGCTTTGGGACAAGGATCCTGCCGAGTACAAGCGCCTCGTTCTCGCCCGCCACCAGACGCCCGAGGAGCTTGATCCTTGAGCCCGGTGTTCGAGCAATTACCAGCCTGCATCTCGCTTTGGCGGCTGTTGCACTTTCTCATTTGGAGTCGAGCTTGCTAGCTTAAGAAAGGGACAAGCATTGCAGGCGTTCTGGTTGGGTTGGCATGTCACGCGCTTCGGCGTGATTGTTCCTCTGTCCGACCCGGTGGACTTGCTTTTGGAGTACTGAATGGATAACGATACCTTGATGGCGCATCAGAACCTACATTCCTACCCAAGCGGCCGTATTTTAGTCACGAGTGCATTGCTACCAACCACGCGTGTGATGACATCTAAGTGAGACAAATGTGAAGCGTGATCGACAGGGCGCCTATGACTATCAATATGCGATTGCCATGGGCATAAGGCGATCAATAAGGCGATCAATAAGGCGATCATGTTGCCCTGCGCCACTGCCGCCTCAGGAGCATCGTTAAGCCGTCACACCCTGCCGCACACCGTTTGCTGTCATCCTCCACAAAACGCAGGACTGTCGGTGCCTTGCATCATCGCCTTATCGCGCAGTCTACGATGCGAACAGCAGGTGGTAAGACACAACACCATCTAGTAATAAAGGAGTAACAACCCAATTGACTTGCTGTGGACTTGCCGAAATAAGTATAGACCTGCTTGCCCAAACAAGTCGCGTGCAGTGTGACAAGTCCGCACTCAATCTGGGAAGCGCCAGAACACGAGCTGGGATGCGAGCGAGGGGTTGCGCAGCCACTGCATCGGCGTGCCTGGTGATTTGCAACGCCGCTCAATAGCACGACCAGCGAGTCAGATGTTCATGGAATTTAGGGATCGCAGTTGGAGACGTGAAGGGCGTCTACTGTGGAGCAGAAGAACTGTAAGCAGCGCTGATCGACCACCGAGGTGCGGGCATTGGGTGTTGGGAGATCGGCGATTAACGTTCATTTTGATATCGCGAACTGGGGTCTGCGCAATGCGAGCGACCCCGGAGAAGGGCCACTTATTTCGGGATTTGCTACCGCATAGGGATCGTGGCTGGACCGCTGTGGTGTGCTGTGGAAGAAATGGGTGGGCGAAGCTAGTCAGCCTCGATGTCAAGAAGGCCCTGAACGAGCGCCACCTTGAACGTCGAGGTAGCACGGCAGTTCCGGAAATTCGAATTGCATGTGTCATGTGGCAGCAGCAATTAGAAAGCTTCTTGGACTGTTGACTGCTATTGAATGCCGTGACGCGTTCATTTGGTGTGCATTTTCAGTCTGCGGCTATTTTCTCAGAGTCGTCCGATCTTGCTCTCCGGCAACACGGGGGCCTGGAGTTCCTCGGAAGCGGTTACACGAGCGAGGGCGAACTGGATGAATGCAACATTGGCACTAGTCTGCTGTTCCTGGTGATCTGGTGACTGCAGTCTGTGATACTTCATCTATGTACCCCGCGGCGGCTTTGTATCTAATGTCGGCGTGGAAGGAGGCACACTTTCCAGAGCATGTCCCTCAAACGGAGCGTGTCTGAGCTGCAGGAACGAGGTCCGTGTTGCAGATTTACGCTCGCCTCAAGGTCGAGTCTCAGCTCATACTGTTGAGAACGACCGGTCTGCAGGGCAAGTTGAGGGTGCCTGCATTGATACTTGTGAGCGATGGGGCCGGCTGCTGCATGATTCGAGCGAGATCAAGCCAGCTCGAGCTCGCCTACCTGCACTTGTGGTTACTCACGCATTCGCAACGTAACATGTTCGTCAACAGTCGGTCAATCCTGCTCCTCGCCGCCGAACCGATTGCGAGATTCCGACGCGGATATATTTCTAGTCTGCATTCTAGTGCTCATCCATTTGCTACACGTGGTCAATTGGCTCTGCGTTGTTATGCGCGATCGCTTGCCCGGTTTGCTTGCACGTCACGCCAGGCGCGGGCCATTGCCGGAGTGGGGTGGTGTGTATGGACGAGTCCTGCGTGCGTGGGGAAGTTATCGGCAGGAGTGGATACGAACATGGCCTGATGCTTTCGTTGATATCCACTCTGATGTGTGTGCGTCCTCTTCGCGGTAGTGGGAGCAGCAACTGCAAAGAGCATTATTTCGCAGCGGCTGCCAGCACGAGCATGCTTGTCTTGCGGGCAAGGACAGAAGCGGGACTCTCCCGTGACCCAGGCTGGACCAAAATAGGACTCGTTCGCTGCTTAAGCTGCCGTGGCGCTCCCGATCAAGTTGGACCTAAACACCGATGGGCGCAAACCCGCCACAGCGGATGACAGCGCGCTGCGGGTGATGCGAGGTTCCTGCGGTTCCCTGCTGGTCAGGCGCACGCGTCCTCCAGAGCATTACGGTTGCCCTGAAGTGATCGTGTCGACGTAAAACGCAAGGCCAACAGTAGGCATGGCGACGCTGCAGCCTCAAACACAGTGCTGGCGCACGTCCAGGGCTGCACGGCGAAACAGGTACGCCAGTACATCCCCGGCCCTGGCTTAGGCCCAGGGTTTCTGGCACGGCACCCAACTTCCGCCGCTGTCGTTTTTTAAACGCAGAGCGATTTGCTGGTCGGCGGCCTGCCACGAGTAACGGTGGAGCTGCCGAGCCTGGCGCCGGCCTCAGCGGCGTCAGCGCGCTGCTCAGGTCAGTCAGCGACGGCGTGCATGGCGTGCATGGCGCAGTGCTGAGTGACTCGAGCAAAGACGTGAGCCGTGAGCGGTCTGCGGCGGCTCCAGGGATTCGAGCGCGCTCTGCGAATCTGCTCCAGAGCTGATTGTGGCAGCCATGGCTTGTATCTACCATATGGAATGGGAGTGCGCCTGCGCAGTGAGGCAATGCCTTGCAGCAGGCTCCAGATTGATGTAGCACGAGGTGCTTCTCATGCGGGCCGCCGCTGGATTTGGCGTCCAGAACAGGCGTAATTGCTCTATGCCTCGACCGCCCTTGTCCGGCTCCACCGCGCCCTCACAGCCTACAGGCATGCACGCTCGCCCAACATCACGCTTCGCTCGGCTGCCAACTGCGTGCTGCGACCGCTGCACTGCACTCTCTCCCACTCCACTCTTGTACGGCTGTCTTGTGTGAGCACATCGAGGACTGTCTGCGAGTTTGGAACGCTCCTGCCAGCTATTCATTCCATCCGTAACAGCCAATCGTTGCAATCGTTTCAGCACGCACCGCACTTCGTACCTTGACACCCGTGCACGCTGCTTGCTGGGAATCCGGGACAACCGCGCTATGACAGTCTGACCGACCTGGTGTCTGACGGATCTCCGAGTAGCGAGCCCTTTGTCTGCTCCCCGTCACTCCTGGAGTGCCAACGCTCGACCAAACACCAGCAGCTCAGTGACGGGCCGCCACTTCACGCCCGCGCTGGTTGCTCGCCTACCTCACTGTGCCTGGGTGCTCTCTCCATGCATTGCTTCCCTTGACGACATCTCCGGGTGCGAGCTCCAGGCCTCTTCCGCCTCTCTCCAGGGACGATACGCCAGAACACCAACCACGATGACGACGATGCTCCCGTCCAGAGGCATTGCCCTCGTCGGCGCCCCGGACGGCGACATCGGAGACCGACCGCCGCCGGTGCAGGCCATGCAGGTGGAAATGACACAGGACATTGTCGACGAGCTCCTCGAGAGCATGCGGAGCGGGAAACCGCCGCAGATACTCTTCGGCCGGACTCCTGTACGTGTGCCAATGTCCGTTGGAGCTCTCTGTGCATCACCGATTGTTGGTGTTGCACCGGGCGGTGAAGCTCGATTCGAGCAAGGCAAGAGCAACCACGACTAACAAGCACAACAGCAACTGAAATACGGCGACAAGACCCACGTGCTGCAGAGCAGTCCCGAGACGCACACATACGAACTGTACAAACCCAGCGGGACTGGCAGTGACGATGCCCTAGAATTCGCCGCCGTGATCAACCACAACCTCATCGTACAGGAGGCAGCAGACGTGACTGCAGGCGTCGACTCGGCGCTGGCCACTCTCAAGAGTAGCATGGCTGCGATTTCAGAGTTCAAGGAAGCCAACAAGTATGCCTCCCCGGTGTTCCCGTGGCTGCCCAGCGATCTCTACTGTCTAGTCGAGAGGCTCATGCACCCTCTACCCTTTCTGCACCACATGCGCTACGCATAGCCACAGTGACATGAGAACATACGGACTAACAATTGTTGCAATTCAGGACTATCGTCGGCGATGCCACTCCTGTCCGCACTCCTGGCCACCGCCGGTACCCTTCGACAGGGTTCAAACCCGTGCACCTTGCTCCCTCCAAGGTCGGCTCACCGCTACCGAGCATGCCTGCTTCCCCCATGCACAAGCGTCCTCCCACGTCTCAGCCGAGCGGTACTCACGAGGCTGTTGTTGCGGCTCTCCGCGTGCCCGTCATTCATCTCCTCGCCCGCGAGCCTGCTTCCGAGGCTTCCCTTGCCAAGACATGTCGCACATGTACTGCCACCCTGAAGGAGCTCCTCCCCAAAATTGCCAAACGATCGACACAAGACTCGGACAAGTGGCAGCTGACTGACAAGTCGTTTCGTGACATCAACCCCTACAGGTTTCCCTACTCGACGTCGGAGGAGCGTGACCAGGCCATCGAGGGTGCAATCAAGTCGTTTGATCGCCTTCGATTGGCAAAGGAAGACAAGCTTTGGCAGATCCTGCTGCCACGTGAACAGCGAGGACAAGGCATATGCTTGTCGCGCTCAAAGGTCAAGGCTCTGGAGGCCAAACCAAAAGCCTCGACTCCCTTGCACAAGATGTCGGATTTCACGAAGAAAAAGCCTGCTGCGAAGAAGGTCGATGACAAGCCCACGGAGAGGAAGGTCGATGGCGAGAAGAAATTTAAGCAAGTCAAGGAGAAGGAGCTCAAGCCGCCGAAGGAGGGTGCTGCAAGCAAGCTGAGCAAAGCGGCGAAAGACAAGCTACTGGGCGCAGACAAGCCAGCTACAAAGGAGGTGAAGGACGATATTGCAAAGGCGACCACGCCCACTCCGGTTCCAGCCTTCACTTCCGACATCAAAGCTGCCCCTCGCCCAACTCCACCCACCGAGGCTTCCAAAGTCCGTACCAAGAAGGTCTACGCGTCTCAAGTCAATTCTTCTAACTCGACACCACGCGCAAAGCCCAAGATGGCCGTACCGCGCGACTCGTACCAACATCGGCCTGTCAAGCCTATATATAACACCAAACCCAAGAACCCTTCTCCTCTTTCGGCTTCACCCCCAGTCAACGCCAGCGACTTCGAGGATAGCCACCCAGTCCATAAGGCTCTCGCGGCAGCAGCTTCGCCTGTCAAGTCATCGTACGGCAACTCCGACCGATCGCTGAAGCGCAAGGCAAACGATATTGACAGCGACGTTCACAACCACAACCTCGCCGTGAAGAAGCCCAATGCCGAACGCGCAACACCCAACCATACCCCTTCACATGCCAACGGCAGGTTCAACGGCTCTACTCCTTCGAGCAACGGCTCTCTCAAGCGCAAGTCTGACGACTCCTCCACATCTAACACACCTATCACCGCTCCTAAGGTCCGCAAAGTCACCAGCATCAATGTCGGTCTTGCCTCCCGCTACAACAACAAATCTCACCCTTCCCCCGGCGACTCATCATCTTCGACCACATCACCTACCATCCCAAACCTGAGTTTCCGCCAGACAGTCGAGCTGTCTCAAAAGTTCCAAAAGTATTACACCAAGTACGAAGAGTTATATTGGAGGTTGACCGAGGCCGCGTCTCCGCCAACCGAAGCACAGAGAAACGATCTACTCAAGATGCACAAGAAGCTTGAAGAGATGAAGAGGGAGATCAAGGCCGGCGCTAGGGTGCAGCGCTGATGCAAAAACAATGGCAGGTTCGCACCAACCTGGGCGCTCGATGCGCGATTTCTTGGGCACATTTGGCCCTCATACCCACGATCATAAGAGTTGCACAGGGTCTGCAGCAAGTTGCATATGAAGGAGGCTTGGTTTATTCCCCGTCCCTTGGGACGCATTACGGCGAATTGCTTTGGTTTGATTTGCATTACATGTTGCACTGCAACTGTTGGATAGGACGCATTTGGGTTTGGAGTACTTGCGACATTTTTTGCTATTCATACCTATCAACAAAGGGGACTCTGTATCACCCTACATGTGCAGTAACGACAATGATGCATAATGGCTATACAAAAGAACTGCGTCAGTCCATATACCCTCTACAGTACAAACAATCAGGATATAATATCGTAATCTCGTGGTCTGCGCGTGTTTGTCCAGCGATACTTTCGGAGCTTCTGCCAAACCCACCTAGCGCCCATCCCACTTGCGCGGCATCGTGGATAGACGGCCGACTTCGGAGAACAGTGCCGAAGAAACAGCCGGCAGCCAACTTACGAAGGAGGCAGTTCAACGCATGCACAGTCGTTCGACAACCATTCTACAGATATGAGAGCGGCGGAGATGCTTTGCATTGCAATTGGCCCTGGCCGTGTCGATCACGCAGCTAAGGTTCACGTTCAGGGACCCAGCCAAGCAAATCGCACTGCCGCTCTAGCGGCTGGCGCTGCTGTCCGCACGCATCTATGTCAGCCCTATGAGATCAGTGACGCAGTCGTGAACATCACCATCATCAAACGACTGCAGCTCAATTGCAACTATATCCTGCAAGATCATATCAAGCACGAATCTTCTTGATGCGCCTCCTCCGAAACATAATATTGAATTTGGGAAAGAGACGTTACGCACAGGTCCACGACGTCAGAGTTGAATACTCGAGATACCCTGCAAAAGATATACTTGAGCAGGAGTCGAGCGAAGACAATATGTCGCAGTCATTGAATGGTATGTGCACACAGTTTCAGCATAGTGACAGCATGACTCAGGGGCATCGAGGTCTGCAAGGACCCAATGCAAGAATTCCGAGCTTTACAAAGCTCGATCGCAGCTGTAGGACATACCAAGAGCTGTCGCTAACACCCCTCAGTATTCAAGAAGCCCCTCGCCCTCCACTCCACACAGCCCCTGACAGGCTTCACACGCTCCGGCTACTGCGAAGCGCCCAAGTCCGACTTCGGCAACCACAGCATCGCTGCCATCGTCACAGAGGAGTTCCTGGACTACAGCGCTGCGCAGGGAAACAATTTGCGCGATGCTGGGCTCAAAGGCGGCTGCAAGTGGTGTCTCTGCGTGAGCCGTTGGAAGGAGGCTTTTGAGAATAGGACGGGCGATGATGACAAGAAGGTGCCGAAGATCGTACTGGCGGCTACAAATCAAAGGGCGCTGGAGGGCGTGGATCTGGAGGTGCTGAAGAAGTTTGCTGTGGACAAGGAGGAGAAGTGATAAGGTCGTCTTTGGGAGTTACCCGCATTGGACAAAATATTACTATTCTCTCTGAACTGTCTTTGTTGTGAATTCACCTCTCTCTCAAGCCGAATCTATGTTCCGACCTCCTTTCGCACCGCGCCTTCGAATGCGTCTCGTGATGATATCATACCCCGCGCTAGCGCGATAATTGCTTCCGCATCACCACCTGAGTCACTTGCAGTGGACGTCTATTCAGGTACTCACATCTAGCACTCAATCAAGTTACAGCATCTTAATTCACATATCACAATGGTCGAATGTCCCGAATGCGGAGCCGGTGCGGATCTGACGAAGGACGGCAGCTACGCGCATTGCGCTTCTTGTACGTGCCCCACCATCCGTACTCCCCGGCATATGCCCAGCAAGTTTTGAGCTGATACGATCGTTCTCGTAGGTAATACCGTCTTTGAGCCTGGAAAAGAGGGCAGTCAATACAAGGGAAGTGGGAGCGGCTCTGGCGATAGGGAAGAGACGAAGAAGGACGATGACAAGAAGAAGAGTGAGAGCAAGAGCTGAACGATATTATGTCTATGAGTTCGTTCCGATCTTTACATTCCCCAGGACGTTAGTACTGACAGTGGCCCAGATTTACCTTATGCATATCGAACGAACATTACAAATACTGCCTGACAGGCGCTTCTATCCTTTCCCTCCCCCAGGTGAGCGTTCGTGCACTAACCGCCAGCTTACTCAGTTGGTCCATGAGCTATTTCATCTCTTCTATTGCCCGAAGTTCGTGATCGGGGTCTAGGTCGTGACTCAAGATGAAGAATTGTACTGCCATATTGACATGGACATCCCGAGACTGCTCACGCAAGGTCCAGTAATGCACCGGAAGCAATCCAAAAGGCGAATCAGATGTAAAACAGATGCTCTGTCCCGGCTCGCAAACTAAGTGATAGTTCTCCAAGAGAACAGGAAGCGAAAACGAATGTGTTCTCTCGTGTGGACTGACGTGGTTCTCGCAGGCGTTGGCGCCGCACACCAGACACGCACGACAGAATGCACAGGTGTACTTTGCTTCGGCGGTCTTCATTGCGTGCTTCAGCGTGTTTTGAAAGCACTGCCGACAATACACGTGGCCACAACGTCCCTGCTGTGGACGATGGATACCCTCATCGAAGTCATTTGCGCAGATCGGGCACGAACCATTTATCTCGCATCGTTCCCCCACAGCATCTTCCACGGTATGCTCACTGTGGAAGAAGTAGTCCCTATCGTCCGGATCTACTAAGAGGTTCTCAGTATCCCAAGCGCTATTCATCCATGGGTCGAGGCAGTCTACCGCTTGCTGTACCGCGAGGACGATGTCGCCAGTCGGCGTTGCTTCCTGCAAGTCAACAATGAACAGCCACAAATGTTGCTTTGGGGTGCGTCGATGAGGATACTTCAGGATAGCCTCCTTGATCCATTTTCGGAAAGTCATGTCCTGGCCTTCTGTGTCGAAACACGGCAAGCCAGCACAGATGTTCAGCAGCTTGTCGTCGTGCAGGAGTGCCCGGGCTGCATCATCGTTCCGTCGAAGGGCTGCAATAACTCTATCTGTGAAGGCCTGGAATATCTGCATTGTTTTGTAGTGTGGGACAGAGGGGTTGAGCATCCAGGGACGATGGTCGAATAAGCATCGTGTTTCTAAGTGAATTATCCAGTCCTCGACCGTAAAGTCGAACATATTACGCATTGGTAGAGACGTCGACGGTTCCATGAAGTAGGGAGCGAACGAGTTGAGAGAAGCTTGTGTGAGGGTATGCAGCTGTAATGACTAAAGAGCAACCGGAATACGTTTATTCTATGCGCGTATCGCGTTGTAACCTTTCACTGTGCAGCAACATGCCATGTCCAGGAGTTCTGATGCTATGCTTTCACTAAAGGGCTCCGTGTTCGACGAGATGGACCTACAATGACACGCAAGTCTAAGTTGCACTTTACCGTAGACTGCCATCGGGATCATTTGCAATGAATATGAATTTTGTTGTCGAGTTCTGGCGTTGACTTGAAGACATGCGGGACCAGCCTCGTCTTGCTCGTATTCGGAGCTTGTAATATTTTAACTCCGCAAACAACAAAATGTCTTGTCCGCAAAGGTGTCATCTGTGCTCTTCAACTCTACATGCCGTGGCATCTAAAATCCATTGATTGACTAGGTATTCGCAATGACTCGAATTGTGAATCCATGACAGGAACGACGTTATCTCAGCCCTGGACGTCGTGTGGGTCGAAGCCTGCTTGATCGGCCATACACGCGTCATGGCGTGTCTCAATTTCGAGTACTTTCGCCGTGCTCATTTCACATTTTTGGAGCTGCTTCCACAGCCTTACCATGACGCTCCCGTATATTCTGTCAACTTGCACTTTCTAGACCAGGCGTCGCTGCTGCCTTTGCGCTTTCTGTCGCACTTTCCTTCGCTCTTGCTTGTGTCTATCATCAATATTCGTTATCGGACAGCCCCAGGGTTCACTTTCACCACGTTACACTTTTCGCTTTCGCAACTTTGTATCTCCAATCTGTTATCAACTGTCCACGCACTGTTGTGACACACTCTGGACCGCATGTTCTCATACCGTCCCCAGACACATCCACGATAGCACACGCGCGATGCGCACGTCAATAATTGCCAGCTCTTTGCTAGCTCTTGCGCAAGCTTTCTACATACCCGGTCAGCACATTTTTCTGCTTCTTCTTGCTTACCGCATGTTGACAGTTTCTAGGATTCTCCTATAAAGCTTACCGTGACGGCGACACAATACCACTCCTCGTCAACAAGGTGTACTCCGACTACAGCGAACTGCAATATGCATTCACCGAGCTCCCCTTCGTCTGCCCTCCAACCGGCCGTATACGCGCAGGGCGCCTCACAAGCGGTACAAGTTTAAACCTGAATCTGGGCGAGGTTCTGCGCGGTGACCGCATCGTCGTTTCTGACTACGAGCTGATCATGGGCGTTGACGAAGAAGCTCGGTATTTGTGCAGCCGGACGATTGATCTTGATGGCATGCACAGAGCGAAGGAGCTAATACGGGAAGGTTATGTTGCTGAGTGGATCGTGGATAACCTACCTGGTGCTACCAGCTTTCAGACGACCGACAAGAGTAGGAAATACTATGCGGCAGGGTTCAAGATTGGCGACGAGACAAAACTGGGACCAGGTGGACCGGTCGAATACCTGATCAACAATCACGTCACACTCGTAATTCGGTATCGCAATGCGCCTGGAAAGGATGGCGAGAAGGGAAAGAAGGTCATTGTTGGATTCGAGGTATTCCCCAGGAGCATTACTGTGGACGGTCGCAACGAGTCTGGTCTTCCAGCGAACATCGAAGGCGATCACGAACCGCTTGTCCTAGTCCCTCGAGCCAACAGCACGAACAGCACAGGCGACGAGACCCAGCCCACGACTCTGACGATCCCGTATACATACTCGGTATACTGGCGGGAGGATGATCGACTAGAGTGGCAGAATCGCTGGGACATGTACTTTGCGGCTCAGGACGACAGCGCAAATGTGCACTGGCTGGCTATCCTCAATTCGTTGGTCATTTGCGGTCTGCTTACTGCTGGCCTGTCGGTCGTCTTGACACGTACGATTCGCAGCGACATTGGTGGCCTTCAAGACGCTGCTGGCACGAAAGCAACACCCAAGCGCAAAACGGCATCTCCGAAACGAGAGAAGAGCAACCTGCTTGGGCCCTTGGCAGACCTCGACACAGAGAATCTTGAAGTAGACGAAGACGACAACGAAGATGTCGCGGCCTGGAAGCTGTTGCATGGGGACGTCTTCCGTGCGCCAGCCTACAGTGGGCTTCTCGCGCCGCTGGTGGGCTCCGGGATGCAACTCCTCTACATGACGTTCGGTCTCCTCGTACTTGGCATTTTGGGAGTGCTCAACCCCAGTTTTCGAGGCGGTTACGTCAGCGTAGGTGTTGGACTATTCGTGTTCGCTGGAATCTTTTCTGGTTACTTTTCAGCACGCCTATACAAGACGTTCGGAGGCCAGATGTGGCAGAAGAACGTCGTCATCACGGCAGCCTTTGTCCCAGGCCTTTTGTTCGCAACCGTCTTCATCCTCAATCTCTTCGTGTGGATACAAGCTTCGAGTACGGCTTTGCCCTTTGGCACGCTCATCGCACTCGTCTTGCTCTGGCTCTTCGTACAGCTTCCACTTGTCTACGTTGGCAGTTGGTTCGGCTTTGAGCGTATGGGCGCATACACGCAGCCAATCAGACCCAACGCGATCCCTCGTCAGATCCCTGAACAACGTTGGTTCATCAGGAGCGTACGAAGATATCTACTTGCCGGTCTGATGCCGTTCATGGTTATCTTCGTCGAACTGATGTTCGTTGTTAAGAGTCTGTGGGTGGATAAGACCACGTACTACTATGCTTTCGGCTTCACGGGGATTGTCAGCGCCCTACTCGCAGTCACAGTCGTCGAAGCAGCCCTTGTTTCGACTTACTTGTTGTTGTGCTTGGAGAACTACCACTGGTGGTGGCACTCATTCGCAATCGGCAGCTCTTCTTCCATCTGGGTGTACGCCTATCTGATATACTGCTACTTCGCCAAGCTTCATATTAGCGGCTTCCTGTCAAGCACGCTCTTCTTCGTCTATGGCTTCTTAGCTTGCGCCGTATACGCGTTACTTACTGGTACTATCGGCTTCTTAGCAGCTTATACTTTTGTAAGAAGGATATATGGGACCATCAAAGTTGACTGAAATACGCTCGCCCTTACACGGAGTAAGTAAACAGTCATCTGACTCTGATGCAGAGCCGTCTACGTCACTTATCGATCTAGCACAACATGGAGAGTTATCAATATTCATCATGAGCAGCATAGGGTCATATACATAGCCGTATTGATAGAGAAGTATACTAGTCAGAAACTTTGCACACCTACTTTCCTCATGTCCTGTGCAGCTTCAAACGCCAACCCAGAAGCTCTACACCCACGGTTTCCCCTGCATCTTTCGTGAAAATGACAGTGTCGAGTGGCTCCGTCACGTATCGAAACGCATCGCCCCAGTTCCAACTGGCGCACTCCAGATCAGCAAACTTCTTTTCTTGGTCTTTCCTGTCAATCGAGATCCTCCAGGCCTCCTCCTCCATACCCAGCGAGCTTGGATCCGTGAGATACAGTCTTGCGCTAAGACTCTCGTAGGGAATCTTCTGCAGCGCAGCAAGCGACTGCAATACTGGTACCCCGTTCATGGTCAAGTCCTCAATAGCGAGCCCAGGTCCATCATCTACTGCCAGCGTCATACTGTTTGCGACGCCTAGTGCCGTGTAAGTGCCCGCATACTCGGCCCTCGCCTGTTGCTGCGCAAGCTTGTCCGCGTATGCCACCAACGGCCTCACTAGCTGTGGAAACAGCGTCGACACAGCATCTTGTGCCTGCCCGCCAGCGGCATTGATCGTGAGCGCGATATCGTACTCGGGCACAATCGCAGCATACGCCGCATACCCCGTCACACCGCCCGTCTTCGTAAAGATATCGATCGCCCTCGAAGTTTTGACATCAAGATCCGTGGGCCTGAGAATCTCCCACGACTCGCCAACAGCTTGATGCAGCGACGGCAGCAGAGCGCGAGGTTGCAGCCACCGCTGGGTTGCGGGTTTACTGAGTAGTTTGTGGGATAAGATTGACTGCAGGAACTTGAGCTGGTCGTTGGGTGTTGACCAGAGACCGCCGGATGGGTTGTAGTTGCCGAAGGAGGGGACGAACCAGCGGCCGTCTGCTTTGGAGCGAGGGAGGAGAGCTGTGCTGACATTTTTGGGAGTTGAGAAAGATGTCTTGCTTAGGCTGAGAGGGAAGGTGATGAGGTCGTGTATGATTTGCTCGGAGGTCTTCTTGTGGACTGCCTCAAGGGCCATGCCGAGGAGCGTAAAGCCTATATTGGAATAGAGAGGTCCGGAGTTTGTCGATCGAGGGTAATAGGCGGGATTGTTGAGTCCTGCAACTACCTCCTCGCGTGTGCAGATGCGGGCACCAGGGAAGGGGTCGCAAGTCGACACTTTGCTGCCGGTAGCGTTGATGCCTGGCAGACCGAGCATTGCAGGGTTGAAGTCTGGCACTATTGCAAGATCTCCAACGTAGATATAGCGACCGAGACCGCTAGTATGGCTTGCCAGTGCAGCGATTGTGATATCTTTGTATGCATGCTCTTGTAGTTCCGGGATGAACTTAGTGATCGAATCTGACAGCTTGATCTTGTCTGCGCTAAGCAGGATTGCTAGCATGGTGAATGTCTTGGTGACACTCCCAATACGCAAACTGGTCTCTAAAAGCGATTGACCGACATCTCGACCTGGTGCAGAGTGCTCGTATTCGAAAACCGTTACATCGTCAATGGATGCTTTGATTGCGAAAGACGTGTCAGCAGCCCAGGGCACATTTGCAAATGCTGTATCCGAAACAGCAAACTTTGTTGAGTTGGAGAGTATTCTCGGCGGTGGAAGAAGTGGTCCTGGCGGCGGGCAATATGCCTGTGTTGCAGTCGCTGAGAGCCAGGTGGAGAAGGCGCCAACGATGAGTGGATGCATGGTCGTGCTTGTGTAAAGCCAGTAGAAGAGGATTGGTAGTATCGAGACAATAATCACGACGGAAATTTGCCTGTTAAGTAGAGCCATAATGGCTGTGTATCTCTGCGTACTGCGCAGTCGACGCATATACGTACGGACGGTGTAGATGGTAAGACGGTCGGAATTAACTCAGGCCACCAGCGCTGCACGCACAGCCATCGAGGCTCAAGATGCTGACGCACACAAACGAATGCAGAAAAATAACGGATCCAGAAGCCAAAATCAAGGGCGGCAGAAGGGGAGGGTGACAGAGTGTGGGAGAAGCAGTGATGAAGGCTGGCAGCGGGACGATGCGAGCCCGGCGCTGATCTGTGGGGCATCTTCGCCGGTGCAGACCAACGCAACCTCAATCTTCATCGCCTCATGTGTAGCATTCATGAAACAGACAAGCAGAGAGAGGCCCGTACACAAGTACGGTAGACAGTACTGAGTGCTCCTTGCTTGATATCTCTCTTGAGACTCTAATGCGCCGACTAAGCCACATCCGCAACCTGAGGTACAATTTGGTCGGAGTTTCGTAGAGGCGCCAGAGTCGCATCAACATCCTAAAAATCAAAAGTTGCCCAGACACTACACTTCGCTGCCAATTTCTTTGTTTCCGCCTTGATAAGTTTCTTGGACCATTGTTCTCTCCCCTGATGTTGTGGAACCAAATGTAAAAAAGCAGACGGGCATAACCGTAGCCCACGATGTACCCCCTGGGTGGCTCCATGGATCCGTCTGTGATCGAACAGCCTTCGAGGTACTGAGAGGATGGTATGAGTGCAACAGTGAGCATGAGCATCAGGGCAACCATGCAAGGTACCTCCGTATCTGAGCTATCCGATCTCTACTCGAGTAGTTGCGCAAGAAGGCCAGACAGCACATGTGCGCAATAGCGGAAAATTATGCGAGATCCATAATCTTCTCTCAATGGTAAATTAAGATACCATAATGCAACTGAGCGTACCCACTGACAAGGACCGATCATCTAGTCAGCAATTGAAAGTCACTCATAATAAGCATGCACCAAGACGATCAACGACTACAAATTGACAGAAGTACAAGGCAACAACCGCGTCAATGCTTGCCTGCGTGAGTGCCCTGAGGGTTCGAGGTCTGTGCCATTCGAGCAACAAGGCTTGTATGAGACTGAGGCCCAATCTCCAGTACAGCAGGTAATAATTAACAGAATTCGACCTGAACCTAGCTGTAGATTTGCCGTTGTTTGCAAACGGATCGATATATGGATTGTATGCAATCAAATAGTTCGCAACCACAGGAAGGAGTGCTAGGCTAGCGGTGATGTTTTATGAGAAGTTGATCTAAAATGCGCGTTGGCGATACCTTGAACACAGCCTTACGGTACTTTCACCTATTCCAGTGGTGTTAGGGTTCAGCTTAAATTGTTCCGGAAAAGAGCTGCAAATGTAGCTGCAGCCATGAGTCTTGTCCAACGCCGTTGCGGAGAACTGGTCGATGTAGTGTGAAAAGATTGAAAGGCAAATTTCTAACTAAGCTGAAGCTTATTTCCTTATGAGAGATGGCAGCCTGCTCCGCGGATCATGTGCATAGAGATATCGATTTGCTTGGCATCTCATGTCCGCATTTAGCCACAATCAAGTGTCGGCATAAGTCTATGTAAGTGCGGATCCCTACACATCGAGATGTTGTACATTAGACCGCGAGATGAGCTGAAAAACAGGCCAAGGCGCTGACACGGAAGCAGTCTTTGCGTTACATCCATAGTATCGAGTTCGAGACCCACTAGAGGCATCATGCTGGTGTAAACGGGAACAGACCTCGATACTGGAGGCTCCCATGTATAGGACTCTCGGCATCAGAACCATTCTCATTTCGTCGGTGTGACGAGGAGCTCGAGCCGCTCCGTCCTGTCGCACCATATGGGTGTATAGAGGGCGATGGTGGACCGGACACAGATGTTGAATGCCCCATGCTAGGTTGTGTCGAAGCCACCGAGGCTCTCGGTTGAGTCGAACTAGCACAGACAAGTGGTTGCCGTGAGGAAGATGATAATCTGCTGTTTTTTCTGATTCTGACCTCGGCCTCAATTTTGACGAAGTAGGTCTGGTCGTGGATCCTCTTGAAGACAAGAAGCACTCGGAAGCTTTTCCACAATACCATGAGTGTGACGATACTGAGCTCAAGCATCGAAAAATTCCAGCCGAGTCCTACGTACGTGTAAAGAAGCGTGTGGGCGACCCAGATGCGACCCAACACCATCGCAAGCCTGCGGGCTATGATCGGGCTGTCATCGAAGTCATCGGGTGTCGAAACCATTGCAGTAAGCCTATGCAGCTCGCTTTTCGGCTTGGTCACGCCGAAACACAAGTACCGTTCCTTGCAGGGATCACTGGCGTTAATGGCCACATCCCGTGCGATTGAGGTCTCTCCACTAGTCGTATTATCAATCTCATCCTGTACGGGTGTTTCGCTGAGTTCCATTGGGTCCGGGTTATTTGTTACAGAAGCGATGATGGACTGTTCTGTTTAAGGTTCGGGATCAGCTTATGTGTATTGTGGGTAGCGCACACGAGGGAACCCTACCATTTCGAATCTCAGCAGCGGCAAGTAGTGTCAGCAAGAGAAGACCCAATGCCACGATTTGTCCAAAGCCGAGTTTTTCAAGCCCAGTAGTGTCAAAATCTCCCCATACAGCCTGGATCGTACTAACAGTCCCGTACGACATGCCTGCGAAGAGGGCCGGGATTGACGATAAGTACGAATCGAAGTAGATTTGGAGATAATACCATTTTGATATCGGAGTGCGATTGTCCCCTTCCTTGGGTGGGCGAAGCCAGTCGTAGTATTTCGCAAATGAGTTTTCGACTATTTCGCGTCGTTCAGCCTGGGATAACCCAGTTTTTCTCAAGAACCTGGACGTGATGCGGCTGATGAGGACGTTTATCGTATCCGTTTCCGGAGGGAAGAATAAGTCCCCGATTGCAAGAACATGACGATAGGCAAGAGTACCAACAAGGGTAACAGAATACCATGCGTCGAAACGCACGGACTTCATGTACTCAGGCGCCTCAAAGACGCACTGAAACATATTACCTATGTTTAGGCGCGAGCTTTCTCCGAAATCGACATCGTAGGTGGCTGTGTTGATTGTGTAAGAGAACCCAAAGAGGAGAAAGAGGCCAATAGTGAGACCAATCCGCCATGCGCGTACAAACGTGTGTGTGTAGAGATACCCGCGGAGCACTTGAAGCGACACAAGGTGAGTCCACAGGCAAAAATATGCGAGGCAAGTCACGATGTTGAATTCGTACAAAGATATGTTGCAGCGACTTGCGAGGCCCGCACTGAGTATGGCAATGCCCGAGATTAGCTGCTGATCGCCGAGTATTTTCGTGAAGCCGGTCACAACACCGCTAGTCTTTCTCTGCACCGCAGTTTGTTCTGACTTCACGTCTACGTCGGAGAAAGGACTCAAACGGCGTTTCAAAAGCTGAACAATATAATGATCGGTGGAGGTGAGCAGATCCGAGGGGAGCGATTTTCTGAAATAGCCCCAGACGATGACGATTGATAGAATCCAGGCGCTGAAGTAGAGCGACGTAAGTACCTGGGCATGTTAGTAATTGAAAGCCGGAAGTTCAAAGCGCACATACACCAATACCTGCAATGTCCGCGTTGACTTCTATCTCCGTCGTACAATTGCGTCGCGGTTCTGGGTAGAAGCACTGAGCACAGTTGAGCGAACTGCCGCAGTTGCCCATGCTGTGGTGTGTCCTAATGAAGTCGGGTGGTAGTCTTAACGGTTGCTCGGAAGGAGCGCCAGCATGAGCATACGCTGTACTTATCTGGGGAGCTGGCTTTGCAACATGTGCCGTCAAAAGCCACTCAGCCAACCGCCATGCCAGGTGTCGACCTTGCTTTTTTCAGCAGGCTGAAGTTTGTCTGCTTCTACATGAAGGTTATCCGATTTCACCCTGTCACTCACGGATTGATAGGCATAGCGTCTTACTGCAGTAGCAACATCAGCGAGCCATCACCAGCAGGCCAGTTGATTCGGGCACGTTGGTTGTCCATGTATAGCCCCCAATAACTGATGACTGTCGCGGAGCACTCGTTCAGCCTGGTCCGTCAATAACGCCATTGCTGCAGCCGCAGGCATTCTCGGGCACCGGAAAGCTTAACATGCAGCTCATAACAAGCTCATAAGCACCACCGAAGTGAGCCTTGCGCGTTCGCTGCCCAGTAATTTGCATGATGAAGTTCAATCAGCAGGAGAACGCGTCACGGTGGGCAGTCCATCAATCTCGGCGCGTTGGTGGTCGCTGAATGACCAAGTGAACATGACGTCACAGGCGAAAAAGAGCACAACACCACCCAGAGAGTTGCATTGCGTCTGATGAGTGTTCATACTGTTCATTCAAGGCTCAAAAGCCAAATTGGTATCATAATCTACTGCTCCTTCTCCAGATCCGCAATCTGCAACACCGCCTTTCCAAAGTTGTGACCCTTGAGCATGCCCAAGAATCCATCAACAGCGTTGTCGATACCCTCAGTGACGCTGATCGTCGCCTTGAAGGTACCCTCAGACAACCACTTCTGCAGCTTTTCCTGGTGCTCCTTCGCGTGCTTAGGGCCCATGTTCGCATCGGTGACAATGAACCCGCGGATAGTCAAGCGCTTGGCAACGACCTGCATCAAGTTCTTGATGGGGTAGCTATCCTCGGGCTTGAGGTTGTATTGCGAGATCATGCCGCAGGCGACGATGCGACCGAAGTTGTTCATGGCGTTGATGGCAGCCTCGAGCTGTTCACCGCCAACGTTCTCATAGTAGATATCGATGCCGTCGGGTGCAAGGCGGGCGAGCGCATCCGCAGGCCTCTCGGTCTTGTAGTTGAAGCCGTCGTCGAAGTTGAGCTCGTTCTTGATGAAGTCAAGCTTCTTGTCGTCTCCGACGGAGCCAATGACCTTCAGGCCCTCGTGCTTGGCCAGCTGACCGACGAGTTGGCCGACGGCGCCAGAGGCAGCGGAGATGAAGATCGTCTCGCCCTTCTTGGGCTGGCCAATCTCGTAGAAAGAGGACCACGCGGTCAGACCAGGCATACCTAGAGGGCCGAGGAAGTACTTGGGGTCGAGGTTGTAGGGGTTCTCAAGCTTGCGGACAGTCTTGACGGTGTCGGCATCGAGGAGGGAGTACTCCTCAATGGGTGTGATGCCAAGGGTGATCAGGACCTCACCCTCTTTGAAGTCCTTGTTATTCGATTTGACGACCTTGAAGATAGAACGGTTTGTAATGGGCTTGCCAAGCTCGAAGGGAGGAGAGTAAGACTTCTTCTCAGGCGCGCGCATGCGGCCGCGCTGATAGGGATCGAACGAGGCGTAGAAGTTCTTGACGATGAGACCGCCTTCGGGAATCTGCTGCTCGAGGTCGAATTCGCGGGCCTCAACTGCGAGGTCCTGGCCAGGAACCGGCCAGCCCTCAGGCGCCTTCTTGAAGATTAGACCCTTGTTCTGAACCATCTTGTCTGTAGGTAGTGTGCTTTGAAGTATAGAGGTAAAGGAAGAAAGGGTAGCTCAAAACTTTTGGAATGGGAAGCAACGAATATGGTATGTCGTAACGGACGCGGCAGAGAGGACCTCATATACTTATCTCCGCAGCGGATTATAAATATAATCTCACGCGCCTAGCCGAACTTGTATTGCATCATAGTGAATGGTTCAGCACCGCACATCGAGCTGCGGAGGAACGACAAGCTGGGTAAAGCTGGGTCCGGCCACACCTCTCGCCGGTTCCTTGCCGGAGAGACGTGCTGGGTTGCGGTGTTTCGTCCGCCAAACAGAGACTGCAAAGTGAACATTGCCTCGGCCGCAACTGTGCAGAGCAATGTTGGGTGGAGAACAATGCTCAATGCAGAAATTTCTACGTGCCTGTGGAACGCGTTTGAGGGATGACGACGATGGGCTGTCCGGAGGTGTACCGCTTCAAGTCAAGTGTCCGCAGTGATGTGTTTTAGAAAAGCCGAGGCAAGTGGGGGTTCCCCTTACTAATGAGGGGTTCGAGCTGGAGTTGAGATTCCATGCATTGAGAGCTGCTCGACACGCACAAAGCAGGCGCACAAAGTACCGACTGTTGCGTTGCGACTGCCCTTATGCCGCAATGCAGGCCAGACGGGTAATTTTGGTGTTTCCGGCGTGGAGTTTGCCATCGCCAACGAGAGTCAAGAGAGCTACAGCATCGTTGCTAAGCGAGACAGGAGGTCAGTGCCCTTGCGGCCGTTGAGGGCCCTTTGTGCGAACATTCTCGAAGGCTTCCGTATTCAGTTGTGCAATTCTGTTTTCATCGCGTGTGCAACTTTGCATGTCGCTGTATGTGCTACACTGCGCTCAGTGCATGGGACAGAAATCGTCGTCCTCCTGATATGCCTCCTTCCATATGGGCTTGTGCTCCTAGTCGCCCTCCCTCACAAACATATTGTCCATGTCGTCGTCCAGCTCCTCTTCAGGCTCCATCACCTTCTCAATCAATTTCAGCGTTGCTCGTATGGGAAGGCCTACGACGTTGTCGTATGATCCTTCGATACGTTCAATCAGCACCGCACCACCGCTCTGGATGCCATAGCCACCTGCCTTATCGTTGCCGTCGCGCGTCCGTACGTAGGCTAAGATAAGCTCATCTGTGACTACAGGCTATTAGCCCTGCAGCGTGTTACGTTGACGCTTGACATACCTGATGGGTCGAACTTGACCGTTGTCTCCTCGACATGTGACTCGAGCCTGTACCCGGGGTCCATAGCACTCTCCAGTGGCTTCATTACCGCAACAGCGGTCATGACCTTGTGCTCGCCTTGATCCCTCAGCATCTTCAGCATGGAGATGTGGTGTTCAGCGCCCCGTGGCTTCTCCAATATCCGCCCATCGTGGCTGACTATGATGGTGTCTGCGCCTATGAACAGCGCAGGCTCGCCCTGGTCTGTGTTGTCGATCTCGCTGCGGTACACGTCCTGTACTTTGGCGGTGGCGGTCTCGAGCACGTAGTTGAGCGCGCCGAGGTCGTGGGAGAGGTTCTCGGCAAACTTGGAAGGTATTATTTGTACGTTCTGCAGGCCAAGCTGGGCGAGCAGCTGCTTTCGACGAGGAGACGCGGAGGCGAGAATCACGCGCTTTCGACGTAAATCGTCTAATGCGGGCAGACTGAGCAGCGGGGGGGGTCCTCGAGGGGGGGGTGGTCCTCTGGGCGGCTGTTTCGAGTCTGATGGGCCTGGCGACTTGCGGTCTGACAGGAGCGGCTCCTTCGCCGCATCTTCGTAGGGTGGTGGGGGTTCTGAGGGTGCGGGCATAGCTGAGCGAGCGTTCCCCTAATGCTATTTCAATTGGTGTAGCGTCAAATCTACTCAGAAACAATATGCAGTGAGTGGAATGTCTCAATTGTAGGAGTGATGCGAACGTGGTGTTGCGCCCTTCAGCTGTCCACAAAAGTTGAAATGACACAATGTCGCCCCGAGCTCCTGCTGACCCTGACTCGCGCAGTTTTCCATCGCTACTATCTTCAGCGTTCTGCAAGTATTGCACGTGGTCTAAACGTGGTTCAGGAAGAGAAGTTATTTGTTTGACCATCTGTCACAGACTGAGCGCAATTCGCCGTCATTCACTTGGCTCATCCGCCACCTCCGCCGCCATCGCCTCCGCCTCCTCCGTCTCCTGCGTAAGTATAATGGTGATGTCCACCGTGATGTCCATCATAGCCGCCTTGCTGCCCTCTCGCTGCAAGAGCCAGACCAGCATCAGCTAACCCTCCCAAGGCACCCCCCATTCCATTTGGATTTTGCATAGCTTCTGCGGTCTCCAATCGACTTCTGACTCTCAGCGGCGCATCAAAGTGCTTCTTGTCAATATCACTTCCCCTCCAATGAGTCAGCCTGCCTAGGTCATGTTGCCGCGCTTCTTCCTCTGTCTGCATGAAGCCCCACGGGTCTCTGCCCCTCTGCTTCTGTATCTGGTCCCTTTGCCAGTCTTTCAGAACCTGCAGAGAGGCGATGACGAGTGCGTGGCTGACTGTCGGGGATCTTATGGTGAGCGTCTCGTCAGGGAGGCATGTCAGTGATAGCTTGCATCCTGGCTCGATGGAGCTGTGTGCTCTACCAGTGTGGCAAAGACCGCAGATGTTATGGTCTGCACAGGTCTTGCAATTCCACCGCTGGCCGACGATTGGCTTTATCTGGCATTCCATGCAGATGGCATCCGTATGAACCCGAGTATCGCCATTGAACCCGTCCCAGTACGTGTGGTCTGCGACAATGTCGCCATACAGGGGGTCAATACTGTTGTTGTTTGCGACGAATAGGGCGTGGCGGAGCACATCGTAGCGACAGCCGTTGGAAGAGCTTAAAGGCATATGGCTCACCCAAACATAGGATCTTCCGTCGTTGGCGATAAAGCGAAGGGAATCATAGTTTGATGCATGAACGTAGGTAGTCAGTATGTTTTTCTTCCCACCGCCCGGGTTCAGAATCTCAGTCTTGCGAACGCGGCTTCTCAAGTCAAGACGTAGTTCATAGGACCATGTGGACTCTGGCCTCCTGGCTCCCGATTCGGCATTATTGCATTGCATGACCCATGAGAACCTTGGGTCGCGATATTTGCCTCCTATCTTCTTGAAGTTGAAGGTAAAGGCAGCAGGTGAACGTGCTGGCGCCTTTTCTGATCGTCGTCGCGTCGACCAGGCGGACGACTCTGGCGTGTCCATCCAGTTCAGGTTTGCTATGATTTTCGTCTGGGCATGGTACTTCTTTATCACGGGGCCTAACCTCCACTGAGGTGGGTACGGCACTTGACGATGCTTCTCAAGGTAGGTCGCCAATGCAATTGGATCTGATGGTGCTTCTGCGTTTCGAGGAATGTCGCCCACTACCGCCTCTGGTAAGTCGCTCATAGCCACAGATGACTGGCGGTGGGGCGGAAACTTAGAAAGTTGTTCAGGGATTACCTCTGGCAATAGACTATAGCTTTGCTGTAGCTGAGATGGTGGACCAAAGGAGCCTGGACTCCAAGAAACATCAGGCGACAGACTCTGAGAATGAGGTCTCAAGAATTGAACCGAGTGTCGCTGTATCAATCCCGGGCCGCAGTGCGTGTCCATAGGTATACTTTGAGAATATGGTCTTAGCAATCGCGATGATCTTTGTTGTATAAGGGAGGTTATCCCCTGCGGATTTGGCAGGGCCAGGGTGGTTGGACGCTGTTGCTGATTGATGTTGCTATTGGAACTGCTCCTCACTTCTTGGACCTCCAGCTGCTGCAATTGCTTGGCGAGCTCTTCGTCTTCCAAGAGCTGTCGATCTAGGGCTGATAATTTCCGAGCAGATTGTTCGTCCTCAGTAAACTGCTTCTCTGGTGTTGCTGTCGGTGGTGCCACAGGCAAAGGCGCGGGGAGCTCAGCAATGACAGGTGGAGGCCAAAATGTTCCATAAAATGGCTGTACATAGTGCGGTGCTGATTGATCGCAGACTATAGCGGGCGCGTTGGGCTGCACATAGTACTGCGAAGAGCGCTTGTCCAAAGTCCGCTCTGTTGACCTGTAACAGTTGGACCATGGTGCCGACATGGTGCTTTATGCTGACTTGATACTCGTATAGGTTCCTATACGTTTGACGGGCTTGTGATCTTGTTCGGCGCGCGATAGCGCAAGGTCATGAGAGAGGCACCAAGCTGAGACGACAATGCAGCTTTTAGATCGAGCTGCGCCTCCTATACTAATCCCAATCAGAAGCGAATAAGCGTGAAGAAAATAGAGAAAAGCAGGAGTGCAAGGCCAACGCAACGACGGTACCAGGTGAGTGGTGTCACGACCTACCTAACGCGAGCGGCTGTGAGCAGACGGAGACCTCGAGGTGACGATTTGAGAGGCTTTGATTGCTGGGCTGGACGCCTTGCAGATCGCCTCGACATCGACGTCAGCAAAGTGTTGCAGTGGCTTTGAGGAAGTGACTGTTGTTGGTTCGCTTCGTGTGAGGAGGTCGGACGGCATGCGCCAGGGCAGACCTTCAGGCGTTCCGCCCCAAGCTTTGGAGAAGATCAAGCTCTGGTCCCATCTTAATGATCAAAAGCGGGCAACACTAGGTTATCTCGGGGGTTGATGATTTTACGCATGCTCTGAGAAATGTGTGGTGACTGCCAAAAGTTGGAGGAGCCCGATTTTAAGCCAATCAGAACCTCCGCGTTTCGGCGGCAGTGGAGAACGCGCTTGCCCGCGCTCCAGAACTCTGTTACGAACAATCTCCAGGTTTGCGTCAGTACGTCTTCGTTGCGATGAAAACACTGCAGACGTGTTTTCGGTGTTGTTGAAAGCGCCGATGCCGCCAAAAAGAACCTGGTCACAGGTCACCGACAATGGCCCGTCGCTGTCTCGATCTGCTTCCCGCCCACGGCAGTCCGAGGCTGGAGTCGAAGCGACTACACCGGCAATTTCGCGTAAAGTGAAAGCTTGTGCAGCATGTCGAAAACAGAAGGTTAGCAAGTGATCTTTACCCACGTGACGTTCAAGAGCAGTACTTATGTCGCGCAGATAAAATGTCTTATGGACGAGAATGCCGGTCCGCCATGCAAGCGTTGTGCCGAACGAAACCTGTCCTGCGTCCTGAACAAGAGTCTGCAGACGCTGATTGATGAGCGATCACAGTAAGTGTTGTGGTAATGGCTCTAACAAGCTCTGACGAAGATAGATGGAAGCATGAAGTCGTTGGCGACCTCGGTCTGATACATTCATCGCTACAACAAGTCCTCAGCAAACTCTCACTCCCAGCACTGCCACCACTGAAGGCGACTACTGCTGATGACTCGGATCATGTCCAACAGTATGATGCTGCGGACCGAGAAGAAGAGGTTCCATCATGCGACAACTCACCCAGATTGTCTCCCAAAGGGGATGCTCTGCCACACGCGCCCATCGAGTCGTTGTACCAACTCACTCGCCTTCGCGCACTTCGATCAGACGATCCTACCGAGGAGCGCAAGCCTACACCGGATTTTGGCACAAACCATCCTGTCAACGACTTCATATCCCGAGGTATCGTCAATGTTGAGGACGCTGAGCGACTCTTCAGTTTCTTCTTAAATCGCATCGACCATTTCATGTACAGGATCGGAAGCCATAAGTATCGTGACCTGGAAAGTCTACGCCGTGGCTCGTCGATTCTCACTGTCACTATCTGCACTGTCGCAGCGCTGCACGATCCACAAAGCAATCACCTCTACAAGTCCTGCAGCCGAGAGTTCCGTCGCCTGATGTCAGCATCCATGTTCGACCGCCGCATAGATCGCGACCGTATGCGGGCACTCTGTGTGGCATCATATTGGCTTCATGATCTCTCATTCATAATCAATGGATATGCGATTCGACGAGCCATGGAGATCAACCTCAGCAGCAGCTACCAGCGTGTTCTTGCCACCGGTGACGAAGACTCAATGGAGTGCATTCGATTGTGGTATGTCCTTTACATATGTGATCGACATCTATCGATTCTGTATAGTCGACCATCGATCGTCAGAGACGAAGTCTCTATCACCGGATGGGAAGCGCTCATGCGGACCGCAGCATTCACTGAGGCCGATAAGCGACTTGTGAGCCAGATGGCTTTGTTGATCATCATGGGGAACGCAAGAGAGCTATTTGGACCTGATACCGGAGAAGCTATACCGAAAGCATTTGCACCACAATTGACGAACTTCAGCCGCCAGATAGACCATTGGATGGGGTTCTGGTCCACAGAGCTACTAAGTGAGACTCATAGGCTCTCCGTATGTCCTGTCGAGTACGACGCTGACCTGTCCAGAAATCCATCAATTCATTGGCGGTTTTCCGACCAAAGGCGTGATCATACATCACCATCTGGCAAAGCTCCATCTTCACTCCCACGTCTTCCGGGGTCTTCGTGGGGGTCCTGTACCACCACACTTCCAGGAGAGCGCGGTTGCTGCAGTGTCGGCCGCTACGGACACAATTCAGATGGTCCTTACCGACTATGACATACAAGAAGGACTGGTCGGCATTCCGCACTACATCCACTCCATGGTCGCATTCGCGTGTGCGTTTCTGTTGAACATTGCATCGCAATATAGTGGCCAGTACATCGCAGATACTGCAGTCTTTGACTTGACAACCAAGGCTGTGCAGCAGTTCCGTTCGACTCCTGTTGGCAAGTGGCATCTAGTCCATCTGATGGCGGAAGGCCTAGAGAAGATGATTGCCAAGAAGGGTGGCAGCCCGGCCGCAAAAATGCTCCCCAGTGTTACGAGCGAGGCAAGCCAATCTGGCGCGCAAAGTGGTTCAGCGCTGAATACACCGCTGCCCGGCACGTCGTACGGCGACAACTTCTTTAGCGGCTTCGAAGACGCATACAACCTTGGAAGTGCTTCATTCTTGAACTTCGATACGGGCACTATCGATCTAGACTTTGCCGGGTTCAGTTTCTAAGCCTTGGGTGTTACTGCAGCTTGCCCTGGCAGAGCCAACCGTCATGCCGCCGGCGCGCTGTCCTATTTACGAAGAGGTAGTTTGGCAATCGGGCCTTGGAGAATCCCATGTCCAAGACATCAGAAGGAGGGGTTGTGATCGGCAAGAAGGCCGACCCCGCTAGCCGCTGCCCCACGTTGAGGTACACTACCCGCGACCATTGCCGCGGCGACTGCAATTGGTATTTGTTCGTCATATGGATTCTGCAATCGAGCCCTCACATCATCTTTCCTATCAACAATGTCCTCCTCGTCCGCAATGCCCACATCCTTGCCGCTGAAGGAGACACTTGAGGGACTTCCCAGCTTGTCCTCAACATCGACTGAGCTTCGATCTCGAACGCGGGATGTAATCCAGTCTAGCTCCAACATTCCCATCCTAGTCGCTTTGGATGATGATCCAACCGGTACTCAAACCTGCCACGACATCCAAGTTCTAACAACATGGACCGTTCCCGTTCTAAAGGCGGAGTTCGAGGACACCGCCCCAGGCAGCGGGTTCTTCATCCTCACAAACTCGAGGGCCCTTCATCCACCGGCAGCGCGAGAGCTTACGATCGAGATCTGCCAAAACCTGAAGGAGGCTGCGGCTCAGGCAGGCAAGCGCTTCGAAGTGGTCTTGCGTGGTGACTCGACTCTGAGAGGCCACTTCCCAGTCGAGCCCGAGGCAGTTGAGGAAGCGCTTGGAGCCAGTGATGCGTGGATTCTTGCACCTTTCTTCCTCCAAGGTGGACGATACACAATTGACGATGTCCACTATGTTGCTGAGGGCGATGTTCTGGTACCTGCCGCAGAGACACCGTTCGCCAGGGATGCTACCTTTGGCTTCAAGAGCAGTCACATGGCGGACTGGGTCATTGAAAAGAGCAAAGGGACGATATCAAGGGATCGAGTGCGCGGAATCAGTCTCACAGATATCCGAACAGGGGGTCCAGACAAGGTCAACGAGATCTTGCAAAGCGCCTCAAAGGGCACGGTGTTCATCGCCAACGCAGCTGCAGAGGAAGACATGGATGTTGTGGTCCAGGGGATTCTCAAGGCCTCTGCCCAGGGCAGAAAGTTCCTCTTCCGCTCTGCAGCGGCCTTCGTCTCAGCGCGTCTGGGCATCTCCCCCATCCCGCCCATCACCGCGCGGAAGCTCCAGCTCAGCACCGCCACGGGCGGACTGATCATCGCCGGCTCGTACGTGCCCAAGACCACGAGCCAGTTGAAGGCCTTGATCGAGGTTGCAGGCGACAAGCTGACGACGGTGGAACTCAACGTCAACAAGCTTCTGGAGAGCGACGCCTCGCGAGGACAGGAACTAAACCACGCGCTAGAAGTGGCGTCGAAGGCGTTGCAGCAGCCCAAAGACGTCTTGATAATGACCTCGCGCGACATCATCACAGGCGCAGACGAGCGGTCATCGCTAGACATCGGCTCCGTGGTCGCAGCCGCGCTCGTCGCTTTCCTTGAGCGTTTGCAAGTCAAGCCCAGATATCTCATCGCCAAGGGCGGCATCACGAGCAGCGACATGGCAACGAAGGGATTGCGCATGAAGAAAGCCACCGTCATGGGGCAGGCGGCTCCCGGTGTCCCGCTCTGGCGATGCGATGAGCCGACGAGCAAGTGGGCCGGTCTGCCGTACGTTGTGTTTCCGGGCAATGTGGGCGGAGAGTACACGTTGGCCGAGGTTGCGGAGAAGTGGAGGCCGTCGATATCGGTCAATCGCTGTTAGCTGTTGGCAAGAGGGGTTAGGCTGTAGAGCGGTCAAGCTGCAGAGCGACATGGAATGGATTTGAATGCCGAAATACACCTGCCCGCCATCCACCGGCCGTCCTTGTTGAGTAAGTACCCCGATCATGAAACCTCGTGCGGAAGATATCTGGCGGATGCATCACGTGTGGAAACGCGCTTGACGCTACTGTAACAATCCTCTGCAGCTTGACCATGTCCGACATGACGGACGGGAGAGAGGGAGGAGGATGGGCTGGGTCGGGTCGTTGGATACAGGTGGGAGTGTCGCGGGATCTCTGAGACGAGGTAGTGTGTGGAAATCTGCTCCGTCGGTTCTTCTCGCTGGACTCGAGAGCTGCGCGTTAGCTACATCACGGTCGTTCGAGCCTGGCCATGGTGTATCTGGACTCGACGGCGGCGGGTCTGGCGTTGGTTTCGCGCGGACGGGATGGTGGTGCCGGGGAAGTAGGTATGGTGCGAACGTGTCTGCGTCAGTCAGCGCAGACGCACAATCGCAGGCGATGTTTCGCCGAGGGAGCGGGCTGGAAAGGGTTGAACCGTTAATTGGGGTATATACTGCTATACTACATCTACACATCAGTCGTTGAGACGTGGCTTCGTCACGCGCACTGTTCTGGGGCTCGTAATCTTCTGCATCTGCGTCGCGCATTCGTCGACGCTTTTCCGTTTCCTGTGCGCCTCTACTCCACGCGCACATTTCGGCGCGGCCTCTACGGGCTCAAGTAAGCTCTACGGGCTCAAGTAAGCTCTACGGGCTCAAGTAAGCTCTACTGGCTCAAGTCGTCGCCCCACACCTGCTTGGCAATCTCGACCTCGAGCCTGACCTTGGCCCACTGCTCCTCTTCTGTGAGCTCGTTGCCCTCGGCGGTCGAGCTGAAGCCGCACTGGTGCGACAGACACAGCTGGTCGAGGCCGTTGGGCGCAATGGACGCGGCCTCGTTGAGGCGTCCGATGATGTCCTCCTTGACATCGAGCTCGTTCTTCTTGCTGCTCATGACGCCCAGCACGACGACCTTGTGCGCCGGCAGGTGGCGCAGCGGGCTGAAGTCGCCGGACCGCGCGTCGTCGTACTCGAGAAAGTACGCGTCGACGTTGAGTTCCTTGAAGAGCACCTCGGCGACGGGCTCGTAGCCGCCGGACGCGAACCACTTGCTCCTGTAGTTGCCGCGGCAGAGGTGGATGCCGATCTTCATGTCGGCGGGGCGCTTGGAGATGGCGGCGTTGATCAGCGCGGCGTACTTCCTGGGCAGGACGCTGAGGTCCTCGCCGCGCTCCGTCTCGGCGGCTTTGCGCATGTCCGGATCGCACAGGTAGGCCAGGTTGGTGTCGTCGAGCTGCACGAAGCGGCATCCGGCTTGGTACAGCGAGTCGAGCTCTTCCTGGTACACGCGCGCGAGGTCCTCGAAGAAGACGTCCAGGTCCGGGTACGCGGAGATGTCGATGCTGGCGCGTCCACCGCGGAAGTGCACCATGGTCGGGCTGGGGATGCACACTTTTGTGGTCGCCTTGCCGCCGTTGTCCTTGATCGCCTGCTCGAGGAAGTGGAAGTCGTCGACCTGGATGGCCTCGGGGTGGCCAAGCTTTCCGTTGACCACCAATGTTGGCGGGGAGAAACCATCCTTGTGCCTGATGTTGCCGACCTGGCCCCTTTCTTCAATGCCCGCGAGGTGCTTCAGAAAGTCCAGGTGGAAGTAGGCGCGGCGGAACTCGCCGTCGGTGATTGAGCGGATGCCGTTCTCGATCTGGAGTTGGGCGACCTTGCTGACAGCCTCGTCTTCGACTCGGCGCAGGTCCGCGGCCGATATTTCGCCGTTGGCCGCCTTCTGGCGCGCCTCGAGAACGGACTTGGGGCGCAGGAAGGAGCCGACGTGGTCGGCGCGGTAGACGCCGTGAGGAAGAGGCATTGTGCTGCGTTTGCGGGATGTGAACTTGTGCGGGATGTGAACTTGTGCGGGATGTGAACTTGTGCACTGGGTGGAAATTTGCCCTCACGGAATATGTCTATTGTCAGAGGTGGCAGGATTGAATCACCGTGGGACAAGAGCATCGCAGCTCTTTAAAAGATTTCGCCTTGCGCGCATCGCATCGAGTATCATTCTTGCTTGGAGCTACCCCACTCACCCACTCACGGCAGTTGTGTCGACGAGCTAATTGATGGATGGCGGCGTCCGAGGCGCCGAGGACTCGCGCTTGCCGGCGGCATGTGGAGAGGCGCGCTCGGCAGGGTCCATTTTGAGGAAGTTCATCCCATGGTTGTCTCTGTTGGTGTATTTCGGCAGTTGTGTTTTGCATCTTGACGCATGCAAGGATGACAACGGGGATTGACGTCGTTTGCATAGGCGAGGGTGCCTTGCATGGAGGGGCCGAATGTCGGCCGTCGACCGGAAGCATTCTTCCGCGGGCTACTCCTCAACTGCACGGTTGATGTGTCCGGAATTCCAAAGACTGACTTTAGGTGGCAGACAGCGTGTGGGTTTATACATACTCAGTGGAGGATGTGGGGCATGTGGGAGCGAGCGGCGGTGGGGCGTGGGAGTATCTTGGGGTCCCTCTGCCGTCTTTTGCTCAGCCGGCAGCGAAGGGTACATGGCATTAAATACATGGGTATCGCATCAATACATGAGTATCGCATCAATACATGAGTATCGCATCAATACATGAGTATCGCATCAATACATGAGTATCGCATCAATACATGAGTATCGCATTGAATACATGGGTACAGCATTAATACATGAGTATGGCATTAAATACATGAGTATGGCATTAAATACATGGGTATCTGTCGCAGCAAGGATCGAGGTGAGGGTGCACATCACGTGATCCGCATCTGGATATTGGACCGATCAGACACTGGCGATCCATCACGCCATGGTAAGCGGAATCGGGTACAACTTGGAGCCGTGATTAGAGCTCCAATTAGGGTGTAGCTGGATGAGTATTGGTGTATATATTCTGCTCGTTTAGCACCGTAGATAGAACAAGGAACTTGATCACTTTCTTCACACTTGATCAACGATCAGAGACTGCTCAGCTTCCATGGTATCGCATTAATACATGAGTATCGCATTAATACATGAGTATGGCATTAATACAAGAGTATCGCGATAATACATGAGTATGGCATTAATACAAGAGTGTGGCATTAATACATGAGCATGGCATTAAATACAAGAGTATCGCATTGATACATGGGTATCGCATTGATACATGGGTATCGCATTAATACATGAGTATCGCACCAATACATGAGTACAGCATCAGAACGATAGTCTGGCACTCCATCCGGGGTTTTCGTCAGCAATCGACACTGACATGGACTTTAGTGCCTACGCAGCCCGCAGCACCTTTCCCTCCAACAGCTCGCCAAACACGCCGCTCCACAGCCCCTCGTCGTCTTCCTCTTCCATGAAGAAACCGTCTTTGGCATCGTAGATTCTCTCGCCCTTGCTGTTGAACTTCTTCTCCGTCTGCGGCAAGTCGCGCGCTGCGATTCTGAGTCTGATTGTGCCCGCGCCCGCACCGGAGTCGCCTTCAGTCTCCACGACTGCCGTCTTGAAGCCGCTGATTTCTGGCGTGATGGTCACAGGATTGATGCCGAAGAACTTGCACACGATGAGCGCGCCGGGCTTGATGTCCGCAGGCGTCAGGGCGGGGAGTGTGCTCAGGTCCTTGGGCAGGGGGGGTAGGTCATGTTCGGGCAGGGGGGGTAGGTCATGTTCGGGCAGGAGGGGTAGGTCATGTTCGGGATGTTCGGGATGTTCGGGTTGTTCGGGTTGTTCGGGTTGTTCGGGTTGTTTGGGATGTTTGGGATGTTTGGGATGTTCGGGTTGTTTGGGATGTTCGGGTTGTTCTTGCGAGGCGGTGGCAATGTCTTGTTGCAGCTGGTCTTCGATGGCAGCATGGATCTGGACGTCGGGATTCGCGTCTGGGCCGTCGTCGTAGTCGAGAAAGACCCTTTCTCCCGGATCTTCTTGGTTCTCTTCTGGTGGCTCTTCTGCTGCCGCCTTCTTGCGGCCCTTGCGGCCCTTGCCTTTTCGCGCCTTTGCGGCATCGCGCATCACTTGGCCCATGGGGTCCCAGTGTTGCTTGAATGGGAAGGGCGGCGCTGTCAGCTCATACTCTTCTTCCCAGCACTCGAACGCCGAGAGGTTGATGCGCGACTTCCAGAATTCGGGATCGGTCGAGCCTTGCGGGTCTGGGGTGGGCTCTTTCACTCTGACTGGCTTCTTTACGAGGTTCTTGGTCTGCCGTGCGAGCATGCGGCCGATGGCTGAGACGTTGGGCCGCAGCCGCTTGCGCTCGGCGGTCTTGTCGGGTGTTGTATTCGGCTCGTTCGAGTGCGGCGGCGCCGGCTGCTCTTCCATTGTGACATTTGAGTCCTGGCCGAACTTGGCAATCATCTCCCGCTTCCGCTTCTCGAGCGCTGCCGCTTCATCTGCGGCAGCTTGGCCGTGTTCTCCTGCGGCAGCTTGGCCGTGTTCTCCTGAGGCAGCTTGGCCGTGTTCTCCTGCGGCAGCTTGGCCGTGTTCTTCCGTCTCAAGGCGCTTCCTCTTGCTGGCGGATCGTGCGAATGGATGTGCTGGCCCTGGCTGCTCGCCGTTGGGCTGCTGCCTTGTTTCCTCCTCGTAGCGTTCCAGGTCCTTTAGGTCTGCGTCCTTGTCCAGCTTCCCGGCCTTTTTGAGGTGGTTGAGGCGGTTTGTCCTGGTCCGACGCGCGTTGCGTGATTTTGTTTCTCTCTTGCCCTCGCCAGGCGGAGACGGATTCGCGTTGGTCAGCTCCGGAGGGACGGTGGCCTTTGGTACGGCTTTCTTCCACGACCGCACCTCGGGTTCGGCGTCGCTGTCGCTGCTGCTGTCCGAGTCGCTCGAGGAGTCGTCTGAAGTTGAGTCTGAGCCAGACGAGTCCGAGTCCGAGTCAGAGGTGTCTGAAGCATCTGATGAGTCTGCATCCGAGTCCGAGCCCGAGTCAGAGGTGTCTGAAGCATCTGAAGAGTCTGCGTCCGAGTCCGCACCGTCGGAGCCGTCCGCGCCGTCGTAACCGCCCACATCATGGTCGCTCTCGTTGCCCGGCGCAAAGTCGTCGTCGTCGTCGTCGTCGTCGTCGTCGTCGTTGTCCAGATCCATGTCGACTTCTGGCTGCTGAAAGTGCACGGTCTTGTCTGCTCCGCTTGGTCTGCTCCTGCTGGCGTCCGTGGCAGCCCTGACCTCGTCTGCTCCCTCTTGGGTCTCCAGCAACAGCTGGTCGCCGTCTTCGTCTGTAATCTCCTCGAGCCTCTGGCGCTTCCGCGGCGGGACCCTGACTGCAGACGACGAGACCCTGACTGCAGACGACGGGACCCTGACTGCAGGCGGCGGGATCCTGACTGGCGGCCGGCTCGGCTGCCGCAGATACGGACGGCCAAACGGCACGCCGTCTACGAGGTGCTGGCCGCCGTCGCTGATCTGGTGGCGCCCCGTGAGCGTCCGGGCGCGCACCTCGGCGCGCATGAGCGGCCTTATGCTGCCGTGTGTTAGCGCTTGGCAGACTCTGCAGAAACCCCGGGGACACGCACGAGACATGGTCGTCTGCGTTCAGACACTGCGCCACGGGCATGAAGTGCAGACACTCGAACCCGCCCACCTCGGCGACATAGTGCTCGAGCCCCCAGTGGTCTGCCTCGAGCGGCACGACGAGACTGACGTCCTCCAGCAGGCGGGCGACGGTGTAGGCGGCGGCGCTGTTGGTGTCGGGGACCGCCCAGAGGATGTGGGCGGCGGGCAGGCCGTTGCGCTGGATCGTGAGGCGCAGACGCATCGTTGCAGCGCGTCGCGGGCGAGCGTTTGGGGCCGCGAGCTGTGGCAGAGCGGACATCCGACAGCGCGACGGCGGCGCGGCCGCGCTGCGGCGCTGCGGCGCTTTGCACGCGCTGATTGGCTGCGCGCAGTGCTGGCGATCGTCGCCGTGCCGTGCGGGCGCGGGGCGTGGTCCGCGACAGGCAGGAGAGACGACGCGCTCGCAGTGTCAACGGGTTCCGCAGGGTTCAAGCAGGCACAAGCAGGTTCAAGCAGGCTCAAGCAGGCTCAAGCAGCAGTGACAATGACGCAAGCGACGGGTGACGCCCGCTGCGAGACTTGTCTGGTGCCGTGCGAGCGCTGCGTCGCTCGTTCAGCCCACTGACACGACACTCTACCGACCGACCGACCCGACGACCGCGCGAATACCGCACAAATGCCCGTCTCCATGCCCATCCACACGCTCAAGGGCAACTGGCACAAGGTGGCCGCCAACGACCGCCTCCGGCGCTCGTCGCACGCCGTGGCGGTCGTCAACGGCCAGCTGCACGTGTTTGGCGGCGAAGTCCAGCCGCGCCAGCCCGTCGACGCAAAGGTGGACACGGTTGCCCTCGGCACCGGTGCGTCCGCCCCTCGCCCGTCCTCTGGGGGGCTTTTCTCGTCCTCTGGGGGGCTTTTCTTGTCCTCTGGGGGGCTTTTCTTGTCCTCTGGGGGGCTTCTCCCGCCACCAGGAGCCACGCCCACCACCCACACTGACAGACCCAGAATCACCCGCGCACGACGCAATATCCGCAGACAACGCCCCCTCGCCGCGCGTCGGCACCGCCTCTGCGGTCCTCAACAATGCCCTGTACATCTTCTCCGGCCGCGGCGGCGCTGACATGGCGCCCGTAGACGAGGCCGGCGCAGTGTGGAAGTACACGCCCTCCGCACACACGTGGGAGAAGGTCTCGCCCGCAGACGCCTCGGCGCCCGTGCCGGCCGGCCGCAGCTACCACAGCTCGGCGTCGGACGGCGCATCGACCGTGTACGTCCACGCCGGCTGCCCTGCGAGCGGCCGGCTGTCCGATCTCTGGGCCTTTGACGTCGACAGGCGGAGCTGGACACGGCTGCCCGACGCCCCTGCGCCGCACCGCGGAGGCGCGAGCATGGCCTTTGCCAACGGCACGCTGTACCGCATGAACGGCTTCGACGGGTCCGCCGAGGTCGGCGGCAGCGTCGACATGTTCGACACGGGCTCCCGCACATGGCACACCAAGACCTTCAAGCCCGACGGGGCCGACGGCCCCGCGGCGAGGAGCGTGTGCGCGCTGCTCCCTGTGCAGCTGGGCGGCAAGCAGAAGCTGCTCACGCTGTTTGGCGAGCGGGACCCGAGCTCGCTCGGCCACGCGGGCGCCGGCAAGATGCTGGGCGACGTGTGGATCTACGACATCAGCGAGGAGTGGTGGACCGAGCTGCACCCCAACGCCGGCGACGACGGCACGCCCGCAAACAGGGGCTGGTTCGACGCCGACGTCGTCAGGGCCGAGGGGACAGGCAATGACAGCATAGTCGTGCACGGCGGTCTCGGTGACGACAACGAGAGACTCGGCGATGTGTGGCTGCTGAAGTTCTAGTCGTGCTAGTGTGCAACAAATACAACCTCACCACGCACTTGCATCAAACCTCACCACGCACTTTTAGTCAAATCTCACCACGCACTTTTAGTCAAATCTCACCATCCCCTACCGTCTCCCCCCATCACGCACTTGCGTTAAATCTCACCATCCCCTACCGTCTCCCCCCACCACGCACTTGCGTTAAATCGCAGTCTCCCGTTACCTTTCCCGAACCTCTCGTGTTTGACCTCTCGTGCTTGACCTCTCGTGCTTGACCTCTCGTGTTTGTCCTCTCGTGTTTGACCTCTCGTGTTTGACCTCCCGTGCTTGACCTCTCATGTTTGACCTCTCATGTTTGACCTCCCGTGCTTGGCCTCTTGTGCTTGACCTCAGAACCACTGGAACAGTGCACTTGCAATCATGACCAAATGCAACAGGAATGCACGTCAGCGGCAAGGGATCGGTCGGTGAAGCCCAACGTCAGACTGCCACGCCTGGGAAACGCTCATCGCGGGAACCAAGGCAGCACAGCCGAGACGGCTGCTGGCGTTGACATTTGACATGGCCGTCACACTCGCACACGGCCGACGGCTTCGTGCAGCACACGGACGGGCATCTGCCTGCTGCGAATGTATTGCCAATCATTCATGTCGTGGGACCCGCGCCCTGTGCTGTAACGGTTGCTCAGTGTGGGTCCGTGTAACGAGGCCAGAATCAACGGCTAGGGTGCATGCATTTTGACAGTCGTGTACGGCGTCTGCATGGGATTGAGCGACATGTGTATAGTGGGCTGACGACTGAGTGCCCCCCATGCCCCACTCTGCTCTTTTGCAGCAGGTAGGGCTGGACCTGTCAATCGCGTGCCGCGTCCACTCCGTCTCGGTCAGACCAGGAATGTCCAGAAGCTCGGGTAGACAAACTCGTCTTCGAAGATGCGCCTGACCTGTTCCAGCACAAACGACTCCACCTTCCCTACGTTCTTCAGCACCTGCTTGCCGCTGCCCTGACCGCCGATTTCACTCTCCACCTTGATGTGCTCCAGCAGGCCGCCGATCTTCAGCCGTTGTGCGAGGCTCGATGTCTGGCCCTGCGACGATTCTGTCTGAGGCGATTCGCGGCCGACCAGCGCGTCCGCATCGTCAGCCGACAGGAAGCAGAAGTGTGCTCGCTTCCTGATGTACGCCAATATAGCGACGCCATCGAATGTTAGTCCGGTGATGTTGAGCTTCAGCGGAATGCCCACGAAGCTTGGCATGGGGTAGTCCAGGAGGATCTCGGCGGTCAACGACATCTTGATGTCGCCAGAGTACTGCACATGTGTCACGACCTGTAGATCCTCGGCGCTCTTCTCTCGCATGCGGGGCGGTGTAGGGGACCGAATCCGCTCGTAGTCGCTCTGTGAAGACGAGCCCGTCGAGTCGGCAAGGGAGCTGCTGCTCCTCTCTTGATCATACCTACGCTGCGAAGAAGGTCCTGTGCTCGGATCTGGGTTCGACTGGGGCGTCAACGTCAAGGAGTTCATCGAGGCAGCATGATGGAGACGCTTGTTGGTCGGTGTCCTAGGCCGGCCGTGGGGGTTGTCAAGCCAGCCTTGTATTTGCGCACCAGCAACAGCAGCTAGAGGTGTCGTAGCACCTGAGAGACCTGCGCCTAGGGGCAGGTGAAAATAGTTGAGGTTGGAAGTGCCACCGGGAATGCCTGGTGTGGAGACTCTAGGGAATAGATGGGCGCCGAGCTGCTCAGTGGGGTGTCGAAACGCATTTGGTCTCGTGTTCAAGTATGATGGCGCTATACCAGGGTGTGTAGTTGTACGTTCTGTCGCGTGGGAGTCTCTGCTGGCATTGCGCATATGGCGGTCGTTTGATGGAGGCTTCAGTCGACTGGTATTGACGCTGTGGCCTTCAGCGGGCCCATCAGCACCTCCTGCTGCTGCTGCTTCTTCTTCCTCGTCTGACTCGTCCTCGTCTGACTCGTCCTCGTCCTCCTCGTAGAAGTCGGGCAGGGGATTGCAGATGTCTTTGATCTCAATCTCTGGAGGCACGCTGCCAAAGTCGAACGAGTGAACATGGACGGAGCGAATGAACCTTGGCAACGTGACCTGCTGAAATCGGTCGTGGATGAACGCGCGTATCTTCTCTGCGCGAGCGGAGCCATCTGCGCCGCCCGTGATCGTCTCCCAGTTGATATCAACTGACATTGCAGCGGATGCGTGCGGCGTTGGGTCAACAGAGGAGAAACGCGTCCGCAGACTGCCCAATGGGGAAACCGCCACCGAACAAAGGAAAAACGACGACCGAGTTGCCGACTGCAGAGCACCAGCGCCATCGCTTCCCCATCGCACCATTCGACAAGGTCCTGGTCATGCAACAAATGTGACTATGCACCTGTGTCTGCATGGTCTCCCTGTCCGACATGTGTCTCCCTCTGCCCGTGTCATCGACTGCCCCGCGAGACGCACGTGCATTGTACCTCGACTGTATGCAACAACTCGAGCCTGGTGTCATATGTGAAACAGTCTTATTACATAGAACAAGATGCTATATCATGGCGGAGTTAGAGCCGCATGGCGCTGCTGCGTGGCTCATGTTCTAATGCCCATGCTGCAGATCACCGTTGAAGCAGCCTGCCAGAGGCGAATTGTACATGACTGAGCAAGGGGCGGAGCCGGTGCATAAGCAAGCCCGGGCTCGCCCTGGCGGCAGAAGACGTAATTACTGCATTATCCGGACAGGTGCAAATTGGATCATCGGGCCAATCAGCACTGTTGAGATTGAACATATGGCCATCGACATCAACTGCAACTGCTGTCAACGCACGCAATCAAAACGCCGTGGTCGATGGCGTGTCTTGTTTATCATTCTCTACATTAGGCATTCCTCGGCGTCTCTACACAGACTGAGAAGAGCCCTCCTTCGACTGTCGACACTGCCGACACTGCATGGGGCCAGATTGGGAAGCTTGTGCATATCGACTCCGCATCTATCTCATTCTCGGCTACGTGAAGATCATTCCAGTCCTGTATACAACAAGCGCCACGCCGCAGGACCACATGAAAGCCCAACGCCCTTGCTGCTTTGGGCGCTGGTCCGGGAAGGGTGCCTTGAGAAAGAGGGCCATTTCTAGCCCTGTTCCTTGGCAAGTATCGGTCCATGTTCGCGCGGAAGCACCGAGATATGGGACAGGCTTGTTCCATCTCGGTACGTGAGAACGCTCCGAATTCAAACGCGCTTCCCGAGCCGAACTGAGCTGCTATCTAATGCGTTCAGCAATCTCACTGACGCAGCCGCTCCGGTTGAGACCAGCTCCGAGCTTGACGTATGTTCAGCATGAGCAATGTAGTCAGACTTGGCATCATGTCTGGTGCTGGCAATTCAGCGAAACAGCGCCGCCGGCAAGGTAGGACGACAAGTCTTGTTTCGAGTCCTGCTAGTGACTGCAATTGTCGCACACAGTCTGGAGGAGTGCAAGTGACGTCGATTGGCGAGAAACGGCAGTGCATGCTGTAGGGCAGATCAGCTTTGCTTGATTGGTCTTGACTCAACATTCCGCAGGTTGGCGCGATGCACATGCAAGCTCAACGGTTGAAGTATGACTGCCCAGGTCCAGAGCGGTCGACTGTGGCCGAGCTCCTTTGTGGGCGCGTCTGAATTAGATGACTGGCTTGAGTCCGATTGCCTTCCCAACTGCCTTCTTCGTCTCATGGCTGCATATAGCCAGGGACCACAAATAAAGATATAGTGGTAAAAATGGTGAAATGGTAAATGAAAGGGGCCAGCAAAGTCCTGTCTGCGCATCGCGCGACCAAATTAAGGCAACCCAGTATCCAAGGCGAATGAAGAACTGTAAAGTAACAGAAGGTGGAAGTGCCATGCAAGTGCAACACCAACCTGTATTCGAAACGCCGGACTCGCAATGTCCAAGGTCCAAGTTATCCCAATGCCCGTTGAACGCCAATACTTTTGTTCCCGTGACGCCGTGAAATGCAGCCTGTGGCTCGGGCGGTGACTTAGAAGCCCGTTGTGCCCAGGAGTGAGAGGCCGAGCGACGCATGTGCGAATGGACAGCCTGCGCAGTGACAACACGAACAGACGGTGGTCTGTGTGTCACCGGCCATCATGGGGTGTCGTCTGGTAAATCGTTGTGGTAGGATGCTGCAGGGCGGCCTTGTCAGACACGTGTGACGCGGGGAGGATTCGTCAGGGCCGGGGAGAAGGGTCTGTACGTTCGTACCTCTACCGGTCGCAGCTATCACACTTCTCGTCGTGCTTGACTGTCTTGACATTCGAGACACCGCAGTTTGCACTTCTCGATGCAGCGCAGGCGGCCTTGTCTGTGGTCGAATGGCCGCAGCCGTAGGTGTGTACGACCTTGGTGCACATAGTGTCGAGAATAGGCGAAGAAGGCGCGTTGCACAGCGGGGAGCGCCTTCTGCGGGCGGCGCTGAGGGTCGTAGGCGGGGTGGTGGGCGGACGCGCTGATTGGCCAGATAGCAGGGAGCTCCTTCGGGGCTCGTCGCAGACGGAAGGCACTCCTAGGACTGAGACCAAACAATGCGGAGCGCGGCTCGACGAAATGCAGTTGGAAAGCAAGGTGCTGGGCGTGCTGGCGGCGCACCGGGCTGGCGTCTCGTACGAGATGGGATGAAAGCTGGGGCTTCACAAAGGGCAGCAGCGGGATGTGGAGGTCAAGTGGCTCGCCAGCTTGATGGGCAGCCAAGCAAGCAGTGACAACAGAAGCGTGCGGGCAAGAGTGGTAGGAGCGTTCCAAAGGGGGCAGTCGGGGCAGCAAGAGAGTTTTATAAGACAAACATCGCAGCGTGCCGGACTGACGGTACCTCTCAAAAAATGTTAGATTACTGCCGCTGCCGTTTGCAACGAGAGTGCGACAGTCGTGTACAGCCGTTGGCTCCGTCCGGAAAGGCAAGGACTGAGGTACATAGCGGAGCGTTAGCCTTTCACGCCTATGCAGACAGGGGTCGCAGGAGCCAGGATCATCCTGCCTGGCAGCCAGCGTCTGCTGCAGCCCGTTCCGCCCAATCGCAGTACCTGGACGCGCAGAGGCACTCTGTCTTTCGACGTCGGCCGTGGAGCGCGCTGCTGCTCCTCATCCCTCGCTCGCCGCGTCCGCGCCCCTCGCGCGCAGCGACCTCGACTGCAATGGTCGGGTCGGTCAGGGTCTGCTGAGCACGGCGGTATTCGAGCAGGAATCAGCCGTTGCGCCAGTGGCCGATTGTAGATAGGTACTGGAGACGACAGGGGATTTCAAATTGGCGCTGCCGCGCACAGTTATTTCTCCAGTCCATCACATGGCCGCCCGCGCTTGATAGCTTGATAGCAGCCTGAATTGGAATCAATTCACACGCCGCGCTCTAGCACGCAGATCAAGCGGAAGAGAGCCCGCCCACTCACTCCTGTCGCGCAGGCTGGTGAACCGCCCGCTGCCACCATCAGACGACAGGGCTGATGTGCTAGTGGGAGAACCATGCTGCGCAGCAAACGCTGTGGAAACATACAGGTACCCATGGCTGCAGTGCACCGAGATGACTTCCTGCGGAGGCCCCTGCAAGAGCATCCGCTGCGTGTCCAGTGCGCCTCTCGCTGCTCCAAAGCCACCGGTGACTCCTGAGTGTGTTCCTGCGTCTCCAAATCAGGTTGCGGCTCAAACTGCTTCACCAGATGCGGAGGATGAGAAGCTACACTCGAAACATCACTCGCCCGGCCGAGCATGGAGTACGCCCCTGGTCCGGCCTGCGTTCACACATGGCACCCTGGTCGCTGCACTGCTCTCTTGTCGAACATGAGAAACCTGAATCGAATGGAAGACCCATCACGCCGATGTGTTGTGGCCGCTCCAACATGTCAACACGTCGGGTGCAACATTGACGGCAAAAGGGCTGTCCTTGCATAGGGTGAGCGCACGGTCTAGGGCAGCTGCATACAGGCGACGCGTGAAGCGTGACGGCAGTCTCCAGAATCCTTCTCGATGTGGCATTTCGCAAGCAAACACCGAAATTGAGCACGGAAAGGCCAGATCACTTCTTGTTGGCCGTTCTCTACGGAATGAAGCTGGTGCTGGCCCTCATCTGTCGAGTCACATATGACAACCTCTGCTGCATTTGCTTGGTGCACAGCAGCATCACAAGGCTGCCAATTGCAGGTATTTACGGGTTGCATATCATGAGGGCCGACGTTGCATGTTGTCGTCCAAACAAAACAGACTGACGTGGTGTCTGCTGGACGGCTCCACATCCCTAAGATCAGAGCATATGCGGCAGGAAAGGAGAAGGGTCATCTGCGCCAATTTCATGTCTCGAGAACACCTTTGTGGACAAAATTTCGAGATACAAACGCAGCTCGGCATATGCTGTGTAAGCTGTCAGTTAGTTCTCGCTTCACGTACCTCAACGGCTTGCAGGGGTATCAGACCACTTCTCAAAGCGCTCTAGCTCATCGGCCCGGTGTGACACGAGCAGCTTGGACATAGAAGTCTCGCGCCGTCGACGCAAAAGTATCACGTGCGTTCTCGCACTCACAAACGTTGCAAGACCATAGCGCGGCAGCTCCAACAGGATCGACAAGTTGACTTTGGCCACGATGGGGTAGTCCACATCTTGGCTCCTCTTGCCCGGCTGCAAAGATGCAAGCAAATTGAGTTGTACGAGAGCTGGGCAGTAAAACCACCATGCTCGGCAGTCATGCGCATCTTATTTGACTTGTGCTCTGCGGCAGCTCGAATTTGTTTCATTGCCGTTTGGCGAGGTGCGGCCACAATGATCTTCGATTGATCTTAAAAGCTCAAGTTCGTTGAACCTGCAGAATTGCGAGCTGGACTTCTTTTGCAATTAGATCAAGACAGACGGAACCTTCACAGTGGACTTTTGACTTCTGACTTTTGCCTCGGTCTCACTTGCTGCTCGTAAAAACTTCGGTTCTTCTAAGGACACATTGTGCTCTGCTTCGGCGCATGGTTTGCAGCGTCTACATGCCGGCATGCAACGGCTGCAAGGAGTCAAATGAATCCTAGCATTAACTATATCGAGAAGTGCCAGGTCTCGAACATGCTAAGAAAGTTTCCTCATTGTCAACTGAGAAGCTGGCATGGCTGGATCTGCACGTATGTTCAGCAACCTTGTGCGGCTAATATTTGAACGTTTCTCAAGCTAACACTGACACTACCGGATGTTCAGCACAAGATCGGAGGTCTATTCTGGTAACGATCCATCGTCACAACACTGATCAAGTCAAAATTGATCTACACGTGCTTTTGCACGATGGCCACGACTGCAGAAACCGCTCTCCGCGCGCTCAGCTTTCGTTACAGTCGAATGCACATGTCTGGCTTACCGTGAGGCAGCAAGTATATGTCTCGGAAGAAGCTCGAGTTGTAGCCGTCGCCGTATACCGAGAAGTGGGCTTTTTCGACTCACTGATCTGCAGATTGACCCCGACGTGCATACTACACAACCAGCGGGCAGAGCAACTCAATCTGAGTAGGTAATACCTAGGTAACACAACACCGACTCGCCTCGCAGCCGATTCTTTGCAGCGATCTTTTTTCGAAGGGCGATCTGCTCTCAAGCTCCTTTTCGATAACTTCTACAAAGTCTAACCCTAGGGACTTGTTGCGTTTGTTCTTGGTGCAGCATGCTGTCAGCATACCCGATTCGATCGTTGCTGCAGCGCAGTGACCGCTTGCATTAATGATTCGCGAGCCGTATTGGACGTCTAACCATGTACGCGCGCCGCAACTCCTTATGTTAGGCTCGCAAAGCAGTGTCTCGTTGACGACGCGGTCGATGGGCCAATACGCTAATTGTCACGGCGAATGAGCGAAGGAGTACCATCAAAGCTTCCTTGTCACGCACAGATAATATCAGACTTCCGTCATCGGCGCAGCATGCCAATCCTGCTTTTCCCTTTCCAAAAACACAGGCATTCCAGACTCCAGCACGGGCGCACTGCCCACCCAATGAGAGGTTGCAGTCGGCAACTTCCAGCAGCGACGCCGCCCATCCCCATCGGCATCTGCGCCGACAGATATCATCGTTCAGGTCAAGTTCGGTACAGGATTAGATAGTGTATTCTGCAACACACCCATATCCTTGCCCAAAGGAAACGAAAGTTTAATGTAGAAAGATACAACGGTCAACGCAGAATTTAGCGTTCAGCATGGCGTATCTGCTTCAGTCGTCGAACGTTTACAGCTTAAACTTTCCGTCGGTGTGTCTTCCACGGCAACACGTGTGGCTTACGGCTCTCAAGGGATCGCCGACCATAGCGCCAGTCTCGGCTACGCGCGCTCTGGTACCGCAAGTATCAGGTGATGCTGCACGAAGCGAGGCGCTTGTGGGCCGTGGCTGGCGAAGCTCTTCGACGGCCGTCGTGAGGAAGTCGACGCGCTACTGTTAGCAGACCTGGGATGCTGGTACCGATTGGACAGGAAGATTGACTGCGACACGTGACGCTTTTCCACTTTGGCATGATGTATGACACCTGTATGCGTCGACAGTTGCGCCTCCAGATATGAGAAAGTCACTCTGCCAAGCGGTAGCAGATTGCATTTCAGGTCTTCCTCTTTTCTCACCTGCTGTTCACGCAGATCAGCTCGAGCGGGGCGAGCTACACGTGCGTTGCCGATTGCCGATACAAACCTGACGTCAGACTATCAGCGCTGCGACGCACGTCAACCTGTCACAATGGATCCATTGGCACGGAATTTGGAGAAATCCGAGTTTGGTGGAGCTCAGCAATTTTTCAGCATGGGGAATTCTGATTCCAATCAGACACGCAGCATGGTAATGCTGTAATGTCTATGGCCATGTCGGCCTTGCTCGGCATCCTGATCACCCACGCGATGCTCCCCATTTTTAACAGATGCGCGATAGCCTTAACATCACATAGCACGTTATTGGCTGCGTGTAGTTATCTGTCCCGTTGCGCGATGCAGCAACACGGCTTCAGAGCTCGAAGCAGCTGGGGGTGGGCCGGCAGTTCATCGAAAAACGTCGTTATGACGTTTGTAAACACAACATGTGTATGCGCGCCACTGCCGTTATAACGAGCTCCCCACTGGATCTAAAGAGCCCAAATCTCCTCGGAACGTACCTGCGATCTCTGGAACATCACAATGGCATCGCAAATTCTCGGAAGCCTATCAGAAAAAGCAAAGAGCATGGCCGGCGGCGAGAACAAGAAGGTTGCTCAATTGGCGGCTGACACCAAGGATGTTCACAATGGCGACCACAGGATAACAAGCGACTACGGTGTCAAGCAGAACGACACCGACCACTGGCTGTCTGCATCCACAGAGGACAAACAGGGCCCTCAGCTTCTGGAGGATCCCTTTGGTCGTGAAAAGGTACGCTCGGTGCTCCTCTCGCAAGTGGCGACAACAACTAACATCTGCAGATCCACCGCTTCGACCATGAGCGTATTCCGGAGCGAGTTGTTCACGCACGAGGCGCTGGCGCATTCGGCAAGTTCAAGCTCTTCGAATCTGCCTCAGATGTCTCCAAGGCTGGCATTCTGACCGATACATCCCGCGAGACACCGATATTTGTTCGATTCTCCACCGTACTCGGTAGCCGTGGATCAGCAGACACCGTCCGCGATGTTCGTGGATTTGCAATCAAGTTCTATACCGAGGAGGGCAACTGGGACATCGTCGGTAACAACATCCCCGTCTTCTTCATTCAGGATGCTATGAAGTTTCCCGATGTCATTCACGCTGGCAAGCCTGAGCCTGATAGCGAGATGCCTCAGGCTCAGACTGCTCACAACAACTTCTGGGACTTCCAGGTAAGAGAACAATCTTGATGCCTCATGAGCCGAGATTATCTAACACGCGAAGTATCTCCACCCCGAGTCCACCCACATGCAGTTCTGGGCCATGTCTGACCGCACAATTCCCCGATCATACCGCATGATGCAGGGTTTCGGCGTCAACACCTTCACACTTGTCAACGACAAGGGCGAGAGGCACTTCGTCAAGTTCCACTGGACTCCTGATCTCGGTGTGCACAGCTTGGTCTGGGACGAAGCTCTCAAGCTTGCTGGTCAGGACCCTGACTTTCATCGTAAGGACCTCTGGCAGGCCATCGAGGCTGGCTCGTATCCTAAGTGGAAGTTCGGTATCCAGACTCTCAAAGAGGGCGAGGAGGATCAGTTCGACTTCGACATCCTCGATGCTACCAAGGTCTGGCCTGAGGAGCTAGTTCCCATCAGGTACATTGGCGAGTTCGAGCTCAACAAGAACCCCGATGAGTACTTCACACAGACTGAGCAGATTGCTTTCTGTACATCGCACGTTGTCCCTGGTGTTGGTTTCAGCGACGACCCACTTCTGCAGGGCCGTAATTTCTCCTACCACGACACCCAGCTCTCGCGTCTGGGAGTCAACTGGCAGGAGCTGCCTATCAACAAGCCTGTTTGTCCGGTCATGAATTTCAACCGTGACGGAGCTATGCGTCACACCATCACCAAGGGTAAGGTCAACTACTGGCCGAACCGTTACGAGACTGTACCTCCTGCCGCGGAGGAGGAGGGTGCTTATATCGATTACCCTGCCAAGGTTGCCGGCATGAAGCAGCGTCTGCACAGCAGGAAGTTCAAGGAGCACAAGAACCAGGCTGAACTATTCTACAACTCTATGTCTCAAGTCGAGAAGGAGCACATGAAGGCTGCTTTCTCCTTTGAGCTTGATCACTGTGACGACCCCGTAGTCTACAAGCGCATGGTTGAGCGCATCGTTGAGATCGATCTCGAGCTTGCTCAGGGTGTAGCTGAGATGGTTGGTGCCGATATTCCGCAGGAAGCTACTCGCCAGAAGCACAATAAGAAAGCCAAGGGCCTATCGCAGATGGACTACCTCCCGGCTACGCCAACCATCGCTACTCGCATGGTAGCTATTCTGATCGCAGATGGCTACGACAAGGTTGCATACAACGGCATCAAGGCTGCATTGACTGCTCAGGGTGCCTTACCTTTCACCATCAGCCCGAAGAGGAACAAGATCTACGCTGATGGCGAGGACAAGAGCGGTGACGGTGTCATTGCCGACCACCATCTCGAGGGTCAGCGTTCGACTATGTACGATAGTGTCTTCATCCCTGGTGGTGAGAAGTCTGTCGTGACCCTCAGCAAGAGTGGTCGTGCGATTCACTGGGTCCGGGAGGCCTTCGGTCACCTGAAAGCCATCGGCGCCACTGGCGAGGCTGTTGCCTTCATCAAGCAGTGCGTTGAGCTTCCTGGAATGCAGTTCTCGACAAGTACCGATGTCCAGAACAGCTACGGTGTTGTCACAGCTGCCAAGGTCTCACCTGACGGCTTCAAGGAGGCTGTTCAGATGGCTAAGGAGGCTGCTGACTTTGTTGGTCAGTACACCTACGCTATCTCTTGTCATAAGAACTTCGAACGTGAGCTTGATGGCTTGAGCGTTATGGTTGCGTACTAGAGCGGAGGATACCCCAGACTGATGCGGACTGCCATACACAAGTAATGACGTAATGAATACATATTTCCCATGGATGACACTCTGCATTGATTCTCTGAGCAACTCCAGGCTCCACAATTAGCTCAGGTCCTGAGAGCCATTAATACCCGTCGTTTCAACCATGATCTTGCAGCATGGCTTCCAAACTACTCGGGTATCTCAAGGAAACTCTTCACGTACCGACAGTGCTGATGCAAAAGGTTCTCCCAGGGGTTTCCGCCCACTCAGCTATTCATGTTCTCTGATGCTTGTCACTGCTCTTAGTCGTGAGCCCCATCGTCTTTACTCTCTCGCTCCGCCCAAAAGCTTCTTCCACTCCTCACTATACCACTCCTGCGGCTGCTCAACAAACGCCAGTCCCTCATACTCGCTCCTCAGCCTAAGATAATCCACCACCGGTCCAAGCACGCTGGGATCGATATCAAACGCCGGTTTGCTAAGTCCCTCCTCTGCACTGTAAGCTAGTACGAGTGGACCGCGCCATACTGAGCTCTTCTTGATACCATGCATACCGCTTGGGTTTGAGGGCGATGGACTGAGAAGCTGCGAGACGCACGTATTCTCTCCAAGTGTGCGGCCTGAAACGTTGCTGTCGTACGAGATCTGGATCTAGTACGGGAGGTAGCGGTTGTGGAATGCAATAGTCTTCACCTCCTCCATTCCCTGCAGTTCGGGAAAGCATCTCGCGATATCGAGCCGCCTTCCATCGTCGCCGTACTTCAGCCACACGAACTTTGGCTTGCCGCTCGTCTTTGGCAAGTACAACGCGCGGCGGTACGACTTTTCTGGCCTCTTGTCGTCACTCGCGCTGCTGGAAAAGGGTTTGCAGAAACGTTTGTGCAAACTCCAGTTGCGTGTTTGACATACAGAGCTGCAGTAACAGAGCGATTTGCAGGTACTGCATCGGCGCGGGGTGGCTAGGGAGTGGCACACGGCGCACAGAGGCGCAGACAGGGCGGTGACTGGTGGAGTGACGCGGATGTAGTCTTCGAGGAAGAGTGAATTGCCGAAGTCTTGGGGCGTTGTGGGGAACATGGTGATGGTTGTAGAGGTGTGGTGTTTGTGTAGGTGGAAAAGAAGCTGTGCGTAGTTTACATAGGTACCTGTGCTATGTGTGAGTAAGATTGAAAGTGGAGGTGAAAGTAGAGCTAAGCAAAGAGATGAGAGTAAAGGTATCGATGAGTAAAGATAAGACCTTACAGAGATGGTTTAAAGGAGTCACAGCTGTAATCTTAGCGGTTGGTACTGGAACAATGTAAGATTGTTATCTGACGAGTTGCTCTTAGATGAGCTACATAATTTTCTCCGCATCGGAAAATCTAAAGGACGTATCTGAATTGAGGGTTCTTGCGATCTGTCAGGTCATCTTCATAAGCATGTTCGAATCCCTCAAGTGTGCCAGTTTTGTCGCGCTTCTTGTTGTCCACGACGCACCGGTAACGGTACACTAATGCAAGAAGACCAGCTATAGCAGCAGTCACAAAAGTGACAATAAAACCAGGCTGATAGCGCGGCGCATCCTCAGGCCTGAACACGAGCGGACCAACAAAGTTGCCCAGACAGTTTCCTATGTAGATACCGGCCGAAAGCATGGTTCTCTTGGTATAACCAGCAGTATTAGCAAGTGATAGGCCCATTACCACAGCGTAACCGCCGCCGACTGAGGGCAGGATGTAGCATGCGAAAAGAAGGGCACCTGTCTGGCTTCGGGGGAGCAGCCAAAGGAGCAGCGCGGCGAGCGTAGCACCCATCTGACAGAGAAAGATGGCATAAGTGCGAATTCCGGTGTACTTGAAACAGAGCCATGGGACGATGAGCTGGAGGGAACCGGCGTAGGCACCAGCTGGCATTGTTAGGAGGAGCGAGTTGAGCGTGGTGAAGCCGAAGGAGTTCTATCGAGAGTTAGCACATACTTAGTGCACGACTTTTGTGGGGGCTGGTACTCACAATGATGATGGGAGTAAAATTTGCAATCGGACCATTCGCAATCATGGAGAGGAAGGCAATGGCAAACACGAGCCAGAACTTCTCGTCTCGTAGGAGCTCCAGGACTTGTGAGCCTTTGAAATGCATGTTGCGAACACCGGAGTTGTTAGAGCGAAGTCGAGCGACAGAGATGTATCGTTGCCGATCACTGAAACCCCTGGCTCGCACTGGGTCTGGAGGGAGGATCCACCATAGAGCCACGCCCCAGACGATGGTGATTGTGCCAGCGAAGAGGTACATCAATTTCCAATTGGCCAACGAGCTTTCAGCACGACCGAAAGCGTAGTTCAGAACAGGGGAGATAATTGCTGTGAAGCCGCCGAAGGAGTACCAGACACTTGATAATGTTAGTTCATTGAAGAATGGGCAGTGCAATAATGAAGAACGTACCCCATCCTGAAGGCTTGTTCGTCCTTCTGGTAGAAGGAGCCAACAATAATCATAAACATGGGACTGACTCCACTCTCCAAGACACCAAGGAAGAAGCGCTGGGCGTAGAGCCCCTTGTAGTCGCTACAGACGACTGTCAAGATCACGCAGATTCCCCAAACGGTCACAATTCCTGACGCAACCCGCTCAACGGGAAAGCGTTGAGCAAGGTACATGGCAGGATACGCCCCAACGATGAATCCAAGGTAAAAGATGGCTGCAGACATTGAGTATCTGTTACCTGTTCGTAGGTGCAGATCATCGCGCAGTCCAAACAAAGCCTTTGTAACTGTTAAATAGGATCGAGTGCAAGCAGGAGTTGACAACTTACTGCTTGCGAAAGCATGGTTTTGTCGTAGTATTGAAGACCGTAGGTGATGCAGAGCACTGGCATTAGACGAAGGTCGATCCTTCTCCTCACATCCTTCTCCTCCTGCTCAGTCCATTCTTCAGGACCCTGGTAGGTAGCGAGTACGTGCATGGCCTCATCCTGATGGACGGTGTCGATTGTCTTGAGGGTGTTGTCATCGCCCGAGGCGATCAATTCCGGTTGAGCGTCTGGGTGCTTCTCAATGTCCGACATCATGGCAACACAAGTCCTCGTGATAGAGAACGAGTTGCTCGATGTATGGACAGTGGAGCAGGATCGGTATGCTGCAGTTTATGTCTCTTATGACTGAGCCTTTCGGTTTTTTCACGGCAGCATAGCAATACTAACCGGATGCCACGCTCCCTAGACCCGGAGGAAAGACACTAGACGCGGTCTCCACATACCAAGACTTGCAGATTGGAGAGTCTTTACCGCAGTCGGTGGCCATGAGCGATGTATATAGATAGCACTAGGTTCAGCTGCATTGGAATGTCCGAGAGATGAGCCGGGTCTGCCACTCTTCCACGGCTTCGCCCGCACGGCCCGTTCGCGCTCCAACCTCGGAGCTACCCGCAGCCTAGCACATCCCACTCTGACAATGCCATCCTTGTTGGACCAGCGTAGAGCTGATGCGTGCGGCACTGTCTTAGCCTCAGACTCAGACTTTATCACCGAGCACAAACTAAAGGTCACGCATCGAGCTCGCACGTCAGTCTCCCGTCTTTTACAAGCGGACATGTCAGATACAGTATGCTGCCGTTGGGTACCACCATTCAGTCGCATCATGTCTTCACAGATGCACATCAGAATCCCTCAAGAATCTACGGCGGTGAAAGGCTACCTAATCAACCCCGTCAACTTTGGTCCCGCACAGATCCGTCAATTCATGGCACCCCCGGTTCCTGGGCTGGAAACGTTCAAAATATTTCCATCGCACTCCTTTTACATCGAGCATCCGTCCGGTAAAAGGCTCGTGTTCGATCTCGGAATTCGCAAGGACTACCCAAATTACTCAAAAAGCATCGTTGATTATCTCCCCACGACGAAGTACGACATTCAAGTCTCAAAGATTGTTGTAGAGATTTTAGAAGACCATGGGGTGTCGCCTGAAACCATTGAGGCTATCGTTTGGAGCCCCTGGCACTGGGACCACATCGGTGATCCATCCTCATTTCCTTATAGGTAACGTGAGCCTGCTCGTTGGCCAAGGCTTTAAGGACGCAATGCTACCAGTGTAACTGCGTGAGCAGGGTCGGTCGGAGACTGTGATCAACGAGTGTATTGCTATCTGTTGTCGTGTTGTGTGATGTTGTGTTGTTCAAGCTCTCAGCTCTCAGGTAAGTGCACTTGCCCACCGGGCAGTGCCTGCTACAATAGGATATCATGTGATCTGAGCCACGTGGTTACAATTAGGCTATCCTGCCAACCTAATATCACCGATTCGAGAAAGTGACTATGCGAACCGGGAACTTCGAGAAATCAGATTTGAGACCGATCTCAAAATTGGACAATTTCCAGCATTCGACTATTTCGGAGATGGGAGCTTCTATTTACTAGATAGCCCTGGACATGCCATTGGTCATCTGTGCGGATTAGCCGGAACAACTACAGATGGAAAGTCATTCATCCTGCTTGGCGGCGACATATGCCATCACGCAGGCATTTTCAGGCCTTCACAATATCTACCCGTACCGAAGTCCATCAGCCCGCATCCTTGCAATTCGCAAGGTGAGTCACCAATCTGCCAGGGAACTGTGTTTGAAGAGTTACAGAAGTCTCGCGGTAGATCTTCGATAGACAATTTGTACGACATGACTTTCGGGCATGATATCTCGCTTGCAAGAAATACAGAAACATGGTTGCAGGAGCTTGATGTTGATGAGCGAATCTTTGTGATCATTTCACACGATTCAACCGTCAGAGATGGTGTCGACCACTTCCCTCGGTCACTGAACGATTGAAAAGTCAAGGGATGGGGACGATCTCTGAAATCGACTTTCCTCAGAGATCTCGAGCCTTGTTGGATGGGGAAAGGCCACAATTAGCTGAAGCGGTGTGTCGGCAAATACGAACATAGGTTGTGCACACATTGATACAATAATGCAACCTCGCTTTCCGACAGATGAGCTTATCACGGGCAACCACGTGTTTTACGCGTTCACCCAACAAAGCGGCCCAATCTGCACCATGACTACCGTATGGATCCATGATCCCGATTTCCCCTAAGCTAGCGGCCGATGAACGACCAGCCAATGAGTGAGCCAGCAAATGGGGCTAGTGAATTGAGCCTCAAGCGGCCGTTCAAAGATCCTGCAAAAGCTGAGTCTGCATTTGGCAGGCAGTACTTCGGCCACTGCCTTCGGATGACTCGATAACATGAAGCTGCACGGTAGTGCCATATGATTATGGCTAGAATAAATCTCCGTCCCGTAGAATATAGTGGTTCGGCTGTTATTTGCTGCCGAAAAATTGGGCCAAGATCTCACTAGACTTGAAGCGGAATACTGAGAATTGCGGGGAGCGGGGCTTGGATTGAATGCAGTGAGCTTTGTGACAGAGGTCGGGTCGAGGCGGATCTGGGCGACATGGGAAGATGTGAAGATAACTTTGCGCCTCATCAGCGTCGTCCAGTCCCAAACAGTCATATCTCAAGTAAGCACAAACACCGCGATCATGGTTAATCCTCTCAACGCCGTCAATCAGGCCCAGAATCCCAAGCTGGACCAGTCTTTGGACTATGATGTTCTCATTATTGGTGCAGGCCAGGTAAGCTTCCCCGAATATCTTGAAGCATCTGAGCTAATATGATGTGACAGAGTGGCCTGTACTCACTGCATCGGACGCGCCAACTTGGTTTGAAAACAAGAGTTCTTGAAGCAGGCTCGGGGGAAGGAGGTACTTGGTTCTGGTATGAGATGTGACCAAGCCTTCAATTACTGTACTGACTGACTTGAATAGGAACCGTTATCCTGGAGCACGGTTTGACTCGGAATCCTACTCATACATCTTCTCGTTCGACCAGTCTTTACTAGATGAGTGGGATTGGAGCGAGCACTATGCGGGCCAGGCGGAGACTCTTGCGTATTGCCAATTTTTCGCTAAGAAATTCGGGCTATATGAAGACATGCAGTTCAACACCCGCGTATCTACGGCGCGTTGGCAGGAGAATTCAAACTCATGGGTTCTCACGGATGAAGATGGCAAAACGTATACCTCAAGATTCGTCATCAGCTGCATGGGCGTTCTCAACCAGGCAACCCTGCCTGCAATTTCTGGTGTACACGACTTTAAGGGCGCTGCATTTCACACATCTCGTTGGCCGGCAGATGCCAGTGTCGTCGATGGGAAAAGGGTGGGCATCATTGGCACAGGTGCAACGGCCATTCAGACGATCCAAGAGATAAAGAAGACTGTAGGCTCGTTGACTGTCTTCCAGCGCACTCCGAACTGGACCGCTCCTCTCCGCAACTCCAAGATCACGCGCGAAGAGATGGACGAGATCCGCCGAAACTACCCAGCCATCTTCCAGAGCTGCCTTGACTCTTACTCCTGCTTCATCCACCAGTCCAATCCTAAGTCGGTCTTCAGCGTTGGGGATGAGGAGCGCGAAGCCTACTGGGAAGAGCTGTACGCTAAGCCTGGGTTCGCGAAGTGGCTGTCCAACTTCTACGACATCAACACAGACCCTGTAGCCAACAAGCTCTATTCGGATTTCATTGCAAAGAAGATCCGTCAGCGCGTCACTGATCCCGTTGTTGCAGAGAAACTCATCCCCAAGAACCACGGCTTTGGTACGAGGAGGGTGCCGCTCGAGGGCGGATACTATGAAGCATTCAATCAGCCAAACGTCAAGCTTGTCGATATCAACGAGAACCCGATAGAGTGCATTCACGAAAAAGGCATCAAGACCAAGGATGAAGACTTCAAATTTGACGTCATCATATATGCCACTGGTTTCGACGCAGTGACCGGCTCTTTCAGTGCTGTAGATATCCAAGGTATTGGAGGCAAGAAACTCAGAGACGAGTGGGCCAACGGCATTCAAACGTATCTTGGCCTGACCGTGCATAACTTCCCGTAAGTTCTACTTTGTGTATGTATCGCTGACGTATACTGATCATTTCAGCAACTTTTACAATATCATGGGTCCGCATCAAATGTTTGGAAATATTCCACGCAGTATAGAATATGCCGTGGATTGGGTCGCCGATTTCATCAAGTACTTGGTCGACCACGAATTCGTCGTCGCAGAAGCCACAGAGGACGGTCAAAGAGCGTGGACCAAACATGTACACGACTGCGCGACAGGCATGTTGGCGCTGGAAGTAGATAGCTGGATAACTGGAGTGAACAAAAACGTAGCTGGAAAGCAAAAGCGGTCAATAGCAAGGTATTGGGGACCGGCTAGAGGCTTCCGAGCGAGATGTGACGATGTCAAGGCAAGAGAGTACGAGGACTTGAGGCTGGTCAAGGCTTTATAGACCTTTTGTTTCATCCCACAATGCATTTTATCAGACTTATGCCAAGTCTGATCAGCCTTGTGGGTGCCCTTGTTTGTGATGTGGCGTGTTTTATTGCAGTCCTTACTCTGATTATGAATTAACGTCAATAGAAAGAGAATCTAGGCGGTGCGGTCAAAATAGGCGTAGACAAGTCGGACATCGTGCCATTGGGTAAGAACATCAGAGAACGGGTGCGGGAGAATGGCTGGTTCGGAAAGATTCCAGTGGTCGCTGGTTTCGTTGGCACTGCGCAGACTTTCAGCGATGCTCAGCACATAGGTGTCTGTTACTCCGCAGTCCTTAAACCACTTCTAACATCGATTTAGTCCGTCAAGCAGGTAGGCTACTGTGCGTGGGTACGCTGAACCACGAAATCCCCGTACATGTGAGAATTGTGATAAAGAAACGGCTCGATATCATCTTCTCGTACAGTGGCCAGACTAAAGATCTCAAGGAAGCGCCTGATCTTATAGCTCAAGGGATCCTGGATCCGATCGTTACTGATGGGAAGTTGGCGGATTTTCCTCGTGTATTGAAAGAGCGTGAGGCGGGAAGGGTCAAAGGAAGGATAGCGCTACTATTCGATTGTACATACACAGACATGGCATGAAGCTTACATATGGCCGCTGGAGCCTGGAGAAAGTCACGAGATGAGAGGCTGCGCTCGTCTTGGAAGGTGCTCTTCACAAGTGGGGCGGGACCAGGCTAGACACGGCTTACCTAGTGCTCATTTGTCAACATCGCACATCGGGCTTGATATAGCTTTACGACTCATAAACATACATACAAAGCGCTTGTGACCGACTCGTCACATCGCTTGCCTCGCGAAGCATTGTTGCAACCATCATGGCGCAGGCACCGGAAGTACAAGGCTACGAGCACGAAGACGCTTGGGATGTCAGTTGGCTGAGGGTCGACGAGACCCATGAGCTTTACTATGAGCAGTACGGTCTGAAGGATGGAAAAGCAGGTTTGTACAGATTCAGCATCTCGTATTTGATGGTTGTTGACTTTGAACACAGTGATCTACCTGCACGGAGTATGTAGTTGAGCATCCTTCAGGCACCGGCCATCGCGATCATACAGGTTCGATGCTAATCGAAAGTAGGGTCCTGGTGGTCACATCAGCAAAGGAAACACAGCTTTCTTCAACCCAGAGCACTATCGCGTGGTCTTGCTTGACCAGCGTGGGTGCGGACAGTCGCGACCGAACGCCAGCACTGTAAATAACACAACCTGGCATCTGGTGTCTGACATCGAAAAGCTCAGAGAACATCTTGGCGTCAAGAAATGGCATTTAGTCTTCGGTGGGTCCTGGGGCTCGACACTAGCGCTCGCATACGCCCAAGCACACCCTTCGTCCGTTGGCTCAATGGTACTGCGAGGCATCTTCGCGTTCCGTGCGCTTGAGCTGAAGTGGACGACCTTTGCAGGAGGAGCGAGCTTCGTCTTCCCAGACCATTACGATGAGTTTATTAGCTTTCTTCCTGAAGAGGAACGAGCTGATCATGTGGCTTCATACCACAAGCGATTGATGTCCGAGGATGAGAGCATCAGCCATCCTGCCGCGAGAGCCTGGAATAAGTGGGAGGTCTCCATCAGCACTTTGTATCCAAATATCAAGGGGCTAGCTCAGCTCGATGATGCATCGTACAATCTCGCACACGCGAGGACGGAAGCCCATTATTTCACGAATCGGGGATGGCTGGAAGAAGGCCAGCTCCTGAGGAAGGAAAATATTGACAAGATTCGTCACATTCCTAGTGAGCACTCCATCCCCATTCCTCGATGAACAAGTTGCTAACAAGAGCGTAGCCACCATCGTGCAGGGCCGTTATGATACGGTCTGTCCACCCGTCACAGCTTGGGAGTTGCACAAGGCCTTCCCTGAAACAAAGCTACACTGGATCTCAGACGCTGGGCACAGCGCAACGGTATGCCAACAACGATTATGAGAGATCCTTGGATGTACACTAATACCTAGCAGGAGCCGGGGACCAAGAACAAGCTGGTTGAAATTTGCGAGGAGTATTCCAGCCTCTCTCTATAGATGCGACCCTACAGGGGCGCAGAAGATGGAACACTGCAACATCTAGGTAGATTCGTCAACAGGCCTGCATAGTACTCACACTAGAATACATCAAATCAAAGACCTGTGAAGTCACCCTTATATTGTGCACTGCCCTTTATGCGAGCTTTCTGATGTACAGATGTCTCTTGGTAAGACGTCATTCCTCACTGTTCGTAATACAGGATACAGGCGCAGAAAGATGCATTCTTTAGAATCGTCCTGGTCGCGTTGCGAAGACATCTTTCGGTGTTCGCGAAGGCTTGTGTTGATCATTGCCGAAATCGCCGCTCAGCACGAGCCCTATAAGTTATACCAGCCTTATTTCCGAGAGTGACAGTGAATGACTTCATATCTTGATGGTAAAGTAGTGCTCGCAGCAAAAGATGTACAAACAGTGCATAAGAACGCATAGAGGCTTAGGTCGCCACCCATGACTAATTCGCACCTAAACTTTCGTCACTCGGATTGCAGCACAAGCATATGACGGGTAGAATGTGCAAGGAGGCCGGTTTAGTGCAAGTGTCTCCCGATAGGTTGTATGAGTCGGTCTGATCCGCCTGTTGAAACGAGGACAAAGATCAAAGATCTGCCTCCGTAGGCGCCTAAGCTACGGAGGCAGTAGGTAACCCGCTCGCCTGCTTTCAAAGTATCGAGGCTTGGACTTTCATGAGCATGCGAGCGACTGAGTGTTCCAAGACCTCTGCACCAAGGATCGCCACCTGTATGGAGCAGCCGACGCCGCTCTACTACTGTGGTTTTGCAATAGACTCGGATACATCCTGCAAGGTCGAACTATCCCTATGCATAGGGTCGTCGTCTTAGGATATCGAATTCGAGGCTCGTTTTGGTCCCTTCTGTAATGCGTGGTTGTGCAGCTGCCTGAAGCTGACTGTATTTTCAGTTCCCATGGAGCTGCAGCGACCAATCGACAAGTCGCCGAGGATCGATCTGGCATGGTTGTGAAGCTTCGTATAGAGCCGCGGTTGGCAATCTGAAGCACAGTGACGGTGTGAAGGACATGCGGCTGCAGAGCACTCGGTATCTGTGATAAGTCAAAGCAAGACTCACAACTAGCTTACGCAATCGCGTATCATCGTGCAAAGACATGCGGGAGTGTAGATCGCCTCGACAACGATGTCTGAAACCAATGAAGAGTGGTGGAGGTCATGTGATTGTGCCATTGGCGCAAGGCTGAAAAGCAACCCGTGTCTGCGTTGTCTGTTCACTCGGGTGGACGTCGACTGACAAGCCGTTGTGTAATTTTCAAACCAATCGAGGCGTCCAAAAGGCAGTGTACCATCCGCGAGAAGCATTGGGTGCCTAGCTTCAGAGCCGCAGCCGGCACACGTGACTCCAAGCCAGCTCTTTTCTACGGAGCATGGTTCGTATGCAATGGACGTATTAGGACGCAGTCATGGAACTAATTGACCAAGAAAAAGGCTGTCCAAACATGGTAGTGAGCATGGCCGGCAGCACTGATGCGAACGAACCCGGGCCGAGCAGCGGAAGAACCGGCTTCCGTGCAGCAGTGAGAACGAAGGATAGTGAGTGTATTCGATTTGGTCAAGAGGCCGTCTCGCACCGCGACGGTACGCCGAATTGCCGAGCTCTGGCTCCCAAAGACGCTCACCGGCTGCGATGGAATGTACTCCACGCTGTCCACCGTGGAGCGTCGGCTCAAGGTCTGATTCGATCACAGATGCAGATGCAGCGTTCGGCAGAAGAAATGGAACGGTAGAGGAGAAGCTGGCCTCACCGACGAAGATGCACTGTATTAAGTGATGTTTATAGGGAAGCAGCGTCAAAACTGACTCAAAGAGCGGTCACTAGCATGCGGCAGAACTAAAGCGGCCTAGTGTCAGGATGACGTATCACCGCCGGCCCACGCTGCATCCAAGCATGCATCTACTACGTTAGACATTCTAGTAGCAGCTCCTGGTGAGTCAAGCCTGATTCCTCCGCTGTTCCGGATGCATACACGTATATGCAGAGGGTCACGAGAGCCCGATAATGACCTTGGCGTGGAGTAAGGACAAGCCGCTTAGGAGCTGATTGTGCAAAGCAGACTCGGGCAATTGTAGAAAGAGTAAACATCTCTGTTGCATACCCAGGTGCGAATGCTAATTGCTGTAGATGCGAGAGGAGGAGAACAAATATCCTTCCAAAACCAGCTCCATGTTAGTGAACGCCCGTGACCATGTCCGTCATGTGCCGCCGACGCTATGTATATTCCATCGTGATCGTGCATGCCAAGTGTGGCTTCGAAATCCGTTCAATTTGACGGATTTTCCATGCACCAAGGCCAAATCATCGTGCTCAGCTGCACGTCCAAGATCCAGCCTGATCCATGCACATAAGAATGTTCCCGAACGAAAAGTCCATGTTCAAAAGTGCTGCCCCTCAATGCAGCAAGAGACCGGCTCGAAGAAGTAAACGGTGTTCGCAGTCTGCCGCGTCCATGCTATGAAGCAGTCGTGATGTCGGTGATAGCGGTTTTGGTGTGCGTATTGGCGGCCATATCGCGGTTCGTGTATTCAACGTAGTTGGAACGACGCATGAAGCTCGCACCCACCTCCGGGAGTCGAGGGCGCATGCTGAGATGCGTGGACGTTTTCGGGACGATGGCTGCTGTGTAAATTGCAGGTGTAACCCACAAGAACTGTCTTCTCTTGTACCATATGTCCGCGCTGTCCATAGACTGTGCAAGGGTCGATGGCATGTTTGTGGTAAAGGCATCGGCAGACAGAGTAGCGTTCGATGACTTGATAACACATTGAGATGGTGCAGTACTACACGCTACAAGGTTCAAAGTCGTATTATGCTCAGGAAAAAGCAACGATAAGGACGAAGTTGAAATACCAAAGATGATACTGCAAGGAGAGATTGAACAGAATGGTATGGTAAGAGAGACTAGTATATATGATAGGGGTCAGGACAAAGGAGAGAGGATAAGCCTGTGTGTGTCATACACAGAAGGCATACTCGAACCTCTGCAGGTCCATGAAGCAACGACAGTCCACTAGTGGAACGGGTGCATAGTCAGCATCGGGTCCTCCTTGGAGGGGAGTGTCGAGCGGAACTAGCACAGCCCTAAAGTCAGTTACTAGATGTGTAGACGGTTTGATAGGGCTACCGGTTGGTACAGGGACACAGTGGTTCGGTGCTTAGAGGCTCTTCAGCTGCAGCCCAAGCTTGCCATTGGCTTGCGCGCTAGTACGTATCATCTGCCTCGATACCTAAAGGCAGAGTCGAGTAATCGGACGGTCCGCGCAGCGTTCAGAGGACGCACGTGGGTATGTGCCTGAAAATGGCGAATGGCTGTACTGGGCCGGCCCCCCTGCACTGCGCTTAGTGCAAAGCACCCTTGTTCATGGCGGAGTTGCGCGGTGACTCGGTGAGTCCATCGTGGGCACCGCGTAAGAGACGTCAGATCCGATATGACCATCAGCTACGGTGCAGGGCGTTCAGCCACAATTCGGCGAACGAACCACTTCAGTTGTGGCAGTCAGAACTGACGTGGACAGGTCTTGAGACCCGCTCCTCGCGTGCCCGATGGGTCACTTCGGCGCAAACACTGTGGCAGTTATCGCACGCCATCGCCAGAGCGGAAAACTTTCGCACCAAGTCTACGGAAGGAGCCGAGATCAGGTGCATGATGGTTGTGGGAGTCGTGTTGTGTCGATGCTGGACACTCGTGCGTGACGAGTCATCGCTTAGTACACGTCCTTTTCAGGGCACTGCTGTCCGATTTCTCATTGGGAAACGACTTACGGCCCATCTACAGTGGCCTTCCACGACCATGTTCACGTCCATATTCAACGCTGCTTTTGCATCTTGTTCCATCAACGGCATTGAAGGTGTCACGACCGCTCTCAGTTCACAGGCAATTCGAGCAGTATCTTGATATGCTTAGTAAAGTCGTGCCGCTGCAACCTCAATTTCCGGGGAACATGCAGGCTGTCAGTTGCATATTGACGTATGAGGCCTGGAGGACGCGCTAGGACTAGGTACCGAGGCGTTTAGCCTCCCACACTCTTCACGGATCGTCCGCCACCATTGACGTGCATGTTGATAGACAGTCCTTCGCTAGCTGGGCCTGCGACGCGGCACACCGCTCGTAGCGCTAATCGTCGTTCACCCAGCCTATTGGCACCCACCACACGCCGCAATTGCGCTCTGTTTACTCGACGTTGGCAGCTTCCCCCGCCTATCCTCTAACATCTGTCAAAGCGGGCCCCACACTCGGCCGCTTACACCTACAGTTGTGGGCTTACTGGTGGCGTAGACGCTCCCGCAGCCCTATGCAATGCGGCTTCCCGACTCAGAACCCACGTGGTAGCGTTCTAGATATCGGTCAACCGTCTTATTACGATGAGCTTCTTGTGACGAATCGAGCCTCATTATGATGTCGCGACCGCAATACCGAGCTGCGATGCTGCGGGAACATGGCCGTGAAGCCGTCTCCCAGAAGTCACCATCAGCAGCGTACGCACGGCACCATGGACGCCACAATACCAATCACCGCTTTGGCCTCTAACGTCGACCCTTGGCGGCACCTGCTATGGATCTCCACTTCATCTGCCCAGTCAGATCTAGGCATGCATGCATCGACGCCCCCTGTCTTGAAGGTTCCTCGCTTCACTACAATGCTGACCACATTGCGGTGTGCGACACCGCTCTCACCTTCGTACGCACCACCTTTGTATGCAAGAGCTACAGACCGACCATGCAGCAAGTGTAGCTGTCAAACGTGTACGGTAGTGGGCCGATGTGCATGCACTATCCTTCCTGACTAGGCTGACCGGTACCGCATATGCAATCACGCATGGGCAACAACGACAGCAACAACAGCATCACGTCTGCAGTGACGAATGCGCCACCGGCCAGCGCGGAACGACTTGCAAATTCGATTACCGGCAATGACACTCCATTGCATCATGAAGGGTATCAGCGGTTGCGGCATCTGAACGTCAGCGGCATGTCTCCGGAATCCTCCTCCACTGGCCGGCGACCTTACGTCCACATCACGCGATCCTCCCTCATGCTGCCACACCAGCAGCAGACACCATCGAACCCCGCCCCCAGGGTCCTCCAGACATCGAGTCACAATCGCATTGATCGCTACCTTGCCCAACCTTCGGGCTGTCAACAACCATGTTCAAGACCATCTTCGTGTCCTCCCCACCGCATCGATGCTGTACAAATGAGCGAATTCTTCAGAGATCAGCGTCGAGTACGCTTTCCACGGTGGAGATCTAGGCGGACCCACGATAGCACAAGGGACAAGGCAATACTGAAAACAAAGCCAGTTTCTTCGATGAGACTCGAAAAAACGCCAGCCTGTAGGCTGGAGACTTGGCTGACCAACACTGATCGACATTGATCCATTTCAGTCTTCTCTAGTACGCGTAGCAAAAGTCCCTCTCTAGTGCTCACTGCACGTGAACACAACGAGACGGTTACTCTCCTTGACGTCATCGCATTACCGCTCCTGACACGTCCATGTCCTCGCGCGCCACACCAGCCGGCTAAGCAGTGACTTCGCCCTCAGCAAACGCCCTGGCAATCTCCCTCGCGACACCGAGCCTCAGCACCTTGACCAGATCGGCACCCGTTGCGCCCTTGGGGAAGCCCGCGCGCCAATCCCAGCCCCTGCGTGCACCCTCGACCTTGCCACCCTTGACCAGCACGGCGCTCGAATCCGCGCTCTGCCCGTCCTGGCTGAAGTCCTGGCTGCCGATGAGCGAGAACGACGAGCCCGCCAGGCCCGACATGGACTTTTGCAGCGCGCTGTGCGGGTTGGGCGGCGCGTCGCCGTGCGCGGCTGCGAGCGTCGTGCGCAGGACTTCCTCGCACTGCGCCTGCACCAGCGCGCCGCTCGTGGCCCAGTCCTCGACTGCAGCGAGGAGATGGTACAGGTGTCTCAGGGTGAGTGCGCGTTTGGCTTGGTTGAGGAAGACCAGGCTCTCGCCCAGCAGGGGCAGCAGGACGTCGACGGCGATGACGGTCTCCGTGTCCGCGTCGTAGATTCCGCCTTGGATGGACGATGCGGCTGAGGAGATGATTACCAGCAGCGCGGCGGCGGCTTGCCGCTTCAGCGATGCGGATGGCGACGGGCTGGAGTCGCGCAGGTCGTAGAACTTGCGGATCGTGGCGTACCCGCTGAGGTGCTGGGAGAGGATGCTCGCGGCCTCGGTGTCTTGGTTTGCGAGTTTGGTGAGGGTCTGTTTTGGGGATGTGATCAGAGAGCGCAGCGAGGTGTCGAGGTCGGCGACTGCAGGGTAGGATATCGATTGAATCAGGCAGTGCGCGACAAGGACGCGGAGGACTTGTTGAATCTTCTGCGCCGAGTGTGCGCGTGCGTAGTAGAGGAGCGTGTCGCCGTAGTTGTGCGTGTTGGCGCGCAGGTGGTCGGCGTATTTCTGGAAAAGTTAGCGTTCTGCCGGAGAGATTGATTTGGAGGAGGCGTACGAGTGCGATGCTGATGGCCTGCGCGTTGAGATTCATGGCGTAGCACAGCCTAGTGATTCGATCTACCTGCTCGACAGAGTCGAGAGGCAAACCGTTGATGATGTTCTCGATGCGCTGCGAGGCTGTGATGCTGTCGTCAAGACGAGACAGCACTTGTACGGCAAGCTCCCAGCCTTCTTTCACCGTCTGACCGTCTTGACTGGTCAATGTACCCTTGGCCGACAGAGCTTGGGAGTATGCGATCTGCAGGTCGTCTTTCGTGGCGCCGGTTCGTGGTTGTTCGTTGTAGCTCAGGACCATGAGATCGCTCTGGTCAAAGCCGCCCAGCAGTCCGCCGGCTGGCTTGTACCATCCCCCAGCGTTGGCGACCTCGGCGACTGCGGTGGCTGCGGTGAGGGACCAGCCACGGAGGATGTACAACGCACCCTCCATGTTGTCGTCCAGCACGCAGGCGACGCCGACTTCGAAGCGATCCGTGACGTTGACGCTGAACTCGTCGTCGCTGTTTTCAACCACGGCTGCAAACGAAGACGCCAGACGCTGGCAGTAGGCGGTCACCGGTGTGACGTCGACTTGACGAACACGCTGGGAGCGCATCAGTGACCGGCGGCTGGCCGCAAAGCTGCCTGGAGCGATATCATCCTCTTCGCCGTTCCACCAGATAGCCAGACCCAGGGCAGCTTCAATCCAGTCCGCTGACATGTTGAGGATCTCCTCCTCGTTGCCGAGAAGAAGCTGGTACAGCCTGCGCAGTTCCTCGTACACGGTCCACGGCACCCTGCTCTCTGCTCTCCGACTCGCGACGCTCAGCCGAAAGGTGGCTTGCGACTGTGTAATGTTGAAGTGGGGTGCTTGAAAGTGATCAGCGATTCCTTGTCGGCTCACGCTGTTGCCTTCTGCAAACTCCTGCAGATTCATGTACACCTGATGCACGCGTGATCGAAAAATGGTCCAGTCTTGGCCCTTGATGTCCCAGTCATCCGACACAACAGCCGGGCATTCGCGAAGGAGGTCCACTGCGGAGCGAACAGCTTCGTTGGCATATCGTAAGTTTGCCCCTGTGTAGCCCGTCTCGCCCAGGCCGTCCGTCTGCGCGGACTCGGCGACCTCTAGGTTGGCGCCCAGAAGCAGCTGCACTGTCTGGCTGAAGTTGCCGCGGACTGCAGAAGCATGCACGGCTTCCCAGAACGAGTGGTGTCTCGAGTAGCCGCGCACCTCCTTCAGAACCAGCTCGACTTCAGAGACGCCGGAGTATGTGTGGTTCAGCCAGTCGAGCAGCAGCTTCGGTACGGCTGTGTACTGCGGTGCTTCGCGCCGGGAAACAAGTGACAGCGCGGTCGATTGCTGGCCGTGGCCCACAGGCGGAGGGTGGTGGATGGTGAGCACGAGACTGGCCAGACGGCTGGCGTTTGCGAGTCCGGCTGCGCCTCCAGAGCGGCTCGACGACAAGCTGGCCTTGGAAGCGCTCCGCGACGCAGCCTGCCACAGAGACAGCAGGTCTCGGGCGGCGTCCCCGAGCACAGCGGCTCTCGTCTCTGCCGTGTCCGAGTTGAGCGAGTCGTTGACCTTCTCCAGCACGCGCTCTGTGTCCAGTATCGCGTGGTCTGGGTCTTGCAGGGCTGCGGGCTCGACGTTGGGTGCGAGGCCCTTGGCCAGGCCGACGAGGTCGAAGTGCGTCTGCTTCCGGCCTGCATGCACCAAGGTTGGCCCTGGGTCGACGTCGTTTGTGCTCGCGCGCGAGATGACAGACTGCGACAGGCGGCTGTTCGTCTTCGGCCTCGGCCAGGCCGCGAGCTGCCGGTCTTCGTCGTAGTCGTCGTCGTCGTCGTCGTTGTCGTCGTCCATGTCGTCGTCCATTTCGTCGTCCTCTTCTCCTTCCTCGTAGTTGTCGTTGTTGTCGTCCATGTCGTCGTCGGCCGCCTCGTCCGCGCCTCTGGTCAGCTGATGCGGCGGGCTGCTGGGGATGCGGAAGCTGTTGGCAAAGGCGCCGCTGGTGGGGCGGCTGTTGGGGCGGCTGCGGTGGCCGGAGCCAGGCCTGCCGAACGTGGTGGCACCTATATGTCCTGAGCCAGTTCCTTCAAACAGGCCGTGTCGCGGCGGAGAGCGCTCTGGGAAGCTACCATTGTAGGACGACTCGTCCAAGCCGTAGCTGGCCGGGCGCGCAAAGCTGGGCTGCTGCGACTCGCCGAAGAGGCTGTTCATCGGGGGCGGGCCGGCTGGGGTCGACGTGGGCTCGTAGTCGCCGAGCAAGTCGTCGGGCGGCGGCGGGCCTGCGGGCGTCGTCGTGGGCCCGCGGAATCGCGACGAGCGGCCGGGGGTCGAGGGTGGTGTGGACGAGGGCACGCGGAACATGGCTGCAGCAGTGCAGCAGAAACAACAAAGGGCGCGCGCAGTCTCCACGTGCGTTCCTTTTGCGCCTTTAATGCTTCGATGCTTCGATGCTTCAATGTTTCGATGCCTCAATGCTTCGATGTCTCGATGTCTCGATGCTTCGATGTCTCGATGCTTCAATGCTTCGATGCTTCAATGCTTCGATGCTTCAATGCTTCGATACTTCAATCCTTCGATGCTTCGATACTTCAATCCTTCGATGCTTCGATACTTCAATCCTTCAATCCTTCGGTACTTCAGTCCTTCGATGCTTCAATCCTTCGATGCTTCAATGCATCGGCAACCGCCCAGTCGCCAGGCTGCGGTGAGAGTACGAAGTAGGGGCAGAGCGTGCGGGTGCTGGTCTATTTTCCTCGTCGCGGCGGACGTAGCTTCGTAGACTTCGCGATGCCTTGGCTGCAGTGACGCGCCGCAGCTTGGCGTTGGCGACTTGCGCAGCGCGCGTCTGCACTGCACTGTATTCAAAAAGTCGGCGTCTGGAAAAACCCTGCCCGACCAGCCGGTCGCTCCGAGAGTGCTGGTCTTTCTTCTGCGCGTCCCTGGCCCGCGCAACCTAGGCGAATGCGCAGTCCAGGCCTACGCGGAAATGAGCAGCTTCGTGGCCCCCGACCGACTGCAGTGTCCTCGGAGGCGCGCATGACGAGGCCAATCTTGAAATCTCAATCATTCGTCGTTCGCGCACGCACACACACACACATATATATATATATATCTATATGTCTATCTATATACATACACATGTGTACAGATTTGTATGTATATATATAAACGTGCCCGCGCCGTGCTCGCCCGGCCGTCACCAGCCCTGCCCGCCTGCCGCCTGCACTCGTCCGAGTGCTGACTAGCCCTCCGCCAAAGCCGGCCTTGATGAAGTCACACCCTGACGGCCTCCAGCCTCTGTCAAAAGCGGCCCTCCCGCCGTCAGACCTGCACTTTGTCTTAGTATCTGCTCTACCTTGCCTGCGCTGTTCCTCTTGCATCCCAATGTCTCAGGTTGTAATGTCTAATCCCCGCCCGGCTACCTGCTGAGACACTGCGCTACCTCTGCACCCGCAATGTGGTCCAAGACCAAGACACAGAGCAAGGTTGGCTTCGACAAGGTCTACACCTGGGTCGACAAGCTCGGCGCCCCAGTCAACCGACTCTCGAACAAGGTCGGCTCCGAGGCCTTCTGGCCGACGACGCTCGACATCGAGTCCGACAAGGCTGCGCGCATACTGAAGAGCTTCTGCAGTGAGTGCCCCCCAGACTTGACATGCGAGCAGCATTGACTCCCGCGCAGAGGATGGCTTCTATCAGGAAGAAGACCGCCCAACGGGCCCGCAAGGCCCCAAGGCAAAGCAGAGGGTGCTCAAGAAGATACCCTCGGACGTCATCAAAAACGCAAAGGGCCTCTGCATATTCACCACAATGCGCTCTGGGCTGTGGGTGTCGGGAAGCGGCGGAGCTGGCGTGCTCGTCGGCCGCAAACCAGACGGGACATGGTCCCCGCCGTCTGGCATCATGATGCACACCGTCGGCGTTGGCTTCCTCGTGGGCGTCGACATCTACGATTGCGTCATCGTCATAAACTCCCACAAGGCCCTGGAAGCCTTCCAGTCCGTGCGCTGCACCCTGGGCGGCGAGATCAGCGCAGTTGCTGGGCCAGCCGGCGTCGGCGGCATCATCGACACCGAGGTCCACAGGCGCCAGTCGCCGCTGTTCACGTACATCAAATCGCGGGGCTTCTACGCCGGCCTCCAGCTGGACGGCACCATCGTCATCGAGCGCACAGACGAGAACGAGCGCTTCTACGGCGAGCGCATCGGCGTCAAGGACATCCTGGCCGGCAAAGCGCGCCATCCGCCGTACGAGATCAAGCGGCTCATGGAGACGCTTCGCTCAGCACAAGGCGACACCGACATCGACGAGTCGCTCATTCCAGACGAGGCACCACCGGCCGACTTTGAAGTCACAGCACCGACACAGCCCGAGGACAAGGCCTTTGGCATACCAGCCGAGGACGACCCAGATCCATTCGGCCTGCTCGCGCTGCAGTCTGCCGGACTCGAGATCCGCGAAGCTGGCACGCACCAGCCGGCCACGAGCGACCAGTTCGAGTTCAGACCGAGCCCTACGAGTCCCATCTTCTCGACGTTCCGGAAGAGCACAGACAGGTCGAGCTTAGCAGCCAGCCTGGCACCCAGCAGGCGCTCGAGCTGGCGAAGCAGCACGCTGAGCAGCGTGTTGGGAGGATCGCGACCGCGGAGCAACTACGCTGATTCCAGCACCCAGACGAGCTACGCCAACTCAGGCACACAGACTGACTTGGAGCCCTCCCCGCCTGCCACACCGACCATCGCGAAAGCACCGCCGCCTCTGCCGCCCCGGACACCACCCAAGTCGACGGATGCACGTACGCCATCACCACCGCTGGCGGACATTCCCGAAACGACTGTGCAGTCCGCCGAGATGTACAACGAGGAGGCCAAACCTAAAGACCCCGCAGAGGAGGCCAAACTTGCAAACCCCACAGAGGAGGCCAAACTTGCAAACCCCACAGAGAAGGCCAAACTTGCAAACCCCACAGAGAAGCCTGCCGAGAAGAACCCAGGAGAGGCTGAGAAGAGTGCAGCGAAAGTCGAGGACGAGGACAAGCTCGACGACATCGAGCTCGACTCGGAAGACGAAGAGGAGGACGTTATCATCCACGAAGTCCACCAAGCCACCGCACCCCAGGTCATCAACCGCGCCCGCATCGTCCAGGTCGCCAAGCCTGTCGCTCCCATGCTGCCTCCCCGCAACCCGTTCCGCAACAGCCGCAACCGCAACAGCGCCACGTCGGATGCCTCGGCCGAGCGCGCAGAGGAGAAGCCCAGCCCAATCTCGACGCCGAGCCTGAGGCACGGCGACTCGACAAGCAGCCTGTCGAGCGTCGAGGGCCTTGCGCATGTCAGCGCGAGGCTGCAGCCCAAGCCCGTAGGAGAGAACAAGCAGGAGCAAGAGAAGCAGGAACAAGAGAAGCAGGAACACGACGAGAGGCACGACGAGAAGCACGACACCTTCCACTCGCTGCCCGAATCGCCCATCAAAGCCGTCCCCGGCGCATTCTAGCACTCGCAGCGGAGAACGGCAGAACGCCCCCACACCACCACACCACCACATCCCATTGATACCCCACACCCTCGCCTTGCAGCCCGTCCGGAAGACGGGCACCCACAGGGCGATTGCTTACTAATTGCCGCTCTCACCGTCATGACAGCACTTGCTTACGCCGCCCGGTCCGCCGCGGACCGCGCGCAAGGATTGCGCAAGGGACGGTTTCGTCGTTGTCATACCGAGTCGTAGTCGTAATCGTAGTCATAGTCATAGTCAGGTATACACCTCGTCACGAGCGCCCACGAGTCACGAATCAAACCACGTCGCTCTTCATCGCATTCGCTCCTTGGCGTCGGCTGATGCGTGAAAACACCCGCGCTGATCTGGGTCGGCAAAGTCCACTCTCCATTCTTCGCGGCCCGCACGTCGAGTCGAGGTCTCGGAACCCAAGCATATAGACGTAGCACCGAATCCACTACCATGATTATTTCCATCTAAGAAGATCAATTCAAATAAAGCTTATGAGGCGAGTAGTGCATGGCGACACGACAGTACGTGAAACCAATCAAGCGGCAGTGCACATAACAGAACGGGCATCGAGAACACCGAGCATTCATTGCTACAACATAACGAAACGTCTGGATGCTTAAGAGCGCTCCTCCTGAATCATGTACACGACATTGCTCGAGGCCCTCCACATCGACCCTTACATAGGTACAAATAATATGCTAGGTTGAAAGATCTTGACACCATTTACATCATCACACCTTCTCAGGATCGTTGATGCCGCCATTCGTGATGATATACGTCGCCTCCTTCTCGGGCATGTCTGAGCATTGCCGTTAGCTCACGTCGGCACGACTGTAACTGAGGCAACTCACCTGGCGAATCTTGAATCTTCGCGACTCGCTCCTCGCCTCGCCCTTTTCGGAGCAATATACGCGTGGTAGACGCGTGAGCAAGAATGTGACCGCCGACCGGCTTGCGGCCATCTGCACCTTGGAAGAGCGCACTCGCACCGGGATCACTCTGAACCTGGTTGGTCATGAGCACAGCGATATTGAATTCTGGCTTAGGTTAGCGAATTTCTCATGGAGAGTGAGTGCAGTCAACCTTCAGCGACATGCGTCAGCTTCGACAGAAATTGGTTGAGCTTCTGCTGACGCTCATTCAGCTCGCCACGGCCAGTGTAGTCGACGCGGAACAAAGCCATGATACTGTCGATGATGAGCAGACGGTACTCGTTGCTGACGAAGAACTCGGCAACCTTGTTCAGCAACTCCATCTGATGCTCAGAGTTGACAGCGCGGGCGTATGTGATGTTGTCTTGCGCTGAGGGCTGTTAGTGATGCTCTGACACCGCAGGTGTAACAATGCACCAGTCTCTGGATCAACTCCGAAGCGCTCTGCAATCTGCGCGATCCTCTCCGGTCTGAAAGTGCCTTCGGTGTCTGCGTAATGGCCAGTGAGCAAGCATCCCTAGCAGGCTAGCTTCACCACATACCAATGTAAGCCACCTTACCTTCAGCACCGCCCATATCCTTCGGGAGCTGTGCAATGACGGACATGGTGTGAGACAGTTGAGTTTTGCCGCATCGAAACTCGCCGAAGACCTCACTGATGCTCATGGTCTGGAAGCCACTGCGAGATGTCAGTCAGGTCGCGGCCCGCCACTTCATCAACAATCGACCTACCCGCCGAGGATAGTGTCGAGCTGCTTACTCCCAGTAGAGATCTTCAGAACACGCTTACGTTGTTGTCCAAGCTCATGAGCAGTCTGGAAGCCACCTCCTCCAGGCTGCAAGGTGGTCAGCAACGCTCGAGTAAGGCGGCAGACAATGTACCTGGCACTTCGTCAACGCATCCTTGATTTTGTCAACCTTGATCTCGCTGAAGCCCTTTATCTTCAGCAGATTGCGGCGAGTGGCTGTGTGCACGGAGGCGATGGTATAGTAGCCATTGTTCTTGAGTTTGCCGATGTCGGGTACACTGATGCCGTGGGCTTGGATGGCCTCGATGTCAACGATGAGGCTGTCCTATCGGTGAGGTCAGTATGTTGAGCGGTGCGAAGGCAGAGTTATGATCACGTCGTTGCCTGCTACATCGTCACTCGCGACTGAGGAAGGCATGCTAAGTAATACGAGACGAAAGCAAGTGCGTGTGCAGAGGAAGAAGGTGCGAAGTGAGCGAATGAGCGTAGCAATGAACAAAGGTAGTGTGAAGAAACCGACTGGAGGATGAGGAAGAAAGTTGCAGCTCTGCTGAGGCTTGGGGGTCCGGTGGAGCGGTGCGCCAAGACGCGTAAACACGTGAGGGGTGACAACGAAGGAAGGAGCGAAACCAGCTCGCCCCTCACCACATCCTCGATTGTTTATACATCCCACCACATACCGAATCGATTAGTTCCTTAAGCACAATAACAAGTCCACCCCACAACTTCAGCATACACACATAACACCATGTCTCAGGTCCGCAATGGCTGGCCCGGCGGCCATCTGCCAACTTCACCCTGGCAGAGCTGGCCAGGAGCGGGTCTTCCAAAGATCTTTCATCCACCCGGCACCGTCTACGTCGGCCACGACCGCGTCCCTCAATATCCAGGTAGAACCACCTGCAGCATGTTAGGCGAGCTGGACCCTCACTTTCCCATGACCTGGGAGTTTCTCGCACTCGTTATCGTAGCGTTTTTCCTCTACATCGTCTGGCCGCTGTACGTACTCAGGCACTTGATCCGCAAGGTAGGATATGCCCCACCATTGCATGAGTGGAACTCATGCTGATGGCAGAAGTCCGTCTATGGCGGCGACGACATCTTCCAGACCAATCACGACGCCTACAAGGCCAAGATGAACGCGATGGGCAAGGGCAGAGACGAGATGTCGGAGGATTGAGGTGATGATGAGCTGACTGCCACTAGGGCTAGCTATGGTAATCAAATGAAAACAGGTATAACGTAGAAATGCAAAGCTATCATTCCTTAATGATGCTAAGAGCTGAAACTGTCCTGGCCCACTCCACAGGTGCGTCAGGACCACTGGGGTCGTGTCACGTTTGTAGACACTGCTAAGCCATATTGAATAATCGTAATGAGAAAACGCGAAAACAGGCAGTCACCAAATGCGAGACAGCCTCCGCAGCCTCGAGGCAGTCAGAGTACTGGCACCACAGAGGTATCTGTAGGGCGAAGCGTACGAGGGGTGTGATGGGAATGCGCTGACTGCATCCGGGGTAAGCTACGCAGCAGGTCAACATGGATATGCAGACCAATGATAGATTGTGTGATACATCCACCATGTACAAAATGTGGGAAGGGTGAACATAGAAAGCAAGGCAGGTATGCCGACTCAGCTCCGACAAAAACACACATCTCCTCCACTCCTCTCCTTTCATGTGCCAACTACGATGGGCTGACTACCTCCCGCGTGAGCTAGCCATTCCACAACCAAACCACCACACACAGCCGCTCTCGACTCACCAAGCCGTCGTCTGTTCGTACGAATGGGATGCGATGGTTCCGAAGTAAGGGATGAACGTTCGTGGGTATCAGTGTAGGACTCGTGAAAACTTGTGTTTTGCTCGATGGTGGTAATTCGTGAATGCGTGAAGTTTGTCGAATGGTGCCGAAGCCGAAGAAACGATCGTGTTAATGCAAGGGCCAAGGAAACAAACAAAGCATAGCCAACTATAGATCCAATGTCGCCGCGATTTCACTCGCAGCGCCGGTAGTAACCAAAGTTGACACAGGCTTATGCGACGGCCGTGGTGGGAGCAACAGGCTGGACAGGTGCAGCGGCAGCGGCGGGAATAGGGGCGCCGCCATCGCCGTTAACCTCGGCCTGGGTGCAATCGCGGGAGATGTGCCCAGTCTCGCCGCAGCGGTAGCAGGTCTTGCCGGCGGTGTTGAGAGGGCCGCCGTTGGGGGCAGTGCAGTCGCGAGAGATGTGGCCGAGCTTGCCGCAGGCGTAGCACTTCATGGCCTGAGCCTGGCAATCACGGGCGAAGTGGTTGGGGCCACCGCACTTATAGCAAGTGGCAGGGCGGCCCTGACCGGCAAATCCACCACGGAAGCCTCCGTAGCCGCCACGAGGAGGGCCACCAGTTCCACGGCCCATTCCTGGATTGGGGCAGTTGCGGGCTAGGTGGCCGGTCAGACCACAGCTGTAGCAGCGTCCGCTGGTGCCTGCGCCGCTCAGGCGCAAAGTAGGGCAGTCAGCCTGGACGTGTCCAAGACCCTGGCAGTGGTAGCACTGCTTGGCTGTCGCAGGGGTCAGTGAGGTGTGAGGGGTGCTGTCGCGATGTATGACGTACTCTCGGTGGTGCGGGGGTGAGGACATCCATTGGACTCGTGACCAGGTTGTTTGCCTGTGCAGGAGTTAGCGTGCACTCGGTGTTCAAGATCGCAGTGTTGCGCTTACAGTTATAGCAGAGCCTCTCCGAAGAGGAGCACACCTCTGCAATCCACGTCAGTCGCACATCCACGATACCATCACTCCACCAGCCGAGGTTGCGCGACGCAGGAACCGTGACCAAAAGCATCCTCTCACGACAGCGGCTCCCAGCAGCGTCCCGCTGCAGCGCCCACCTCAGCCGATGCGCCAGGCTGTCTTACCAGCGTAGTGTCCAACATTGCCGCACTTGAAGCATGCACGACGAGAGAGGGAAGACATGCTGTCGCGTCTTTTTATTGTTCTGGAAACGCTGTAAGCATATGCGGTCGGTGGTGGAGGGATCGCAAAAAGGGGTGGAGCGGGCGAAGGAGGGGTGATCTCGAGGGCTGCGATCGCGACTGAGACATGCGCCGTTCGTTTGCCAGCCTGTAGAGAAGGCGCTGGGACTGACAGGGGTCGGTCATACCTGCTTCGTTTTCTGCTTCAATTCCTTCACCTGCGCGACTATGTTAGCCGAAGTTTTTTTCGATGTCATCGAGGGGCATGGCAAGGCGGAGGCACGCGCCGAGTGGCACCACCTGTCGCGCGTCGTAATGTGGGTGCACGGCGAAGGCAACGTACTTCTTTCAAACTACCAGTCCTTCCCTCAGCAACACTACTTCAACGTCCTCCGGAGATATTGGTATGCGTGGTGAGGTTTTGGGTAGAGAAGACGTGGGCTGCGCGGGAAGCGACGTCTGATGCTGGCCCGCTACGGTCCCTGCGCGACGCCAGTCCTTCCGAGGTGAACTGCACGCAACAACGGACAAGGATCCAGACCGGGTGTTTCGCCTTCCTCTATCCACTCTAGAAGCTTCCTCCTTCCTGTCACACCGCATGATTGCGGCAGTAGTCTGCGCAACGTTGCGTGCTGTTTGGCTACGACTTTCCATCAGGCCTCATGTCAAATTTCATGCTGCACGTCTGTCGCTCGAGACATCACTTCTCAGCCTAGCTCCCCGCGTTATGACACCATACCTGCAGGTGCTCGGACATGTCCGTGAAGATGGTTCCTGCAGATGCGCGTCACCACCACCCTGATACCCACGTATAATCTGTTTCGATGCTGCTGTCGCTGTACCTTCCCATGAGGTGGCATCATAAACCCGACTTTCCAGGACTTAGCCCTACCGGTAGCTGTGCTCAGCAATCCGTAACACTTTTTGCGCTCCAGTCCATCAACACAACCGTTGCTCGTCAAAGATCAAGGCTGAATCGAGGAAAGAACAAGGCACCTATGACTCAAACGCACAAGTAGGCACATGATTCTTCGAAAAGCGCAGTAGGATCACCGATGGCGTTCGGCATCCAGGCAATCTGCATTCATTGTATTCGACAAGCCAGACACCTTCAACACCAGCAACTATGCAGCTTCGGGATGAACTACCTAGCATGACGCCTGTTCGTGGGCAGGTCGCCAGTCTCACAATCACAGCTTGGCTTTGAGAGGCACATAGCTTTCGACTGTTACACGTGGTCAGCATTACTGGACATCCTCAGGCCGCGAAATTGACGTACTCATCCTGTGATTCGGATACTTGTTGGCAAAACCTGACACACCGCCCTCGAGAAACACCACTTTCTGTGTTCTGGGTTTGATCTGAAGATAGCCTTGCATGGCGCTCGGAGATCGCAAGGAGCCTTGCACACAATAGAAGACCACCAGATGCTTGTTGGCCAGCGCTGGCAAGATTCGAATGCCCTGTTCGGATTGGAAGACACGAATTGCGTCTGGTCCTTGAATTTGCAACTGATAGGCGCCGGTGAACCTCTTCTTGGAATTATCTGGAGACACCTCGTCAGCTGGTTAACTCTTTCTCTTATCAACAAAGTGTAGACTGACCGCCGTTGCTTTGACAATCGACAAATGCAATTGGTGTTTGAAACGGGTTCCAAGTCTTCAGCCAGCCGTGAAGATCCTGGGCCGTGACAGCGTCAAGGTCCTTGTATCCAAAATCGCTCTTCTTGTGTGTCGGCAACACAGAAACGGAAGGCTTGACACTCATGTTGGCAAGGAGGAATAACTCTTTCAAAGAGTATTTAAGAAGAAACACGATGTTCCGTTGAATAAGCAATTTCTGCAGCTAGACTTTATACATACCGCCCCATTGTAGAGAGAACTGATTTGGAGCCTGGCCGTGATCGAGCCCGGTCTGCTCGTCCGGATTTGTCGATTTCGGCTACTGCAAGCAATATATTGCCAGCTGAGGAGTGTTCGTCGTCACTTTATCTTACTCACCACTCTAGCTGCATACACGCCCGTTGGGCTGATCTTTCGGCATCACCGACCCACACTCGCCGGATTCACGGCACTTCAATCACATTCATACCTCGTGATCACATCGATTGGTCTGGATCGGTGGTCTTCTTACGCACATAGTCCGTATTCATTAGAACAGTCATTTCGGAAGTGAGGAGAGCTTAGCCCAATAGCTTCAATAATGCAGACTGTGACTGAGTATACTCAGATTACGTCCGTTTCCAATCGCCATCTAATCACATCCCGTAGTCGAGACATAGATTCTAGTAACAGCTCGACTACGATCCCCTCCTTCACAAGCTCTTCACATTGCACGAACGTCAGGCTTTCGCCATTGCGATACCCATGCCTGTCCAGAATACTACAGACTCTCTCTAGCATGTTCTCTGAACGTGTTATGATTGCATCAGCATCTGCTCTCAGTGTGTTGGCATCTTTGGCAGGATTGTATGCTTCCCAAGCGATTGCCTCTTTTGCTAGTCCCACGACATCGTCTCCTGAGGCACTGGCACGCTTCCATGTCATACTGTCAATCGTGTCGTAGCCCAGCAATTTACATTGCCGCCCTTGAGTGAAGGTCCTGAAGTCCTTCGTCCATGTCTTACTGGCGGAGACGAAGAGCACTGTGACAGTGGCCTTGATGCCGTATCTGTCGATCTGCTCTCTCGTATGGCCTGAAGCGCTCATCAAAATACCAGTGTCACCACCGAGACGGTAGCCAGCGACATAGTAGTCACCATATCTTTTACACAGGCCTTCGTACCCGCCGCCATATTTGATCTCGATGATAGCCTCTTTCGTGAGTCGCGGTTGCCGCTGTAACTCGACAGTGCCAGCGCGGCAAGAAGAATGGATCGATATCTTATCAGACTACATGGTCGTAAGTCCCATTTATTGATTGACTACCAGTCTCTCGAGAGTGAACTCACGTCTTTGTTCTCCTGTATGTGCTGATCGAACGTCCCTTTGACACTGAGGCTCGCAACGAATGGTAGCCCAACACCCACGCCAAATCCTAGGCTCAAGTGATCTCCTGTCTCACTAATTCTGGAGGTGGATACTTTCTTGAAGGTCGAGTTTGTCCCATACTCGAAATACAACTCTTTCGGTATGATATGGATGTCAGAGAGCACGAACGGCGTTTCATCGGACCAGGGGTTTTCCGTAGACTGGAGGCGGGAATGGAATGTTGTACCTAGTCGAATCGGAGTTCGACCCCAGGGCAGTACTAAAGGCAGACACTGGGAAGCTTGACGAGGTATCTCGTTGTTGTCAGAACTCTCAGAGCGAGTGAGGTAGCTGGCTTCTTCTGTCGCGGTCGTGGTGGTTGTAATTAACATCTGGACTGATGGCTGCTTCATTTTGGCAGTGGATTCATAAGTTGCAACGAGAGGGATCAAGACAGCAGAGGGACTTGCTCAGTCAATGAAAATGTGGGCAGGCTTGAGAACCCGCAACAACTACGATGTTGCTGGCCGCCCATGATGCCCATCTCAACATCACACTTCGCTACAGACAACCTCGGCGCGCCCATCTCGACAGTGGCCCGAAACAGCTGTGCCCATTCTCAATCGGTGTACACTTTAGGCCTCGCGGTTCCGCTTCTAGATGTGAGATGTGGGGAAGTGGCGTCTGTCAGGGTCCATCGCAGTAATCGAGCACGCTAGCGCTCGTTCTCTTTACCCTTCTGGGCCGCAGCACATGCACTGCGGATCGGTCCATGGCCACCGCCGTGGGCCGGCCCATCTGGATTCCAACGATGTTTGCACGGATTGGATAGATTGACATTGCTGCGCGCGTAGCTTCAGTCAGCCACCAGGTGTGCTCACTTCGCTTGACAAGGGGGTGGCGGACGGCGACAACTTCATTGTCAGCCACAGACCACCTCCTTCCCCACATCTTTAGCAGCCACGACATAACACAGCTTCTAGATCTGCGAACACGCAGCAATTGCGCATTTGCGAAGTGTGTCTTGAACCTCTTTTTGTAACGATCGGCATTGCATACTGCCTTTTACGAAAGCGCTCGTCCCTCTTCCGGCACCTTCCCCACGCTCAATGGAGCGGAAGTAAACGGAGTAGGGCGCCGTGCTTCGTATCGGTCTACGACACCCTGGATCTGGCCAGCCTCATCTACGAAATTGAAGCTGAAAGCTTTATCTCAGCCCGACATGGATTGTTGTTCTGATCACACGGCCACGGAAATCACAATTGAGATTCTCGCGTCGCCTCGAGCACGTATGGCCGATTCGACGCCAATGACATGTCCAAGCTTAGTGTGGTCGACTCTCGAGCGGAGAGGATTGTGCGAGTCTGAGAGGAGACGCTTGAGCGCCTATATGAATGGTGTGTTCTGCGCCCTTCAGATCAAAAGCATGCCTAGGTCGGCTGACTTGACACTCTCTCTCTTCCTGTCCACAATCAGCCTTTTCATAATTCAAACACTTTAGGCTATCTTTGCTTTAAGCTGGTTAGATGTCGCTTCTTCTCGCACCCTACACGCATGCTATGCGGCTTGGCCAAGGGTAAGATTGCCTTCGTTGCTCTCTTCTATCAGGCTCACCAATTTACAGATTCAACTCTTACACACAGCAAATTTGCATCGATGATGCTGTCGTCATTGATGAGCAGAGGCCTGAGAACATTGTCACGAACGATGGTACCACCATGCGTATCATGGCCCAGAAGAACGCCACCCCAAGTGCATGGACGAGGCAGAAGGAAGTCATTACTGGCAAACAGCCAACTGCAGTTCTTGTCGAAAACGCAGAGCAGGCGAGAGCTCAGGTCGCTCTGATTGAGGAAGAACTCGCTGGCGAGCCGCTCGAAGGTCAGCAACACCCTTAATCTCTCCTTTGGCTAAGCATGATAGTGACATTATGAACAGAGCCTGTTGCTGCAGCCGAGACTGTACCTGCAGTAGTTGAGCAGCCCGATGTAGAAGGGGAGGGCGCAGTAACTACGGGCAAGGAGAATGAGGATGTTGCGAGCGGAGAGCCCGTCGAACTGGAGGAGTCGAGCTCTGTCAATGAAGTGGCAGACGCTGGTGAAGCTCGGGAAAGATTCGACGCTGATGGTGAGGTTGCAGAAGATGGGGTAGTCAATAGGCCTGAGGTGGCGGCCTCAAAGCCTGCGACTGCGAAGAAGGTAGAAACCACCGAGGAGACTATCACTGGGGATGCAGCTCCAAGGTCTGCCCCAAGAAAAACCCTGCGTGGCAGGTCGTCTTCCATCACTGCAGGCCCCAAGGATACCAGCAAGCCTTCCACAAGCAAGCCAAAGCAGGCAAAGGGCGATTCCGATGACGGCGTTGATCGAGAAGCTATCATGGCGAATTTGCATGCTAATGACACTAAAGACGACAAGGTGGATCGCGCCGCCACTGCAGCCAACTTCAAAGCCAATGCCGACAAGCTAGCCCTAAAGAGGCCCACCAACCGAGGTGCCTCATCTGACCGTGCGCGTCAGATCCGAGCTGCAGCACCAGCAGGAGTTCATGATCGTGCAGCAATCCGAGCTGCTTTGACCGGACAAGCAAGAGTAGACCATGCTAAAGTAGCAAAGGACGAGGCAGAAGCAGCTCGCCAGCGAGAAGATGAGGCTGAGCTTCTGGCGGAACAGCGTCGCTACCGGAAGGAGCTTGAGGCGCAGTTGCGTAAAGATGAGTCTGACCGCCGTGCTGAGGAGCGGGAGGAAGCACGCCAGGTCCGCAAGGAGAAGCGTGACTGGGATACTAAGAGACGCGAAGAAGCGCGCAAAGCCATCGATGCAGCTGCAAGTCTGAAAGCAACAAGCTTGGCCGACTTGGAGAAGATCCGCGCCCAGAATCAGTTCGTGGAGCGCTTCAATGGCATGTCTGAGCAGACTCAGAAGTACGACTTCGATCCCACTGCGCCGCGTGGACCCAGCCAGACAGTCACCTACACATCTCGCTTCGTCGATCGTCTCAGTGACGTCATGGACGACATGAGCGTATCTGGCTCTTTGTCGATCAAGGCTGGCAAAGTTGGTGGCTCTGGAAAGGGATCGTTCGTAGATTCGGACAAGTTCAAGGAGAGCGACTTGAACTTCTACATCTCTGTCAAGGTGGTAAACCAGACCATCAACTTCAAGGATGCTTCAGTTTTCAACCCTCTTCGTTCAGTCGATGCGAACAACTTTCGAGAGGTTTATGGCGACTCTTTCGTCTCGGGCTTCGTCGAAGGTGGCGAGTTCAACGCACTGGTCAGCATGAAGATCCTCAACAAGGCCAAAAAGACAGATATCCAAGCTGAAGCCAAGATTGCTTTGACAGCTGGCACTGTTCAAATCGAAGCTGAAGCGAATGTCGGTATAGCCCGCGCCAACATTGAGACGAACACCGAGACCACTATCCAGGTGAGTTGGTCTGGCGGTGGTCATATCAAGCCTATGGAGCAACAATGGGATATTCAGAGCTTGATGGCAGCGGCTGCACGCTTCCCTGACTTGGTTGCCGACTGCCCGCAACGGACATATGCGATCTTGACCAAGTATGATGCCCTTAGGAGCTTCGTCGCCAGGAAACCAGCGTCGTACACACCTCTCCAGTACGAGAATGCGCAGATTTACACCAACACTCTGCTGGATTCTTTTGTCAGCTACAAGTCGTTGTACAAGCGTCTTGGTGAGCAGATTTTTGGGGTTCAGGGCAAGACGCTAGATATCATTCCCTGGAGCGATGCCGACAAAGAGAAGGTCTCTGCCTATTCGACAGCAGTGACTAGAATGGGCTCCAAGAGTGAAAACGGACTCTACCCATTCACTGAAGTTGACTCGAAATTTGAAGCCTCCATTAAGGGTCTTAGCGATGCTCGAACTGCAATTCGTCGCCAAATGGCCCGCATTGTCAATGAAGTCGACGGCATCGAGAAGGACCCAAAACTCGCAACTGATGAGGATCATACTGAGCCTTACCAGTCCCCAGTCGCATTCGAGGCACGCGTTCCGGTAGCCGAGGTTCCCGAAAGTCTGCGTGTGAAGAGCCACCCGCTGTCAGGCAAACGCATTGCGGCGAAGAGTCTATCCGAGGAGGAACAGCAGAAGCAGATCGAGGAGGAAGACAATGCTATTGAAGGACAAGCCGTCTACACTGACGCAGAGAAACCGAAGCTGGATCCCGATGAGATTGCGGCTCTCGACAAACTCCTTCTTGCAAACCCAGCGCTTGGCGCAGACTTCCGCGCCTCAATTGCTGTAGGCGCCAGTATGAAGGGCGAGCTGTTCAACAACCTTGATTTCTTGAAGCCCGATTGGAATGTTCGCAGCATTCGTACCGAAATGGCGGGTGGCGCACTCGTGTACCTAGCCATCTCCTATGAGAACGGTCTCTTGGTCGAGAAGGGTTCAGTAAGTGACTATGCGCAAAACTTGCGGATCTTGCTAATATCAAACAGTCACGTGGTAAAGACAAGAGGTTCGGCCCCTTCATTGGAGCTGAACGCATCAACTCTGCCTCCATCGAATACGGCAGGCCAAAGAGCAAAGACAAAGATTCATTCCCAACACAAGTACTCGGACTTCGTCTGTTTACCAATCGTGGTCGATCATTGATTGCGCGTGCTGCGAAGTCCGAGGTCGGTGAGGGCGGCATCGTCACTCGCGATGGCGTTGCCTACGAAGATGTGCGGGTCCAGTATGTGGACATGCCTTTCAACTCGGGTACTATTAAGGGATTCTTCGGTCGAAGCGTGGACGGTCCCGACAGCAAGATCTATCGCCTTGGTCTCATCTGGTCCCGCGCGTCTAAGTTGACGGCAGACGAAGCAGAAGCGAGATTTTCCGAAGGTATTGACGTGATTGACAGCGAGGATTTCGCAGAGCTTCAAAAGAGTCAAAACACTAGCGCCAAGTCACTTCAGGATAAGCTTTCGGCGTCTCAGAAGGTAGGCTCATTCTATTCTCGTTGCTCGAATGAACATACTGATCTGTTGCAGGCTCTTGAGGACAGCCGAAACCGGATCACTGAGCTCGAGAAGGTCCGCGAAAGCGCGCCAACTTTCGAGGCACAGTGTGGTTCCTTCTCTGCACGCAACTTCGGTTGGAGACAGGGCGAGAACTCCTCCACGCGTTGCGCAGTGCAGTTCCCATGCCGTTATCCATCGGCACCGAAACTGCTTTACGGTTTGAACTGCATCGATGCTGAGAGGGGCCGGGCACGCGCACTGTCGATTTGCCACCACGAAGTGAACGCTGGTGGCTTCAATGTCCAAGCAGCATCATGGAGCGGATGCTTTGGCTACGAAATTGGCTGCAGCTGGCTCACCCTCCCAAGCGACATGCACCTTGAGACCGGCATGGTATACACGGCCTCCGCCGGCCGGTCCAACTCTCCGGACTGCGAGCAGCACATATGGTTCAGCCAGGCATTTGACTCGCCCCCGAAGATTGCCGTCTGGATCCAAGAGTTCGAGTGGCTCCAGAATGACTTCATGTCTATCAAATGCTTTGCCACAGATATCGCACCCAATCACTTCCGTTTGCGCATTGAGTCCTGGGCGAATCGCAAATTTGCAAACGTCCGCGTGCAGTGGGTTGCGTATCCCGCAGAGGAGGATGGCAAGCGCGTGAAAGCTGGCAGGAACACGGTGTCGAGAGCGCAAAAGGAGGCGTCGAACCGAGCACCGTTCTACGGCCAACCGTTCAAAAACACACCAAAGACGTTCATCGCTATTTCTGAAATGGATTTCGGGATCGACAGGAATACGCGCTTCCGTTGCTCTGCAGATGCGCCGAACAACAGGGAGTTGGAGTGGAAGTATGGCACTTGGGACGATACTAACATGGACCACGCTGAGGTACAGTGGCTTGCAATTGAGTAATACATGGACTCGCTATGCCAACATGGTTGGACGGTTGTACATATCAGGATAGGCGCGTAATTGGATTCTGCAGCTACTAAGTCTTTCGCTCTTCCACATCATAAGTCCACCAATGGTCTACTCAGGCACGGTGAGAAGCATCAGCTCTTTTCACACATCCATGTTGGGTTCTTAGCTGTATAGCGCAGCGTTTCTGCTTGATCAGAGAATCGAAGGTGATCAATCACAGAAACTTCGCGGAAATGCTAACGAGCTCACTTACATACAAGCCACGCATAGTTATACAGGGCGGCAGTACTTGAGGTCAGGTAAGCATCTATGTCTTGTATTCCGATGAGGCGTCTGGCATCCTTTTAATCCATTAGGGACTGCGACGGCAGCATTCGTTACTCGTGGCAGCTGTCTCATCGGCAATGCTACTGTTGCAGCACGGGAAGGAAAGCAGCCAGGTACGGCACTGCCTTGATGAGACTGCATGCGAAGAGATCATAATCAGGGCAGGTTCAATACTGGATCAGTGTTGTAGCTCTTCGAGCGCTCATTGTGTTCCATTGAGTCACTCCCATTCTATCTTTTTGGGTGGACCAGTCGACTGTGAACGGTCGTCATCCCTGACAGGATTGATAAGGGGCACGCGTCGCGGCATCTGCAAATCACCAGGCCCGGTGTGGCGCCAGTTGTGCTCCTCCAGATGTACGGCAGTGCCATCATTCCATGTCTTTTGGTCTTCCTAATTCTCAGACTCAATGACGGCAGGTGCCTTAATGGTGCGCTCCTTGAGGAAATCGAGGCCCTCACCGCCCTGTGATCAAAATTAGCATGTTAGTTAATCTGAGTCTAAGAGAGCACACTTACATATGAGATCAGCGGCGAGACTTCGATGCCTGCCTTAGGGTCTTCGCTAACGACAGTTGCGCCGGCGGCCTGTACCCACTTCTTGCCCTGTGTCATGATGTCCAGCCTGGATGTGTCTGGGTCATCCTCGCCAGTGCCGCGGGCGTTCTTGAGGGGAGAGAACTCATCCTCACGCTTGACCTCCATGCAGGCGAACTTGTCGAGGCTGAGGAAGGGGAAGCAGTCGAAGACGAACTGCTCGAGCTTGATGCCGTTGGGCTTCTCGGGCTTGATGGTTTCACCAGTCTCGGTGTTGACATGGGGAATCTTCTTGCGGGCAACATGGTGGGGCAGCTTCTTGCACCACTCGGGGATGCTCTCGAGGAACTTGTAGGAGTAGTAGTGGTTGACGATGTTGGCGGCACGGAACTTCAGGAGCTCAGAGTTCTTCGAGTCTTTAGCCTCCGCTGTCTCGTCGTCGATCTCTGAGTATTCGACAACATCAGGCTTGCCGTTCTTCTGCAGAATGAGACCAACAGACTCCTTGGCGTTGCGCTTGCGGACGACCTTGGTGGCAATGTCGACATTTTTCGAGGCGGAAAAACCGATGAAGATAGGATCGGCGACCTTGACAAGGCAATTGTCAACGCAATAGGCGTGGATGTGCTGGATGCCGCGCTTGCCCATGTCCTGGACAACGCCGGAGTTGAGGAGAGCGAGGTAGAGACCACCATTACCGTCGGGGGCAACGGCAACCTAAATAAGTCAGTATCAGAGAGTGCCTCTCGGAATGCTCGACGTACCTTGGACTTGCTCTCAAGCAGAATCTTGCCGTCATTTGAGATGCAGGGCAACACACCCTGTTCGAAGATGATGACGTTCTCCTTCTTCAGGCCGAAATAACTGTTCTTCTCGAAGAAGGCCTCGGTGGGCTTCCTTGTGGGGCCAGAGGTCATGACGTACCAGGGGATGGTGACGCTGTCCTTGCCATGCTTCTTCTTGGCCAGCAACTCGGCCTTTGCGATCCTCTCACCCTGGAGCTGGAACAGAGACTTCTTGCTAGGAAGGCCAATGTCAAAGCAACCCTTGGGGTCTGAAGAGCCCAGTCGTGTGCCCTGACCACCAGCCATCAGGACAACGGCGACCTTGCCCTCGGCGATCAGCTCGAGACCGCTGTTGTACCACTTGTCCAGGTCATCCTGCTGTGTATCAAGGGTCGACGATGTGGCGCTCTCGGGGAGAGGCTCGAGTTTTGTCTCGGTCGACTCGGTCTGTGCAGGCTTCAGGGCCCTCTCCGTGATCTCGTTGATGTAGTCGGGGTTGAAGTTGGAGAGCTGCTCGAAGAGAGTAGCCTTCTCGGCTGTGCTGAGCTTGTCGTAGAAAGCGAAGACCTGCTCCTGTCCGGCCTTCTCGTACGTTGACTGGAGGTCCTTCAGCTGCTCCTCTGTGGGCTCCTTGGAAGGAGCAGCGTGTGCGCCTCCGGTGAGGTTGAGCTTCTCGAGGGCCTCGTTGACGGTGTTCTTGATGGCTTCCATGGTGCAAGCGGGGTAAATGTGTGGCGGGGTATCAAGAAAAGGGAATCGCAATCGAAGCAATGTAGAGCAAGTCGATATACTCAGGGGATGGTTTGTTTATATGGACACTGGCAGAGACTGAGCAGGCGCAGCCAGCAGTTGCGCATTTGCCCCACTTCGGCGGTGGAGAGCTCACAGCGCGTCCATGCCGCACATGCGCGACGAAGAGCAAGATACACGAAGATCATAGCCAACGACGTGGTTTATACCATGCCTGTTGCTTCCTATCACTGCAAGGCACCTACATGCGAACTTCAGCGGCATTACGACCCATCTGCTGTCTTCAAAGGTCGTGAGCACTGCTTCGTCCTCGCTGCAAGGCGGTGTGGGACAGGAAAAGCGTGGAGATCACCTAAACTAAAAATAACCCCGGAAGGCGAATCTTTACGAATGTTTTTGATTAATCATGAACTACGTAGCAGTGTCCCGACATGAATTCGTATTCTCGTAATTGCTGACCCGGAGCTGCAATTGTATAACTCCTCCATGCACAACGCCAATACCATCTAGGTGTGCAGCAATATAACGTGCCCATAGAACCGTCGCTGTGCCACCGAGGCAATGCGCCCAAAACGCCGCTGACAAGGAAGATGCACTCTAGTGACCGTTGACAGTGCCATTGGCTTGAGCCTCCTGCTCTTCAGCAGACTTCAGAGCCTTCATCGGCGCAGGGTTGAGGATTCGCGCAGCATCGATGAGGCCCGCGTTGGGGTTCAGCTCAAGACCGAAACCGGGCAGGTCGAGGTCCTTGACATCGAGGTAGCCTTTGGTGGGAATGGGCTCGTTGGTGAAGAGGTTGCCAAAGACGGGTAGGACAGACTTGCCGTCAGGGCTATTTGCCAGATACTCCTGGAAAGGAGAGTTGGCCTGTGAGACAACGAAGTGGTACGAGTACGGCCCCGAAGCGTGAGGAACGACGGGGATGTCGTAGGCAGATGCCATGGCGGCGATCTTGATGAGCTCTGTCATACCTCCCACCCACATGACGTCAGGCTGAAGAATGTCGAGGTTGCGGCCCTCGATGAGCTTACGGAAGCCGTATCTCGAGTACTCGTGCTCTCCAGTGGTGAACTTCTGGCTGGGGTGTGCGCGCTTGATCTGCTCGAAGCCATCGCTGTCATCAGGGCTGAGGCACTCCTCCCACCAGTTGAGGTTCAGGTGTGCAGTGGCCTTGACGACCTCGATTGTGTAGGCAACAGTAAGGGACATGTAGCAGTCGACCATGAGAGGAAAGTCGGGGCCAACAGCCTCGCGGTGCTTGGTGAGGAACTCAACGTTCTTCTTCAGGCCCTCGACACCCTCGCCAGGACCGTATGGGAGCGGTACCTTAGCGCCGAAGAAACCCATATCCTTGGCCGCAGCCGGCTCAGGACCAGTGCAGTAGAAGCTGAGCCTGCCGTTCTCCTGGGTTGACCCACCAAGCATCTTGTAAACGGGCTCCCCGCGAATCTTACCGAGAAGATCCCAGATAGCGAGATCGATGACGGAAATGACGGCGACAGGAAGACCCTTGCGACCGTAGAACATACTTCCACGGTACATCTGCTCGAAGAGGTAGTTGGTATCTCGGGGGTCGGCGCCAAGTAGGAAGCGCTCGAAGTGTTCTGCAACCAACCTTCAAATGTCAGCTGATTTTCGTGTATTGAGGCATCCCAAGCTTACCAGCATGCTGGCGGGCCACCGAAACCAGTCGCGAAGCCCTTTGTGCCATCTGTAGCCTCAAGCTCTACGCAGAATGACCCAAGCACATTGATACCCCAGCTCGTCCTCGACTTCCTGTACTTCTCATACTGCGACATAGGAGTTGAGATCTTGCTGTCGATCAACCAATGGCCGCCGTGCACATTGTGGTAGTCACCACCAGACCCGGGGCCCTGAGTGAGGAAGGTGCGCACATGCTTGATCGTGGGGAACGACTTCACAGAGCTGCCTTGGGCAGAGGAAGACATTGTGAATGGAGGATTGACAGCGTATTCGGGACGAAACAAAAGTGAGGGGTCTGTAAAGCCTAGGAGGCCGGCGGCGTGGGACCGTTAAATACATAGTTCAATCAGGTGGAATGCTCGTCCACGCGGAAAATAATGGGCCCTCGGCCACATCTGTCGCGACTTCGCTACGAGCCGCTGCGACGAGCATACCGAACTCTGGCGCGGTGCGTCCACTTTGCGACCGGACACAGTACGGACTTGGGCGGACGGTAATTAGTGGGAGGTCTCTCGGCATCTGGTCTCACGAAGTTTGGAACAACGACTAAGTGGGTTTCGCGGATCATCTGAGCACGATATCGGACCTTATCTCCAATCAGCAGCCGTAGAAAGGAGGCTAAACCATGAAAACACAATCTGGGGTAGAGCGAAAACCCATAACCCCGCCCGCTAAATCACGCCCACCTCGGCAGAAAGGAAACCGAGTTCACGCTCAGCGAGCGCGCTCCCAACGCCTCGCCCACCATGGATGCGACGGCTGCGAGCGGCGCAAATACTGCGCATTGCCAGGAAGCCAGTCCTAATGGCGCGTCAAAATTGTCTCACCACTCACCCGCCGACGACGAGCACGAAGTATGGAGCGCTGGAGAGGATGAGAGCGGCGAGGACGGAGGTAGGAGCCAGAGCGGCTCGAAGCGCAAACGTGAGAAATTAAGCGTGAGCTGCGAGACGTGCAAGCAGCGCAAAGTCAAGTGCGATCGCGGCCACCCAGCGTGTGAGTTGATCGTAGAAATATCTTGATCTCGATCGTGTGCTGATCCGTACCTTGCAGGTGGTTGGTGTCTGAAGAACCACTCGACATGTGTAAGTGAATGTAGGTCGCACGACATTCGCGACACTCGACTGACAGCTTTACAGATCTACTTACCGCGCAAGAAGCCCGGCTTGAGGGCTGGTTATGGACGTGAGCTTGGTAAGTCCCATCGCCCGTTGCTCGCAGAGGAAGTCGGCTACACACAGAAATGATAGCAGTCCCCACAGCTTGTATCTGCTTGCAGATGCGCAGAAAAGCTCTGACTGCCCCTCGTACTTTCCAGGGCACCAATCTTACAGCTGGCTTTTTCTGCTACCTGGAAGGCATTCTTTCAAATCATCTAGCTGACTTGACGCAGAGGCGCGCCTAGATAAACTGGAGCATCTTATCGTTCAACAGCAGTCGCAGATTAACCATCTGTCGCAACAGCAGACAGCAGCGTCCGGGCCATCCCCGCAAGAGGTGGCCACTTTTCGGAGCCCACCAGTCATCCAAACGCCCCATATCCCCCGTCCCGAAACTGCCTTGTTCATCCAAAAGCCGCAGTCAACCTTCCCCTCCCAAAACGCGATGCAGAATGGGTTTGGCAATACATTGGACACCAGATCAGCCTCAATCTCAGGCAATGGCTACGGTGGTCAGCCAGAGGATATGCAGTCAGGACTGGGAGGCCTGCAGCGTGATGGGTATACGCCTTTTGGCGGCACCGACCAGTTTGCGCCATCCATGTCGAGAGCGCTGGGCCAAGCGGATGCGGATTTCCCACCGTACGACCTCTTATACGGGTTGGTGGACCTATTCTTCAAGCACATATACCCATGGTGTCCAATCTTGCACCGTCAGTCAACGCTGAACTCACTGTTTGGTGATTCAAGTCTGGACGAGGCTGATCGCATCATTTTACACTCGGTTGTGGCCACTACTGTCAAATTCTCGTCTGATCAGCGATTGACTCCGGACAAGCGAGCGCGATATCACAAGAACTCAAAAGAGAAGGTTTTGCTGTACGGCATCGAGAACAGTTCTGTCAAGTCTCTGCAAGCCCTTGTCATCCTTGCGCTGGACGTGGTTGGCTGCTCCAATGGTCCTCCCGGCTGGAACCTGCTTGCGCTGATAACACGTTCTGTGGTACAGTTGGGACTGTCCATGGAAACGTATTCGCCGATGGTCGCACCCCAATATGCGTCTATTTACACACTGCGCGCCAACGTACTACCCATTCCCAAAGACTGGATTGAGGAAGAAAGTCGCCGCAGGCTGTTCTGGATGATCTATGTCCTCGATCGCTATGCAACCGTGGCAACAGCTTTCGAGTTTGCTTTGGATGAGAACGAGATCGACAGGCGATTACCATGTCGAGACGATCTTTACGCTCGCAATGTACCGATCGAGACCAGATGGTTCCACACAAAAATCAGGACAGATTATAGTATGAATCGCCCCGAAAACCTTGGGTCGTTCTCATATTATGTTGAAATTCTGGGGATTCTGACGAGAATACACAAGTTCCTGAAGAAGCCTGTCGACATTACGTCTTTATCTGACGTCGAGAAGTGGCAGAGTGAGTTTCGGGAGCTTGACAATGCCATTGAGCAATGGAAGTACAACCTTCCTGCCGAGTATGGTAACTCAGCAAGAGTTTTCTCGAAGCCAGGAGGCAACCAGGCCCTCAATAGTGGTCTGGTGATGTTACATGCTGCCTTCCACACGTGAGTCCATGTAGCCCGTCGCTGTGTTTCAATCTCAGCTAATAATCCACAGAACTGTTATCCGACTCCACTCGTCAGCAGCGTATCCAACTCATCGCTCGCCCATCTTCACACCATCTTTCAGTGCCAGTCAGCGTTGTCTAAGCGCCGTGGAAAACATCACAGCTCTTTGCGCATCGGTGCGTGATAACGGCCTGCTCGCCAAACTTGGCCCACCATTTGCCTTCTCCTGCTGGGTAGCCGCGCGTGTGCTCTTGGTCCATGGCTCGACAATTGACCACCGCGTCGATACGTCCATCAACATCTTGGTGAGCACCTTGCAAGACCTGGGTCAGTACTGGGAGGTAGCCGTACGCTACGGGAATCTCCTATCACGAGTGCTGTCCGAATATCAGGAGTCGCAGCAAAGCGCCGGCATGGGCGGCGAGCGGGTTACGCCATCAACAGTCAAGATTCTGGCTGATATGCGACGGTGCGCATTCGATCTTGACTTCCTTATCGCACGTCAGCCCAAATTTGACGGCGCTGCCGGGTTACCTTCAGTCACACCGGCTCGCACTCCAGCACCGAACGAGTTGGAGTACCTTGACGTCTTCGATTTCTTTAACATGCCTCGCCTCCCTGTTTCCATAGACACAATGACAACGTATCCCACGACCGCAGATGGGAACATGCCACTGTCCGAAGGCGGCTACGGCAATGAGTCGAACATCACAAACTATATGGTCGATGCTAGCTCGGACTGGTTCATCAAGGGTTCTGCTTAGCAACAGTTTATTGATCTTAACGATTTCTATGACTGTCTAATCGGATACTGAAAAGCGTCTATCTGACATAATCTGCCGCGAACGTCTTGCAATTTTGTTTATGCTTCGGCAGCTTTGGATCTGTTGTACATGCGTACTGTTCTTCCAGATACCCCTTACTATTACCGCGACAGAATCAATTCCCAGGTTGATACCTTTCCATGAATAAACCATCTTTACGCATCTTCGGAACTTATAATTCATGTCACTTGCAAAAAATATATTGGTCTTCCACAATGCGTGTCACCCAGTCGACTCTAGTATACACTACGCCCAGTGAGGGGAACGGTCCGGATGCCGGTCTTGTGAGGTGACTCATTCCAATCCCAACATCACAGCAACCTCGAACACCGATATTCCACCACCGACTCCGATTGGACAGTGGGTAAGTTGGTTTTCAATATTTCACAGGCTCTTGTCATTATAACTGGGACATACACAGTCCGGCATCAAAGAAGGACCCGGTCGAGGCTGAGTACAGCATATCTCGTAAGCATTGCCTGCAATTGTGGCTTTCCCGTCATCCGTCGCACTTGGCAGTATTTCGACTTCAAGATAAGACAAGCCGAAATTGTCGACTCATCGAACGAAGTAGAGGATTCTGGAGCCGATATATATTAGTCTCGGTTCTCAACACCATATCATTGAACCAGATTCACTCGGCGTCTCGCCACCGACTCACACTACTACAGCCCTGGACCAACGACCAAGTCCAGTCAAGGCAATACCAAATACAACACCAAAATGTCCACTCAAGATCCCCAGCACATCGCCATCCTCGGCGCCGGCATCATCGGCCTAACCTCCGCCCTCGCCCTCGTCCACGCTCACCCCTCAGCTACCATAACCATAACCGCCAAGCACTTCCCCGGCGACCGCAGCATAGAATACACCTCTCCCTGGGCAGGCGCAAACTGGTCCTCAATGGCGAACGATAACGGGCCCCTCGAGAACTACGACAGAATCACCTTCCAGCGATTTGGCGAGCTTATGGACGGGCGCAGCGTGCACGGGTGCCAGGTTGTGAAGATTGGGGAGGGGAACGAAGCAGGTCTCGGCAGGCAAGAGATGTGGGCGGTGCTGGATGCGCCAATCGAGCAGACAAATTTGCTTACGCCGCAGACGGGGAAGATCTGGTATGATGAGTTGGTGGGGGGATTGCGGTATTTGGATGAGAAGGACCTGCCGGAGGGAGCGGTATTTGGGCTGGAGTTCCCGAGCACGTTTAGGATTAACACGCAGGTTTATTTGCAGTGGTTAGTCCCTTTCCCCTCGCCCTCCTGTCTCCCTCATTAGTTCGTTGTAAAGAACGAGAGTGAGGCGCTAACCAAAAAGGCTACAATCCCAAGCCCTAAGCAAAGGTGTCAAACTAGAGCGCCGAATAGTCTCTTCCATCAGCGACCTTCTCTCCTCCCACCCTGCGACAGGCCTCGTACTCAACGCCTCGGGTCTCGGCGCGCTCAACCTCGATGACGTCCGCGACACGAGTATGTATCCGACGCGCGGGCAGACCGTACTGGTTGCCGACCCTAAGACGCCAATGAAAAGAATGTACGAATTTGATCGCACGTAAGCCGTGCTTCCCCTACCTCACTCCCACTTACCGCTTGCAGGATGCTGCGCATCGAAGGCCTGGGAACTGACAACACCAGGTATTACCGCAGCCCCAAGCGTATCGATCCCACGACTACCTACGTATTCCCGCGCACTCTTGGCGGTGGTGTGATACTTGGTGGTAGCCGCCAGGATAACGATTGGAGCGCTGAGTGGGACTCCGAGCTAGAAGCGCAGATTCTTGAACGCGCGTGTGCGCTTGCGCCTGAGTTGGGAACACCGAAAGACCTCCAAATTATTGCGAGAAACATTGGATTGCGACGTGAGTGTTCCTTATGCGTGAGATCCTTGGATGTGGGCGAGTGGACGGTAGCAGATGAACCCGAGGGGTTAAGCTAACCGATTACAGCAAGTCGAAAGGGTGGCCCAAGGATTGAGATTGAGAAGGAGCAGAAGTGGAATGTACCGGTTGTGCATGCCTATGGACATTCGGGCGCTGGGTATCAGGCGAGCTGGGGAACGGCAGAGAGGGTGCTGGAGTTGGTGCAGAAGGTGCTGAGTCCGAGTGCGAAATTGTGATTACACATGGTATAGTAGAATTGGATGGTTCGCAAAGTCAGAGTAGATGTGTAGACGCACTGGTCGTGTGGAAGCAGTACCTACGGGTTTGATTAGGATTGACTGCTGTCTGACGCCCGACCCAATAGCATGTGGAACTGTCTGTTGCGTCGATCACAACAGCCAGGGGTCTGGCATCTTGATCTGTGAGCTAAGTTTCGCTTTTCTGGAGTTGCGTTGAACATTTCTATTAGGCCATACATCGTCGATCGGCATTCCTAAAAGTGGGGAGAGCCTCTGCTTGGAGTACATTCGCCTTCCCCGACTTCCAGCTTTCAGGCGACCTTCCGATAAGTTGGGGTCACCGTGGAGGCGACGCTTTTCAGCGCTTGATCGGATCACCTGCGCATGCTTACCACTGTGCGCCGTGCGGCAGTGGTACTGTCGCACTATCGGTTCGTGGTTTTGTGATGGGGTTGTGGAAAACTGGAACTTCTCCACATCTCATGAAAGGTGAGTAAACGAAACCGAGGTCTGGGGAAAGCGCTTTCCGAGTACAACAAGAGGATGTGTTTTTTATGCCTGTGTGAATTGCTTTTCTTGTGATCGTGAGGTTTGGACTGAATTAGTGTGAAGTCAACGACGATTTCGTAGTCCGTGGAGAGATTGAAACATGTAGAGACCTGTCAAGTGGGCAAGCTTGCGCGTGTCTCAAATCCAATCTCCACGAGCTGGCAAGTTCCCTGCAACATGTCAGAGTCAGACAAAGATGCAGCGCTGCGGCAAGGGAAGTCAGTTCATGAAGGTCGACAAGCGACGAAGCGTCCGCCACGAAGAGGCCAAGGAGTGATACCTATATGGGTGGTTTCTGACATCTCTCGTCCGCTCTTGGCTGCCTATTGCTGAAAGTTCCACCGCACGCAAGCAGGAATGATCGAAGTCGCCAAGTAACAGCTGTTCGGTGTTGAGATACGACCGCATCAGGCACGTCACCTGCGTTCGCGACCTTGCTAGCAATTGGGCATGGTTTCCTATTACCGCAGCGCTATTGGACGGAGAAATCTGCACCGAGGCGGCTCAGTGAGCCTCGTCCTGTGCCACCAAGGATTCCGCGGGCGGCACCTCTGGACAACACACCACGACAATGACCGACTGGTCCTGCCGAACGATTTACTTCAGTCAGTGCATACATGAGGCTCAACACAGCCTCGCTTAGGCTCAAACGTCGTTCCCAAGACATTTGGCATATACGGTGAGAGGTGCGTTTCTTACGATGTGGGTCGAATTACCGGATGCAGCGCACGCTAGTAGTCCGCACAACGAGAGGCTCAGAAGTCAGGTCAGGTAATTCAGCTGGGGCCCAAGACGCAGATTCGTGATATACTCGCAGAAAACGCCGTCATAGCCGGTGGAGTGAGGACGGTGCTGCAGGACGTGGTGAGGACCTCCACACTGCACAGTGGGGCTCGTGCCTGCAGGAACGTGGTGTTTGGCACTTCAAACTTGGGACACTTCTCTAGGTGTTTATCTGAGGGATGCTGAAACCGCGCACACGGTTCTCGCTGGTCAAAGATCGAGGTTGTCGCTGAGAGTGGTGAAGATAGTCAGCGCTTCCGGGCGCAACGATGCGTGTGTTGAAGCGGCAGGTGCGCCGGGTTGACAAAGAGGGAAGTACCGGGCCTACCAGCGCATACGCTACTTAGTAAGCGCTCCAGCAGGAACCCACAAAACCCCACGCACATCTGCCCACCGCATTGTTCAGGCTGCAAAGGTATCATGATCAGCGAAATTCACGCCAGCTGTGATTGACGGACAGATCTCTCCAACCCGCGCACACCTATGCCGCAATTACCGCGCGGTCCGCATCCGTGACGCTGCCGTCACCAAGCCAAAAAACCTCACTCAACACCAAGTTTTTCTATCGTGTCCTCCAAACAATTGCGCATATTGAGGGTCTTCACTGCGATGACGTCGCTGTTACCCGTCTCCCCCCATCACATCATTCCTCGTGTTGGCGCGGTAGCGTTGCCATTTTCTGAGAAAGCCTTTCCCGGCCGCCAGTCAAAGGCTTGAGGCTCCACCAAAGACGTTTAAGCCGGACAAGATCGGCGCCAAGACGAAGAGGCTGCAGAGCCGCACACCGCACGGGCGTTTCGACCCTGCATGGACATGAGTTTAGTCGCCGGTTTGTGACGTCAACATGGGAATGTTGAGACGAGCAACGCTGCCTCCTGCGAAAACTTCGGGCGCTATCGAGTGATTATGGTACGTTGCCCGACCAAGCCCAAACAGAGTCTTCGTACCTGCAGCTATGATGTATGTTTGTGTTCTCGAAGAACGGAAGCGCTGAATGACAGCACTTCGAAAAGAAGATCCAAAGAGAATCCTATTATCCGCCGGCGTTGAGGGCGACTCAGCAAGGTTCCCAATAATCCTCCGCAATACCCAGCTCGAGGGAGGGACTCGATACCGAGCGATGGGGCTATGACGCAAAGCGGAGGAGCCTCGGTCTAAGACGAAAGCTGCTGGTTGCCGAGCTCTTGTTCCACCCAAGCGTACTCCGCTCCTCTCCAGGAATGGCTCCAAGGGATCTTGGTCCACTCAGGACCCTGTCTGGTTCGCCTTATACCCACTGTTTGTTTGACGCCTCAGCCGTCAGCGACATCACTGAGCGATGCAACCACAGCCAAGTCCGAGATAATGTAAATCTCGTTATCTAGTGTGCTTCTTGTGTCGGAGCGATGTTGGTAATTGTGGAACCGGGTGGACCTATGGTCGTTACCTTCACACCAGCGGCTGCCGAGCTTTGGTTCGTAGCATTTGAGACGATCAGTTAAAGAGGGACCCTCTCCCCGCCCTTCAACCCCCAGCATCTCTCTCCAGACTTCGTTGATCAGTCCTCACCATGGCACCTCACAGAGAAAACGAGTCGGGCATTCCCACTTACTGGGGGAAGTCCGGCAGGATGTTGCAAGTCCTGATCACCATCGTTGCTACCACCGATTTCCTCCTGTTCGGATATGACCAAGGTGTTATGTCTGGTATCGTCTCCGCCCCCGCATTCGTCGAAGCTTTTCCCCAGGTCGATGGTGACCCCACCTATGAGGGTTTTGTTGTTGCCATTTACGCCGTTGGTTGTTTCCTCGGTGCCTGCTTCATCTTCGCTTTTGGAGACAGACTTGGTCGCCGCAACTCTATCTTCCTTGGTGCTGTGGTCATGATCGTTGGTGTCATTATCCAGATTACCGCAGTTCCACCCAACGGCGGCGCTACTGCGCAGTTTATCATTGGACGATGCATCACTGGCATCGGAAACGGAATCAACACTTCAACCATTCCTACCTACCAGGCTGAGTGCTGCCGTGCGAAGAACCGTGGAAAGGTCATCTGCATTGAGGGCGGTAACGTCGCCATCGGCACGTTGATTGCTTACTGGATCGACTACGGCTGTCTTTACGGCCCCGACGACTTCACCTGGCGCTTCCCCATTGCTTTCCAATGTGTCTTCGCTGTCATCGTCATCGTGATGATGACCCAGCTGCCCGAGTCTCCTCGCTGGCTACTTACCCACCACCGCGAGGAAGAGGCTGCAACTGTTATGGCTGCCCTGAACGGTCTTCCTCGCGAGGATCCCGAGGTACAGGTCCAGATGGGCATCATCAAGGAGGCCATCCGCCTGTCTGGTGGTGGTGGCAAGACCAAGTTCTCTGCTGTCCTCACCAACGGAAAGTCTCAGCATCTCCGTCGTATGCTTTTGGGTGCTTCTTCTCAGATGATGCAGCAGCTTTCTGGTTGCAACGCCGTCATCTACTACTTCCCCATTCTGTTCCAGAGTGCTCTCGGCACAACCCACAACCTGGCCCTCCTGCTCGGTGGTATCAACATGATCGTCTACTCCATCTTCGCCACCACCTCTTGGTTCCTTGTTGAGCGTGTTGGTCGCCGTAAGCTTTTCTTGATCGGTACCGTCGGACAGTGCTTGTCTATGATTCTTACTTTCGGCTGCTTGCTCCCCGGTACTTCCTCTGCCGCCAAGGGTGCCGCTGTTGGTCTCTTCACCTACATTGCCTTCTTTGGTGCAACATGGCTACCTCTGCCCTGGTTGTACCCCGCTGAGATCAACCCCATCAAGACTCGCGCGAAGGCCAATGCCACCTCCACTATCTCCAATTGGCTCTGGAATTTCGTAAGTTTACCCCATCATTGATCAATGTGCTTTTGCTAACAGATGCAGTTCATTGTCATGATCACTCCTGTCCTGATCTCCAGCATCAGCGCCTATACCTACCTGTTCTTCGCCATCCTCAACGCCCTCTTCTTCCCCGTCATCTACTTCCTGTACCCTGAGACCTCTGGTCGCTCTCTTGAGGAGATTGATCTTATCTTCGCCAAGGGCTATCTCGAGAACAAGAGCTACGTCCTGGCTGCGAAGGAGCTTCCCGTCATGGACGAGTCCGAGATCTCTCGCTACAACCGCGAGTACGGCATGGAGGACACCTCCGACGAGGAGACTGGTTCCGGCGGTGACTACAACGAGAAGAAGAGCAGCGAGAAAAACGGCGCAGGCCAGGAGGATATACTCCCTCGTGGCGCCCCGACTGCTTAGAGTTTGAGCGCTGGTCGTTGCGATTGCGAGTGAGCGCACTGAGTGTGCGTCAGCACCGGCTTGCCGATGTATGGTTGGTTCATGTGGAGGAAATATACCCGACGCTTCAGTCAAAATTTGTGTTCCTCTCCAGTAATGAGCTTGGAGTAGGACGATATGGGATCCTTTTTTGTTTGTCTTCTTCGATATCTTAGAACAGTCGATAGACCGCCCTATACCCATAGTCAACACGCACTACTTCCATTGAATTTTTCCTCATAAGTTGCCGTTCGCATCTCCCGCTTCGATTCAAACTGAAGTTGCCTTGATCGTGACATCGTTGTATAAGTAAGACATCCACATTTCGCTCCTCGCAGCGTTGGCTGGACGACTATGAGTAAGTGAGTCGAAATGCGTGTCGTGAAAGGTGCACGGCAGTGATGACTAAGCGGGTCCTCGGTGGTATCTCGAGCTTGATGCCACTTGTCGCGCGCAATTGTTGACACCCTCACGCATCCCCACCAACTACCAAATGATAGTCAATAAGTAACACGACAATATGGCTAGAGCAAGCGTGTCTTGGGACGCTTTGGGGCCCTTCCTTGCGTGGCAGTTTTTAATACCTCTGGTAACACCCGCCACCCTCCTCACTCGTATGACTGACTAAAAACTGCAAGGCTGCCGGCTGGGCACAAAGCATCCTATACAGCATCTTTATTCGCGCAGGCGATCCCAAACCACAGCCTGGCTCAGTCCGCTTTGTCAAGCACCGCCGCCAGATACTCATCGCGGTATACCTCGCATACTTCGCATTTACGATATATGAAGTCGACTTCAACCTCCAGCGCTCGAGCAACGCTTACAACGACCTTGGCGTACCGATTAATGTCGACGAGAGTGACCTGAATTCACGGTTTAGGAAGCTCACTATACGGTTTCATCCTGACAAGATCGCGCCTGGTATCGATAGGGAGGCGGCAAACGACTACTACATCCACCTGAAGCACGCACGCGATATAATTCTCGACCCCGCCAAACGCTTCGCATATGATCGCTTTGGACCGGATATCCTCAATCAGTGCAAGTCATGTATCACTATCAAGGATTACGTTGATAACACACTGCTGAGTGCCCTGACGAACTACGGCATTTTGCTCGTCTTCCTCATCGGCGCAAACGCGTTGGGCTTCCTCAAGGATGGCTCGTACTGGCGATATCTCGGACTTTTGGCGGTCGCGACCTTCGAGCTACGCACCGCCATGCGACCAGACCATCCCTCGATCCTGACCAAGTACTTGAATCCATTCGTAACAGCCCTCAATTTGCGGCCTGCATACCTACCTTTCCAGATCATCGCCATCGCAAAGAAGGCTTCTATATCTGCCGCGCAGTTCCTAGCTCTCTTAATGCCACTCTATCGCCCCGATCCCGATCGCCCCACACAGCCTACGAACGACACCGAGAACACACAGCACCAGCAGATCGATCGCCTCAATGCGTTCGTAGCTGAGTGCAACAAAGACGCCTCGCGTCTACTGGAGCTCGAGTCGACACCATTCAGGGATGATGAAAGAGCGAAGGGCGAGCTCAGGGAAGCTTTGAAGAAATACATGGTGCAGAACGTTGTGCACCAGGAGAAGGATGTGAGGAATGCCATTGGCCAAAGTATGGCCAAGAGGAGACCCGGCGTGCCTCACGGTGCTCAGGGCACTAAATAGATCAGCAAGTATCACAATCAGATGGGAATCAAGAACTGTCATCGATCCTTCACTTCTTTCTAGCCTCACCCTCGACCGTACGTCATCGTGTAATATTCGTAGAAGCCGCCCAAGTTCAGCCTCCAGTCATTTTAAGACATGTGCAAATCGATTGATTGTAAAGTACTTTTGAAAAGCCAACAAACAGCCAGACTACCAACTTCCTTAGGCTTTTTTTTGACAATCACATCAAGACACAAAGAAGATCTCCCAACGAGCAAACATCGCTCGCCCATAAAGGACGCTGCGCTCGAGGGAACATAAATGAGTGTCATTACGGCAGCGGCCCACCAGGCACGTGGAACTCACTCCAGGTCAATCACATATCATCTCCCCTGTAGAATCTCATAAGAGGTTGACGCGTCGGGCCGAGCTTGGAAGATGATACCACGGTGCTCTCGACATCGTCGGGTGTGGAAGCCTGCACCAGTTTTGCAAGGGGCAGGGGGGTCGGAGACCTTGCGAGATGGCGGAGTCATGGCTGACCATGCAAACTCGACTGACCATGCAGCAGACGAGGAAGATCTGGATGTGAATGGAGTTACCACCTTGGTCAAGGAAGAAGAGGGTACCGACCGCCGAGTATCGTGGCTGCAGGGTCTACCCTCTCCAATTACACCCACTGCATTAGAGACAGCAGCAGCAATAGACACGGGAAAGATGGCCATGGCCCCCGACAGTCCCTGTCCGTACAAGAGTTCCATCTCTTCGACACTCAGCTCCTCGTCAAACCACTGCTTGTCCTCTGTCCAACCCTGCTCTCTGAGAAACAGGGCTTCTTGCCTAGACAACCCATCAAAGACACCACCGACCAACTTTTCAGACATGCGGTAGTAGCTGCGGAGGGACGCGATGAGCTCTTTACTTTTGCTGTCTATGAGGTTGGTGGTGCCGAAGGTGGTGTTCTGGGTGTACTCCTGAAGACGCTCGACTTCGTGGGGGTTACGGGTGCCGGGAATGTCAATTGAGTGCAGAATGCCGTTCGCAAAGAATTGCACTTTGGTTGTCGGCATATTTTCGAGGGTTGAGACCATCTTGTTGCGGGTGTGAGCGATCTGGAGTGCCGCTCCGAAGGCGTTTGTTGGGTTTGCAGGCACCTTGACTTGATATGGTCTGGAGTGGATGTAGAAATGCGGGCATACAGAGATGTTTCTTCATATAAATTCTGATTGGCAATAATCCAATTTTTTCGAAGATAACTTGTTGTTTACTGGATGTCGCGACTTTGGTTCAGGGCCCTTAATATGTGACCACAGCGTTCACCCATGGTATGAAAACCCTTAGAAACACCTGCAAATCCCAATGAGGCTATACTAGGTAAAAAAAGTTGAGCTGTCTATCCTGTCAATGTGGTCGCAGTCCTTGCTCAGTGGTTGGGAGCCCGTGCAAAGGTGACATAGGTAGAGTCCGCATGCACTTAATCATCAAAGTACGAGCTGGCGTCTAGTATACCACACTTTCATGAGACTTGTTGTGTAAATAGAGTCAATCAATTGAAGATAATGTTATGGATTGACCCCGCAGTGCAAAAGGTCTAATTTGGTTCCCAGACTCAAAATTCAGATTACTGAAGGTCTCCTGGGTCCTGTCTTCAATGAAAGACGGCTTCAGTTTAAGCTCATTATTACAATGAATATCAAGTACAATATGGCTTGCCGTAGTGGTTAATCTGATAGGCAAGAGATCTGTTGCAGCCAAAAAGGAGGCAAAATGTACATACATTAGTACCTCAAAGTAGGCCTGCTAAGTAGACCTCTTCTGCCCGTGACAAGATCGCCAGAGCATTGGCACCACGAAGGTATCTAAGCTAGGATGTGAGTGACCAAGGCGGAATAAGAACACAAGGGGGCCATTAGGTGCATAGTGACGTAAAGCGCAGAACTGTCGTTGCAAATTTGAATCAACTATGTCAAAAACAGAATAGGGAATGACGATCTAGGGGGTACGCGAAGTCCAGCTCTTGCGATCGAATGCATCTACGCCTACACTTTCGGACCATCCTCTTCAGCAAAACTGTCAGCGTGCACTATATCTTCCACTCCGGAAGCACACGGATGCGAATGCTTACAACACGCAAGCTGGTGCGCCAGTGTGTTCGCAAGACTGTCGCCCAGCGGATGCCCAGTCAGTCCAGCGGTCTTACCATGCTCCTTGCGTGGGCGATGACCTGAGTCCCAGAACGGGGTAGCGTTGGTATCAACATAGTTGCCCGAGTTCTGGCCCAAATGTTGAGCGCGGGGGTAGTCAGTGGCCTCTGAGCACCGCTTGGCTTTGCTCAGTGGAGGATGTACTTCAGACTTGCCGCTGTGGGACATGCGACTCGTGTTCTTGACAATAATCGACTTGGAGCCAGCCGTGCCGCGCTGAGGACGATCGTGGCAGGATTTGCTGTGTACTTTCTCCCAGACAAGTGACGAAAGACCGCGTGGGAAGGTATCCGAGGCCTTCAGGGATGCACACTCCCAATACAACTGCCCCTCGCAAAGATGTAAGAGGCGACGGCTGAGGAGGCGTTCTTGTAGAGCCCAGGCGCGAGTATCCCAACCAAAGGCAGGCGTGGTGAAATCACTAACTGGTAGCGAAGAGATTACCGATGATGCATCCATGCTACTGTTGGAATTTTGCAGTTGTGTTTTTGCATTTGCGTTTGGCAAAACAATGTCGGTATTTTCGGAGCAATGCTTGGTGATTTGGTCAAGTACGATTGTCAGTGCAGCATTGCGGAATACCGATGCCATGTCGGCACACTCGCTACGCTTGTCGACTTCCGAGTCCTGGAGGACACATAGTGAGTCGATCCAGACATACCGGAAGCCAAGATTCTGTGCAGCTTGTATTCCAGACTCTAGTGGCTTGGGCAGTGTCTGTCGCTGTAGACCTAGTTTTACGTCTCGCAGTTGAGCAGTGGTCAGAGTGACGTCGGTCTTGTTCCAGACGTAGCTGAGTGTAGCATATTGTATGTCCTCGGAGCATTGAGTGATCGAAGCACTATCAACAACGCAAATGACGCTGTCGTCAATGCCCCTGGGCTGAGTGTCGACGAGGCGTGTCGGTAGGGTGCCATTGGCTGGTGCGTATTGGCGACAGGCATTGTGGGAGCATGAGCACTCCTCGATCCAGTGCTTAGCGTTCTTGAAGACGTCAGGGGTGCGATCAACGACTACGCTGGCCTTCTGGTCATGGTGGTCGGAGCAGTCGGGATCGCCCTTGCTGATGAGTACTTCTACAGCTTCAAGCTCTTGGTCTGGTGCAGGGAATGCGACCTTATCATTCGGCCACTCAAGACAGCATGGCGCTGGAGTGAAGCTCAGGGAGAGAAGCGCTGCGCTCGGTCGCTCGGTCGGATCTGCATTGAGCATATTCTTGAGCGTACCCACCACCTTTCGCTCAGTGGGGGACACAGCATCCTCGAGGAAGTCTGATAGCCAGTCCTGTAGGCTTGGTACATCTTGCCAGTAGTGCTTGCCTGTGCGTCCGCTATACTCGCGACGGAAGTTCACCCACACAGAGTTGGACTGGCCGAACGGCACAGATGCCATCTCGGCAAAAACACATCCAAGAGACCAGATATCGGCAGATTGCTTGCGAGCAAAGCCATTGAAAACCTCTGGAGCGACGTATCGACGAGTGAGTGGCTTGTGCTGGCCATCGGGTAGATCCTCGTCGGCTGAGCTGATGCCGAAATCGCACAGTACTACGCGCGGGAATTTTTGGTCTCCGTGAGCAACAAGGATGTTTTGCGGCTTGATATCCATATGCTTGACAACCGGCCGCTGTTCGTGGAGGTACCGGACTGACGACACAAGACATCCGAACATCTTACTGACGACGTTGACGAGGTTGGCTGGTTGTTGTAGGGTTGCTTGCTCAAGCCAGAGTGCAAGGGTCGTCTCGGCAACCGGCGATACAAGGATAGACATCTTGTCGCCCTTAGAGTATGCGCCAAGGAAGCGAATTATGTGAGGGTGGCGAAGCTTCTGCAATATGCTTACTTCCTTCTTGAGCTCTTCCATGGCAGTCTGATCGCGATTCTTGAGCGTCTTCCGACCCAGTCGTAAGTTCGTCGCTCGATGTAGTACTTCATCGACAGTACCAAAGCCTCCAGCACCAAGTAGTCGGACACTCAGGAATGACTGCGGTGTAAACTGTTGTAGCGTGTCGAGTACGGCGGCGGACGGGACGAATGCCTTGGTTGGCGTCGCTTGTGCGGTTGGTACATCGGGGTTCAACTGGTCCGTAGTAAACTGAGCTGTATCTGGTACAGCTGTAGTCGGAATGCGTGAATCTTCAGTATAGTGACTCGCGAATGTTCTGGTTGCACTGTGCTTGGTGAATCCACCCGTCGGATTAGTTTGCGAGTCCAGTACGGTCGGAAGTCGAGTCGCAGCGTCCGATACGAGGCCAACACCATTCTTGCTTAGACAAACTCCGCGAGCCACGAGAGGCTGCGAGGGGAGTTGAGCCCCCCCAACTAACCGGCCGGAGAGAGTATCTCCGGTCAAAGAAGTCTGGTCATCTCGCGTTGGTGTTGCATCCTCTTCACATAAGATACCCTCCTCGCTTGGGGAAGGGTCGGGAGAGAAACTGCGCGTCTCGGTGTGTGGGCTCGATCGTTGTTGCCCCTGCTCGCCCTGGGTTCGCTTCGTGACATTGATAGTGTTCGATTTCGACAAGAGCTGGAACTGGAAGAAGCTGCCAGACAGCAGGCTCGGACCGTTGCCGCCGCTGCCACTACCACCGCCTGCGTAGTCGCCTCCGCCATAACAGTGAGGCCCGAAGTCACCAGGATCGCTCTGCGGTGGTAAGTGTGAAGGCGCACTGTCATAGCCGTTGCCACTGGGCCTGTCGTTGTCGTCGTTGTCATCGTCGTCGCCATCGTTGTTGTCGGAGTTATTATCATCGTCGTTGCTCTCGTCATTCCAGTCTAGCATGCACTTGCCCTGCTTGAAATGATCGGCAATGTGATCAATTCGGTCCTGCCTCGAGTCGAACTTGTGCTTACAGAAACCGCAGTTCCTTGGGAAATCGGTCTCAGAGCACACGATACTCGCCCGCTCGTACTCATCGCTGTTCACACCAGGATGGATATTCCTGAAATGCTATCGGAAAGTCAGCGAATGCCTTCTTCAAGATCATCTGGACTACCCGAATCTGATTCGCAGAGATCTTGTAGCCTGAAAAGAAGTTGTGATAAGAACAATGAATCAAGCGTCGCTTACCTGAACGAAATGGTACTTCCTGAAGCAAGGCCGTACATTCTCAACTTCTTCAGATGTGCATAGGCTGCACACCCACGATTTACATGGATACCCCTCCTCTTCGCTCCTCTTCCAGTCGCACTTACGCCCATAGCGTTTGCCGCACTTTCGTGTGCACTGGTAAATTTTGTTCGGGTCCCTGGCCAGCATGTCCCGATCCCCAGTTGGTGTACAGCGCTTCTTCCGACCACGGAGATTCGACACTGGTTGCCCAACTACTGTTGTGTCGTTCGAGGATCGTCTTTCTGGAGTTGCAATGTTCTCCTGTGTAAGCTGCGACGTCAGAAGCTGAGGTACCTGAGCTCCTCCGGACTGATGTGTTGCCAGGTCTGTTGTGTAGGAGTCCGACCAGCACAAAGCTGGCAGCATATCTGTTTGCGACTTGTAAGCGGAGTCAGCGCCGCCCATACCCTGCTTGAGCAATCGTCCGAACCACTGCCGGATGGCATCGGCCGACTCTCCTGTGAGCTGGCTGAGCGAGTCAATGTGGCGATCGCTTGGCAGTACAGCATAATTGTTGAACCATATTGTGCAGACGTCGGCAGCTTCATCTGAGAGGCCCTGAATGACGTCCATGTGTGGAGATTGTGATGAGCAAGATAGTGAGTAGTCGCCGGTCGTCTCGTGGCGCTTAGACTGTGTGAAGTCCTCCGCATCAGGCTGGCGGGGCCTCTTACCCAACGAAGTGCTGATATCTATTATTGGGTACATCTCGAGTGATTGTGTAGGGGTTGCTGGGAAGGAGTTCATGATGAGTGATTCCGGTGTCAGATGGCTTTTCCAGATCGCGTTGCTCATAGTGTTATCCATGGCCTAGATAACGTCAGTACATCCGTCTTACCGTCATCTGTGCTCTCGCCTGGCACCTACAAGGGTCTGGGGCATAAAGCTCATATCCTGAGAGGGGGTCGAGAAGATAGTCGGATCAATGAAAGATGCCGCCGTGTCGATGCGCTCGTCACCAAAGAAGCCAAAGGTGTTATCCTCAGTAGGCTTCGCGAGCTGCTGCTGCTGCGGCATCGTCGCGAACACGTTGTTGAAGTCCATATCCGCTGTGTCAAAAGCGAATCCAGTGCCCTCCATTGCTCGAGGTTGTTCGTGTATGGGAAAGGGCGTTGTGGTAGTGTTGGTTAGCTGCTGATTCACGGAGGTTCGTCTTGTCCTCCGGAAAAGAGTGTGTCTGTAGGTATGATGTGATGTGAGTCTTCAGGGCCTGAACGGTCAGGCACTTCGCTAGACTATTAAAGTCAAGGGCGCTGCAATCCGGTGAGCACGTTTATGACTCTGCACATAATCGCCCTTCTGTGCTGATTCGAAGGGCGGCTTGATGGCGAGGGTTCAGCGGCTCAGGCGTCCCGTCCTGTTATTAGCGAGGATTCGCACCTCGGCCTTTGAAAAATAACACATTGCCAAGAGTAACGTCGAGTTCTACAAATCTTCAAAACCCTGCAATTTTGGAAGTTCAGTGCGATTACTACAGAGCGTCAGACGAGATTGTAAATCTGTTGTTTTCATCACCCCTGACGTCTTTCAACGGCATGCGCACGATCTCGCGCATCCCTCCAGCTCGAAGTGTTGCCAAAAAATTCGCCGAACCCAGCTGTAAGCGCTAAAGCCATGTATTGCCGCCCTTTTTTCTCCGCAAAGGCGGCCGCGGTCTTGCATGGCAGGCTGAGCGAATGCAGCAGCCACTCAAAAGTGGGCTCGTAGTGGCTGTATCTGTTCTGCAACACCAGCAAGCGAAACGGCTGCACGCAGATCGTGCCTGCCACCTCAACTCAGGTACATTGGTGCAGCGCTTACTACCAGTACAGTCCGTGCGCAGTCAACGAGCCAGTTCAGTCAACGAGCCACCCCAAACCCCGCTGCCACATGAACCCACCCAACTTCAACGCGTCATAACTCCACAACCATGGACCCAATTCAAGAAGCAATTAAATATATTAAATCGCGTGAGGCTAGAGATAAATTCTTGTACTGCCAAGTTGCAAAAGCATTTAGAGTTGATTGAACGACGCTGTTGCGAAGGCACAAGGGTGCACAGGGCTCTAAGGACACACAGGCGGCCAAAGACTAACAAAACCTTAACCTACAACAAGAGGATAAGTTAATTAGATACATAGAAAGGTGTACAAGGGATAGTGTACCACCTACACAAAGTATTTTGAAAAATTTTGGCAGCGCAGTTGCGCAGCAAGAGGTCTCCAAAAGCTGGATTACCTGGTTTCAACACCGCCATCCTGACAAGCTCATCACTAAATATAACACTAGTATGGATTGTAGGCGTCACCTGGCTGACAACAAGCATAAATACAAGTTGTACTTTAACTTGCTACACTCTAAGATGTAAGAACATGGCATTGACAAGCGCAACACGTACAATATGGATAAGAAAGGCTTCTACGTCAGCATTGCCCACCACACTAAAAGGATCTTCTCTAAGGCAGTTTATGAGTCAAAAGAGCATACAGCAGTAATAAGAGATAGCAACAGAGAATAGGTAACGCTGCTGGCTTGCGTATGCGCTTCTGGAGATGCATTACCGCCTGCTCTCATCTACTAGGGCACCTCTAGGGTTTAATCAAGCTAGGTTAACAATCTTTTAGCTAAACAACACTAAATTTTTGTATCCTACTTAGCTTTAGGATAGTTAAATAACGCCTTAGGACTTGCCTGGCTTCAACAGGTATTTGAACGCTATACTGCAGCCAAAGCTTGCCAGCAATGGCGCCTTCTGATACTTGACGGCCACGCCAGCCACCTCACGCCAGATTTTTTGGAGTATTGTGAAGCCAAACGCATCATGGTTATAGTGTATCCTCCCTATTTAACCCACAGCTTGCAGCTGTTAGATGTTGTGCTCTTTGCGCCGCTTTCAAAGCACTACACTGAGGAGCTTACCCAACGCCTCCAGCGAACCTAAGGCCTCTTGAGGATCACTAAACGCGACTTCTATAGCAACTTTTGGCCAGCTTGGAGCTCTACAATGACTCACGATCTTATATTGAAGAGTTTCCAAGCTACAGGCGTATGGCTGATGGACGCAGACCCAGTACTTCAACGCTTCAACAATGGCCCACAACAACAAGATGACGAGCTAGGAATTGGGGAGCAAGGCGACGGCGATACCTGGCCTCAATTGCGCAAAATTTTTGATGCTGCAGTGGCTGACAAGGCCAAATTTGAAGCCAAACGGCTGTCCCAAGGCCTGCACTCGCTGCAGGTCAACAACAAGCTTCTACGACTCTAGAACGCGGAGCTACGCGCTGAAATTAACCTCATTAAGAAGCGCCTGACCAAGTCTACAACACTAACTACACAAGAAGGCGACAATTGGCACGGCGGTGCTGTATTCTACAGTCCTAGGAAGCTTGCCAGCGCGCGCGCGCGCAAGGCCGCAGAACTGGACGAAGCCGCGGAGCTACAACTCAAAAAAACTCGCGATAGAGAGGCAAGAGCAGCAGAAGCAGCTCACAAAAAGCAGAATCAAGAAGCTGCGAAGGTGGCTTAACAACAAGCCAGAATTAAGCGTGATCGCGAGCAGAAACAGCGCGCTGAGGAACGCGCTGCAGAACAGGCGCTTAAAAAGCAACAACAACAAGCTGCAACCACTTAAAAAAGCCACAATACAGCAAACAAGCGTAAGCAAAAAGCCTCACACAAAGCAGCAGAAAATCTAGCAAAGCGTTGTTGTGGTGTGGCTGCATTAAGTTAGGTTAACGCTGGTCCACCTGAGGCGTCTCCCCCACCTAAATTTGGCAGAAACAGCTGCCAACTCAAGACGCCAGCGAGATTAAAGCAGTGCAAATGATCTAGAAGCTTCTTTATAGCAATACCTCAAAAAATCTCACGAAAATAGCTATTGTGTGTGGCTCAATAACCTCATCTTTTTGATTGTCCCATATTGGTGGGGTGGCTTGTTGACTGAACTGGCTCGTTGACTGCGCACGGACTGTACCGTGTTTCACCGCCCCGTGCACGCCCCGGGCCTGTGCTCGAAAATCATTCTACTCAACACCACTCAAATGAAGCTGTAGAGCCACACACAAAAGCAATTATCACGAATGTTTTGGTGGAGTATTCTACACACCTATCAACGTACCTCACGGGCGAGTGGCCGGCCCGGGCGAGTGACAAGATTTTGCTAAGACCACACTAAATTTTATACAACCTGCAATGTCTTAACGCAATAAGGCTCAAAGCGTCTTAAAGGAATTAGATATACAGCTTGCTATCTAGGCTCTTAAACAAGACGCGACTCTTACTATTCCACGTGCTGCAATAATCTACAAGGTGTTAGAAAGAACACTAAGACAACAACGTGCTAGAACACTCTTATAACACAATTTTAAGGTCAACTTAATAAAGCTAATAAGTACTAGAGAGGAGGTGACTGTGCATCATGTTCTGAAGCTGGACAAGTGAGGATACCCACCTTGGCTTACTAATGTAGAGAATATTGTAACGAATATGCACGAACACGACACGTGGCATAGCGCTCATAGCAGCTAGAGGCAAAGCTAGCTGGCTAGCACTATTATTGTCTATAACGTGGTTTATCACCAAGCCGCCAGGTATCACCAAACCACCACCCCTTACCAACTTTTTTAGAGTTACTAACGTAGATTATCACCGAGCCGGCCATATCACCAAACCGGCCATTTTCTCTTGGCACGACTAACACAAGTTACTGCAACTACAACTACTTGCTATTAAACAGTGACCTAGCATACTGCGTGCTTGCATCAGATTTAGAAGATGTTTCTGCACCCTCCT